CCCCCCCCCCCCCCCCACACGTTCGAGAGAGTCGACCAACCGACCAAAGTAAGCATCCTGCCCATGTGCTGTGCTGTGGTGTGCTGACGCACTCACAGGTATGCGAGCACCTCCCTCTTGCGATGGTCTGCCTCGGCGGTCCACGCCGCAAGCTGAGCGATGTCGTGTGGCTCACGGCGCTTGCTACTGCAACACACACACACACATACACAGGGCTGGGCTATTCTTTCTTCTTCTTCGGGTGTGCGGCGCTTACGCAAGTATTTCGTCGACGCGTTGCCAGAGGTTGATGAGTCTATCAATCTTGATGTCGACCTCCTGCGCGTCGAAGGGCGGCAGCCACGTGGACTTGTGCAGATCCGCCAGAAGCTTGGCGTCCGCTGCGTGGGTCTGCGCCCCGCCATCCCCGGCGGCGGCCGCAGCAGAACTACCCACCGATGACGCCTGTGACGACATCCAGGATGCAGATCTCTGTCGGAAGATGTGATGGATTGGGGTTTCAGGGTACAAACCCTGGGGGCCGCCCAGGTCAAGTTTGCAACTGCAGGTTTGAGCTGAGTTTGAGCAACGATGGCCCAGCGTGAGTATCTGAGAGCGCCTGAGCGGCGACAGAGGCAGGAGAGCGTCCTGCGGCAGGGAGAGTCCCGGGCCCGGCTGCGAGTGCCAATTGAGGAAGAGAGGCGACAGGTGGCCCACCAGCTGCAGCTGCAACAGGGTGGCCGGCAGGGGCAGGCCGAGTTGCCTGCTCGCGTGCCAACACGGGAGACGGCAGACTATGGGGCCAGGTACGTGCCCGACGAGACGGTGGACGCCGCCTCGTTCCTCGACGGACCGGCTGCAGGAGGGCTCCCCGTCTCCGTCAACCGCCGCACGGAGTATCAGGGCACAAACCAACGCAATGGCGCCGACCTGTTCTCCGAATACACTCAAGTAGGCCAGAAGAGCGCCTCGATCGTTCGGTCACTATGAGTGTTTTCTCTCGCTCTTTGTGTGTATCGGTCGGTCGTCAGGTGCGCGGCGGTGTGGCCGATGGGCGTCTGACAGGACGAGGTGACGAAGTCAGAGGGGGCTATGGAGACGGTCGCATAACGGGCTACCCATACCAGTACACGGCCAGCGACCGTTATGAGGTGAGTGCCTCACTCTTTAGGCAGTCACCCATACACATCCATTGCTCTCTCTGCTCCCTCTCACCTTTCAGCCCGCAGCCTACGACGCTTATGAATTCGCCTACCCATATTTGCGTCCGGAGGAGCCCCACCGTCCGAGGGGATACCCCAACCAGATGACCATGGAGGCGCAGCAGTACGGCAGCGGCCGCCTCACGTCGACTGGACAGAACGACGCCTACGGCGGTGCCCCTCCCAGCAGTCGGCCACACCGGTATGATGGGCGGCTTCCCTTGTACTCGCAGCATCAAACCAAGCACGGGCTCAGCAGGGACGGAGTGGGCGGCCAGCCGGACTACTCCTCGCGTCGAGCCTACCGCGCTCCAAGCAATATCAGCAAAGTCAGCAAGTCATCGGTCGTGTCCCGAGGCACCCAGTGCAGCATCGTGACCACACAGACGGCAGTCGGGCCCCGGAACAAGACGCGTGGTGCGTCGCGACACCACCACCACCAGCAGCAGGTGGAGGCGACGGCCAGTTCGATGGGCCGCTGCGCGCCGCCACCGGACACACACAACACCCACAATGGTCAGAACAACGGATCAGGTGGCGGTTTGTTCGGCGGGATGTTCTCGGGCTTGGGCTCCCTCCTGGGTGGGGGCCGGGCCTCTGGAGGTGAGGAGGGGTGTGGTGAGATGAGACACACATAGCCCTTCTCTGTCACTCATTGGCACATCGTCGACACGTCTGTTTGTCCGTCTGTCTGTCTGTCTGTCTGTGTCAGCGGTGCGTGAGGAGACGCGAGAGTCCCCACTGGATCGCCGCTCCAATCGCCGACACATCGATGACCGCTACGCCAATGGTGCCCAGGTGAGTCTCACCAACACAGTCAGCCACATACCTCGGTCGTGATCAAGAGGGTCATGCTGTGTCTGTCTGTCCTTCTGTCAGGGTAGGTCGTACGAGTCCCGCTACCACCGAGAACCCAAGACGGACAGGCAGCAGGAGGTTGAGGCCTACGCGAGGGAGCTGGACTATTGGAAGGGCTTCTGGGAGATGGAGCTGCAGGAGCGCTCGGAGATCCAAGAGCGGCTCCGCCGACAGCTCGAGGAGCGGGCGGCGGAGCGGGAGAAGAAAATGGAGCGCTTCCACCGACAACAGAAGGAGAAAATGGAGCGTGAGTGGCGTGAAGTGGAGGCCAAGAAGGACGAAATGCGCCGCAAAGAGCAGGAGCTCGAGGAGAAAGAGAAGGAGATCGACCAACAGCTGCAGCAGCTGCAACACCAGATGCAGCAGCTGCAGCACCAGCAGCAGCAGCGTCTCAACAGCGACAACGAGACGGCAGACAACCAGCAGCCTTCGAGCACCTCTGACACCGTCCCCCCAACCCCAACTGGAGCAGTGCAGGAGGCATCCAGAGTGGCTGAAGCAGACGCCACTGGCGAGCGACAGCGGGCCCGCCAGATGCTGCAGGAGCTCGAGAGCAATCCTAACTTCAAGAACCTCACCGTGCCATCCGCCAGTGGTGGGCGCCCACACGAGGTGTAGGCTGGCCCCAGTGCACGGCCGCTTGTTGCAACAGACAGTCTGAGAGTAAGAATACGAGCCAATGAAATGAATGGCTGGCTGGCCGTCTGAGTGACTTGCCCGTTGTGTTTGTTTGGACGGTTATGGATGCATAGAGCGCTCGGACAAGTCTATGCCTTGAAGCATTGCAAACGGCACTCTCAGTGCATGGCGCTTACCCCTCTCTCAGCACACACGCCCGGCACTGCAATTCAGCAGAATCCATTCGATCACCCCTCCTCATCGCGAGCTTAGAGAGCGGATTGTTTCCACACTATGCGGAAGTGTGGCGGCCTGTTTCGCGTTGGTCTGTGCTGCCGGCAGCTGTCCGCAAAGACTCATCATCATCGCCAGCAGCAACATCGACGTTTCGCATCCGACCGCGTGGAGGTCAGTGAGCCGTTCGTGTGGGACAGCGAGTCATCCTGGAGGGACTTCATGCTCATGAATGATCAACTCACGGAGGAAGGTAGGCGCAGACGCCAGAGATCTGCCACGGGTGATCTGCCACCTCTTCATGTGCACGTGTGTGTGTATGATGATGTTCCTTTCCTCCCGCAGAGCGGCTCATTCGTGACTCTGCGCAGGCCTTCTGCAGTCGGCAACTGTTTCCCCGTATCAAGGAGGCCTTCAGACACGAAACATTCACTAAGAATGTCTTCATCGAGATGGGGAGGTAGGTGACCACACACGCACTTCGTGAATCGGGGTTCACTTGGCTTACTTGCGTCCGTCTGCTTCCTTCCGGATGCAGGGAGGGCCTGTTGGGGCCGACGCTGCCTGATTACGGCTGCGCTGGAGCATCCAGTGTTGCGTATGGCCTGATTGCGAGGGAGATAGAGCGGGTCGACAGCGGCTATCGGTCAATGTTCTCGGTGCAGTCGTCGCTCGTGATGCTGCCGATACACTCATACGGCACTGACGCGCAGAAGGGCAAGTACCTGCCAGGTCGGCTGCCTGCCGAGAGAGAGGACACCAATCAAAAGCACAGACACATGCATCGATCTATCTGTCTGTCTGTCTGTCTGCGTGTATCCGATGCTGTCTTTCTTTGCAGCACTTGCATCTGGCGAGCTGATTGGCGCCTTCGGGCTGACAGAACCCGACCATGGTAGCTGACCTGACAGGCACTCAAGGGATGCCTGCCTGCCTGCCCTGCAGGAATGTAACTTTGATGAGTCTGTCTGTCAAACTTGGTATGCTATGCGTAGGCAGCGATCCATCGGGCATGAAAACCAAGGCCGTCAAACAGGTACCTAGGATGGACAGGCAGACCGATCGGGCGGGCGGAATTGCACTGGCACTTGTGTGCGCTGATGGATGGATGGATTCACACAGGGCAGTGAGTATGTCTTGTCTGGGGCAAAGACGTGGATCACCAATTCGCCGGTCGCAAACATTTTCCTGGTCTGGGCACGCGACCAAGACGGTCAGTCTCCCCAACAGTCACCATTGACGTCACGCATTCATCGTACGGCCCAAAGATGGCCATCTCTTCTCATTCAGGCGTTGTGCGTGGGTTCATCCTGGAGCGGGGCATGGACGGGCTCTCTACGCCATCAATACAGGTAGGGGACAGACAGAAGGGTGGCCAGCGCAACGCACCTTATCCGGCTGGCCGCGTGTATCGTGTGTCTGTCCAGGGCAAGTATTCCCTTCGCGCTTCACCAACGGGCATGATCATCATGGAGGACGTCAAGGTGAGCATCCACTGCACAGCATACATCTGTATGTGTACCTGTGTACCCGCCCCGCTGGCAGGTGCCTGTGGACAATGTGCTGCCCCACACAGAAGGCCTGAAAGGGGCGTTGTCCTGCCTCAACAGTGCCAGGTAGCCAACCCACTACGGTTGACGTGGTCCGGTAAATCGTCCATGGTCGCCACTTACAGGCTGGGCATCGCGTGGGGCACGTTGGGTGCGGCGGAGTTCTGTGTCGAGGTGGCCAGGAGGTACCTACTTGACAGGTGGGTACGGTACACACGCAGAGAGAGAGAGCAAAGGGGGGAGGGGGGGGGAACGGTCCATGTTATTCCGCTCATCTGCTTTTCTGCTTTGTGCTAACGCAGGGAGCAGTTCGGCAAGCCGCTGGCGTCTCAGCAGCTGCTGCAGTACAAGCTGGCAGATGCAGTGACCGAGATCACACTGGGCCTCCAAACCGTCCTCAGAGTGAGCTCACCTCATGGTCCCGCTTATTCATGCGCAGATGGTGTAAATGCTGCTGCTGCAGGCATCCCGTCTGAAGGACGAGGGCCGGCTGCACTCCAACGCCATCAGCCTCATCAAAAGGAACTCATGCTGCAAGGTGAGCAGAGCAGTGAGGGCTCTCGTCACTCAGGGTGCTGGCTGGGCTGCCCTCTGTGTTTGCGTGTCTGTATGCGATGGGTGCTCTTGCAGAGCTTGGAGATCGCTCGGATGTGCAGAGACATGCTGGGAGGTGAGCACACACAGCACTTAGTCCGAGTGAGACCTGAGAAGAGTACATCTGTGTGTGTGGTGGGGGGGGGGGTCATGGTCATGCAGGCAACGGCATTGTCGACGAGTACCACATCATACGCCATTTGCTCAATCTGGAGGCCGTCAAGACATACGAGGGGACCCACGACATACACTCTCTCATACTGGGCAAGGCCATCACAGGGCTGCAGGCATTCAAATGACATTCATTACTTCCACTTTAGTGGGTGCCTGCCTGGTGGGGGCGGTGTACTGACTGTAGGTGCCTGCAACGCTCTTTTTGCAATTAAGGCTCTCTTTATGGTTTATGGCATGCTGATGATCGATGATTTAGTCAGTCACTTGTGTGTTGTAGTGTGGATACGTCGGTCGACAGTTGCACATGGAGATTGATGGATTGACGACCGACCGACCGACAGTCTCGCCGTTTTGTTGTCTGTGGTAGATATGAACAACCCATAAATTTGTCTGGTCTCTCTCCCTCTCTGTCGCTATCATTTCGATGCAGCTCCTCACCCACACTCTCGCCCTCTGTGTCATTCTTATTCCTCCCCTTCGCCGTATTCGGCGTATGAGGGCATCTTGGACATGAGTGCGACGTCCATCGTGATGCCCCAGTGGTCGCTGATCTCCTCACCCAACTCCTGCACCACCAAATCAGCCCCCCTGACCCACACACACACACACACACACATCCATGAGTGAATCCCTGCACCTTGTGTGTGTGTCCACCCCCCTCCCCACCTGCACTCGATCCACCCCAGCTCGAGCACTAGGTCCTGGTTTCGGCCCGGCAGCCATGCGTCGTAGTCGACGGCAGGGTCGTCGAGAATCTCTGCCGGCGGGTGTGTCGACACCAGCCGCCGGATGACGGCCGGCGGGATGGCGATGCGGTCCACCGACATGATGTAGTCCACACGGCCGCGGAACGGCCAGATGAACAGGCTGTTGGGCTTGTTCCGCCGGCCCTTGCTGTCCTCCGAAGCAGACCAACACAGACATGGGCATGGAGGCATGCATCATGTGCTGTGCGTGGGCTGGGCTGTTTACCCACCTGCTGTCCGTCCTCCGGTATGCCCTGGAGGGTGGCGTCGCTCTGGATGTGTTTGTGGAATGGGTTGTGGCCGCGGTCGAAGAGGTCGCGGCACTCGGCCGTGTGGTCGAGGGTCATGAGCTTGCCATACAGGTTCGGGTGAGCCTCCGAATCGATGTTGAAGTCACCCATTATCTGACACACACACACACACACACACACACACAGAGAGAGAGAGAGAGAGAGAGATGACAGGGGCAGAGAGGGGGAGATGGGGAGAGAGGGAACACGAATGTGTGTGTGCTGACTAGTATGTATACGCCGGTGAGGTCCTTCCTGCCCTGGTTGTAGATGAACTCCTCCCACAGACGCTCTGTGACGAAGTTCTTCAACACAGACAAGTTCTTGCGACGACGCTCCGAACCTGACGCGCAGCCCAAGCCCATCCACACACTGGTGGTCCGCCATCCCATCTGTGTGCATCACATGCACACTCACACAGGTGTGTGTTCCGACTCACCCAACACGTTGAAATGCGCGTTGAAGACATACAAGCGGGGCTCCATCCTCACGGCGGCCGCCAGCTCGTTGGCCGCCTGCACGGCCTCCTGCATCTTGCCCTCGCTAGGGGCATCCGACAGCCCGCTGGGTGAGGCACCGAGAGTGAACTCGACGCAGGTGACGTTTTGGTTGGCCAAGGGGAGGGACTGCCGGAAGGGGCGCTTCCCCGCATGCTCAAACGTCAGTATGTCGGGACGCCACGCCTGCAGCAAACCGCTAACGACAGACAGGACGACAGACACACGGCAGAAGAGAGGTCAGGTCGGTTGGCATTCGTTCGGCGTATGAGTGAGTGCTGCGATCGTGTCGTGTGAGGCATGTGTGGGTACTGTACCCAGTAGCGGCGCAGTAGGTGCGAATAGGGCCGATGATGCCGCCGATGATGCCTCCCACCCACCCCTGGAAGTCCTGCTCCACACGATGGGTGTCCTCCAGCTCATCTTGCAACTCGCGCAGACCTGCACCCCACACCTCCTGCACACACACGCACACAGACGACCACAGTCAGTGCAACAGGCCCCGCACGTGTCCGCCTGACCTGCAGGCACACGATATCATGTTCCGCTGCGATTCTCCCAATCCTGCCGCCCCTCGCCGCCTGCCGTGTGCAGTTCCAGAAGACCGAGTTGAAGGTGAGGAATGGCGGCACCAGGTAGCAATTCTGCGTGTAGAGCGACAGGGGGTACTCGGGCCCTTCCTCGCCTCCAGTGGCATGCGACGCGCCGGACTCTTCGCCAGCGCTGCCGGTTGGCTCAGAACGCCGTGATGAGCCTTCTGGCGATGATGTCGACTTCATGCTCTACATAGGCACCAAGAAGGCCATAGCTGGGCTCCCTCCTGCTTCAAGCTCGCCGAAGCTTGCAGATCTGGAGAGGCAAAGGGAAAGCAATGGAGCTGAATGCATCTTTGTTCGGTCGAGAGAAGCGTTCTGACGGCCGGTTTCCCCATCAGCTGCGTCCGCCAGCAGTGGAAGTGGGACTGCTGCACAGAGCCGACGGGTCAGCACGCTTCCGCCTGGGAGATACGAGCGTCACCGTGGCTGTCTATGGGCCGTCGGAGGCACAGCAGCAGCGCAAGACCCTCCTGGACCGTGAGCGATGAATGATCTACCTGTTTTGCCATCCCATGTTTGTTTCGGTCGTGTGATCTGGTCGGTGTCTGTCTGCGTGTGTGTTGTGTTGTTCAGGTGCGTACGTGGAGGTGCTGGTTCGGCCTCTGAGCGGCCCGGCTGATGCCGAGGAGCGCAGCCGCGAGGCCATCCTGCAGAAGATCTTCGAGGCGGCCATCGACACCCCGAGGCACCCTCGGACAGTCGTGCAGATCACTGTGCAGCCCATGAACAACGACAAACCGGTGAGAGGAGAGAGGGTGGCACCAGGAAAATCACCGCATGACCGAAATGCTGTCTGTGTCCGCTGTGTACAGATGATGCATGTGTGTGTGGTGGGCATCTACATGGCCCTCCTGGACGCGTCGGTGCCGCTCCGCTCTCTCCCACTGGCTGTCGCCCTCGCCTACCGACCCCTTCCACAAGGCTCGCCCGACACGGACTTCCCCTTCCTCGTTGACCCACTGCACACCGAACTTGCGGTACTCATGCACACACACATTGGCGTGGCATAGGTGGGCCATGTCTGTCTGTTGCCTCAAGGCGTGTGAGGGTTGCATTGTGATCGTCCTGGACGCTTCCCACCGCCGGTCGAAAGCAGAAAGGGACGAAGGCGACGAAGCTCTTCCGTCATCAGCGGCGGCAGCAGCTGCGGCCGTCCGTCGTGCGTCTGATGCTCCCCGTGGCCGTGTGCTGGCGACGTTCCCCGAGTGCGGCGGGGCGATGCCGCCCGAGGTCTTCCACACGGCACTCAAAGTGGCGGAGAACGCATGCAAGGTCGGCAGGGCAAGGGGGCAGTAAAGCACCGGCGAGCAAAATGGTCACATGTCGGTCGGTGTGTCCGGTTATTCATGTATATGTAGGTGTTGGATTCGTTTGTTCGTTTGAGCTTTGAGAGGCGTCTGACGCTGCTGCAGGCGGCATTTCGGGTGCAGAACTCGCATGGAGGAGATGATGATGATGATGACTGAACGAACAGATCTGGCGTGGGCCCAGGGAAGGAGGGGGGGGTTGTTCAGACTCTTCCTACTGTTGTTGCATACGTTCGTGCGAACAAGACCCTGATTGCATCACTGCCACAGGCTCGCCAAGGCCTTTTGGCCATGATGCCGCGGGGTCTTGCATGTGCGGATGATGCAACCAACGCAGATGCATGAGTCGTTGTTAACTAGCAGAAAGGGCACTAAATCAAAAATTAACGTCACGTACGTCACTCAATGCAATGGGCGTTCCATCCATCCCACGTCCCACGTCACAGCTTGTAAAACATGCCTGTACACCCCTCCCCCCACCATCGCCTCCCGAAGGAGTCAGGGAGCCTGGATGGTTACTCGACAATGCTCGTTGCCTGGAGTCCGTCGAAGTCGACCAGGTGGTCGTCCCAGTCCACAAGGCTCTCGACCGGCATCTCCCTCAGTTGGTCAAGCTGACAACCAAAAGTGTGTAACACACACGCAGGCAGAGAGTGACCACACGAGAATGAAAATGGATGCACGCCATGCCTTTCCCCCTCACCATTTCGCGCACGAGTGGCAGTTCGTCGTTGGATGGGCACAGGACGGTGTTTGGCGGTCCTCCCCTGAGGGCTTCCTCTGTGGGCGCCTTGTTGGGGTCGGCGATCCTGTAGATGTTCTCGGGCATGAAGCTGCGGATCGTCTCGGAGAAGTGGGGGAGCCTGACCGGATGAACAGACACAACGACACAACACAACACAACAAACCGGTACTCATGATGACAGACAGACAGACAGACAGGTGAGGGCTCACTGATAGGCGTAGTCGGAGTTGAGAAGCCTGTAGGCAGTGAATTCGCCGACCATCTTCGGCTCGCCTGACCCATTGCTGTCACTCTCACCGCTGCCCTCGCCCTGACAACCGTCAACAGAGACCAAGCAACGAGCGCATTCCCGTGTATGAGCCTTGAGCCTTTCCAGGTGTTGGCGCATCCGGCCTGGTTTACCGGTCTCCGCAGCTCCCACACGACGCCCACGGCTGCAGCCGATCGGATTTTGCAGAGGTCGCTGAAGGCACTTACGACCGCCGTGGCTGAAAGCGCTATCACACCATTGTAGACCAGCCGACGATTTGGTGTGCGGGGATGGCGCAACTGCATGCGAAAGCTGTGGACACAAGATCAGGGAGAGAGATGGATGACTCGCACTGCACTCATGCATACCATCCGATGGATGGTTGTGGCTAGCGGCTCGCTTACGTTTGCAGTTTCTCTGCGACCTTGTTGCCCTGCACGACTGGTCTGTCCTCCACCCGCCACCTCCCCGCCCACTTAGCCGACGGCATCATCACCGTGCCGTCGTCATAAGTGAACAGCCGGTCGGGCGCCAAGATCCGCGACTTGAGCGTGTACCCATACAGATCCGCCGGCTGATACAGATGCCACACGCCCGCCACCTGCTGCTTGGTATCGCGCTGGTAGGCCTCATCAGGCGTGTCAGATATGGGCACCACCGCCCTCGCGACTTCTTTGACGGCTGTAGTGGTGTCCAGTCCGAGCCGTTGCGCCTCCTTCTCAACCTCGGGCGATGCGGGAGGCTTGTCGAGGTCCTTCGGTGGCTCCTTGAACATACTCAGCCGAGAACGATGCCGTGAGTGTGGCTGTGAGCGCTGTATGCGGGGCGGATGGCGTAACCGGACTGATGGGGCGAGGAAGGCTGCACGTGGGAGGGGTAGGGGCAGGAGATCTGCTGCTGCTGTAGCTGCTGCGGCTGCGAGTGTCCAGAGGAAGATCAGTGCCTGATGGATGAGCTCCATCGGTCGAAACAAACAAAGATGATATGTACCGATAGATCTTCGTTGAATCTTCGCAGCGGGCAGCCAGCTCTGTTCGCGGCTTTCTGGTCAATGCGAGCTGCGAGCTTATCTTTTGCAGCTCGGGGAAGGAGAAAGACGGAATGTACAGCGGGGATGCGCCAGAGCCATCCCTGTTCGATTGCTGCGGTCCAACGGCATCGTGTCCAGCAGTTTGTCTCAATCAATCATGAGCTCTGCACTGGGGCCGTCCTCAAGGACCAGCAGGCAACAGAAATGAGACGCCGCTTCAGATTGACCGCCCCTGCACTGATGCTGTTCCCTGCCATCGGCTGCGGGCTCAGTTTGATAGCTTTGGCCATCACTCTGTTTGGTAAGGTCAATCAGAAGCACGTGGATCTTCGTTCATCGTTTCTCCCTCTCTGTTGTCTTCCCCTTCTCTTCAATCAGGACTTGCCGACAGCCACCCGACCAGGGCACGCGGCTGTGCAAGGCCTCCTCCACCCTCACGGCTGCGCTTTGCATCGTTTTCCTTCCTCCAGCGGCGGTCAACCATTGTCACTCTTCCCCGGCGCTCGGCGAGTGGCCTCATCGAGAGCCACGGCACGGCCTCAGAGATCATGGAGTCGACAACAAACGACAGTCATTCGAAGTCGAGCCGAACCGGCCTGCCCCTCCTCCTCAGTCTAACTTGCCGCCTTTGTCTCCTGGTGGCCCGCCTCTGCCTCCCCAAGCCGCATATGGGCCTCCTTCCCCCAATCTGCCTCCACAGGCTTACTCGAGGCCTCAGGCCGGCCCGCCCCCTCAGCCCGCAGTGTATCCCCGACCGCCACCTGCAGGCCAGCCGCCACCGAGGCCACAGCCTCCCCCGCCTGTCCCACCGATGGCGCCCCCGCCCCTGCCGGCAGGGCCTCCCCCTATGACGCAGCCGCCCGCCCATGCTCCACGGCCCATGGGTCAGCCGAACCTGCCGCCGCTTCCACAGATGGGACCGGCTCAGCCGCCGATGGCGATGGGGCCTGGGATACAGGCGCCCCCAGGCGTGCCACCGAGTGGCATGCCGCCACAGCAGCCACAACAGCCACAACAGCCACAACAGCCGCAGGCGCAACAGCAGCAGCAGGCCGGAGGGGGCACTGCGAGCGTCACTGATCAGGTTGGTGTCCAAGTCAAGTCCTATCTGTCTGCATATGTCGATTCCTCTGCTTGGTGCCTGGTTGCACGGGTATACTATAGGCGGTGTGTGGCGAGTGGGAGATGGCGTGTCAGCAGGAAGGAGAGAGGGAGAACCCGCTCTTTCGGAACTCTCAAGTCATGTATCTCCTGGCAAGTGCGGGTGGGGGCCAGCGCGTCTGTTATGTCGATAATTCGTTCGAGAAAAGCGAAACATGCGAAGAGTCAAAACAGATATCTGGCAAGTAACAGAACAGCAGCGTACCGGCCGGCATGCATGGCATGCACGTGCATCTTTCATCGTCTGTGTCCCTCCAGAGTTCGCTGCCGAAGGTCAATGGCTGATCAAGGAGCAGAAGCCGCAGCAAGATGGGAGCGTCGACGTCACTGTCTCGACCTTCTGGGACCAGATCGTGGTGACTCCCCTGACCGACAAGCAGGCACACCATCTCAAAGACGACTGCAAGTGCCACGCAAAGGACCACAAGCATTGGTCCAAAGGCAAGCGGCAAGAGGTCATCGACTGCGAGACGGACCAGTGCGGCTTCACATACGCCCTCTGCCACAACCGCGTGTCGGGCCAGGCCGTCGCCGAGAAGCCCAAGAATCCTCCGGACCATGTCTCAGACAAGGGCGACTGTGTGAGTGAGGAAGTCTATCGGGTCATGCCGGGGGGAAAAGAGATGATGCTCATCGACAAGGGGGTGCCCAAAAGCAAACTGGTCAAGAAGGTAGAGTGCGACAAGGCTAAATACGGGAAGAGCTGTTTGCCGGGTGCAGCCAGGACGACACACAATGGTGGGTGGGGAAGCTTCGGCTGTGTGTTGGTCGTCATGGGGGTGCATCTGCTGATGTATGTGGGTGGGCTCATCATATGAATGAGCGACATGGATTCTTACTTACGACAGATGGACAAGAGACATAGACTGTGTGCCGCTTAGATAGACTCTGTGACCATCCCTTATCCGCTCAATCTCAAGAGACGCAATCAATGTCGGACCTATGCCTCAACACGTCCCTCTCTGCCTGTCCACAATTGCGCTCCATCCATTCAGCACATTCTCCGTGGCACAAAGACTCACTCAGTCAAGCGAGAAATCGTCGTCCAGCAGTGATTTCGGTTGAGCCGGCTGTCTTGTCCTCGCTGCCCCACTTGTAGCTCTTCGAGCCTGATCCGGCCGCAGCTCGGCCGGCCGGGCATATTCTTGTCCCTGCTGCTTCTTAGGCTCGCTCCCAGCCTTTTCCTGCTCGCTCCCAGCCTTTTTCTGCTCCATTTTCTCATCTCCTTGACGAATGGCTCCCTGGAGAGACTCAGCAATGTCGCAGTCCGTCACCCGATGCCACGAGTTGGTCCTTGTGCCATGTAGCAACTGGTCAAAGAAGTCGAGTCTCGCCGCCATGCGGTAGTGGTCGTAGCCCACACACTCTTTCCATTGCTGGCCCGTTTCCTGGCAGAGTGCCTGGGTGAAGGAGTGGCACAGCTCACGGCGGCACGCAGACGGCAGCACGCTTGCTGGTTTGCCTTCGGGGAATCGCCTTGGCGGACTTGTGCAGGGGCATAGTTGCTGCAGGAAGCGAAGCTCCCTTCTGTTTGCCAATGTCACAGTGGCCGTGTCCCAATTCGTCTTGAGAGAGACGTCGACTCGAGTCCTGTTGTTTGGCGACGTCATTTGACGCGTGTAGGTCCAGGTTCCCACAGCGACGAACTCTGCAGGAAGGATATATAAAGGGGAGAGAAGAGGCCACGTCCCTGGTCGACCTCAGGAGGCCATACATGTCTCAAACGCACCATATACTCTGGAAGCGCTCTCACATCTGGGCGAGCGGAAGGCTGAGACGATGTGGTAAACAGTCGAGGTCGTGTAGAGCACCGTGCTTGACACGTAGGTCCCCTCGCCAGAATGGTACACGCACTGAATCACCCACGTCCCACCTGCCAATCGACAAGCAAACAAGACAAGACGGCGTTGCTCTCTCCCTCCCGTCTACTGTCTGCCTGTCTGTGTGTGTGTGTGTGTCTGTCTGTCTGTCTGTGCGTACACATTGCCTCCCTCGGCAAGAGGTCCCTTGGTTGCGGCAGCGGCCTCTCGTGAGGACGGTGCTCAGGCGTGATAACAATTGTTGTCGGCTGGGGAGGCGGATAAACCGGGATTGGGGCTGGCGGTGGGGGTGGGCCTGGGTGCACGATGCGGACGGGCGCCGGTCCTGGCGGCAGTGGTGGGTGGGCTGCTGGATGAATGGGAGGCAGGTTGGGGTTCCTTGGTCGGTGGGCTCCTGGCACGACAGCATGGATGGGAGGCAGGTTGGGGCTCCCCGAACTGGTGGAGGGCGGAGGCACGTTGCTCTGAGTGTGGTGCACTGGCTGCCGGCGCCCCAGGAGCTCAAACCATTTGCTAAGAGGGGGAAACAAGCGATTGGGCTGATTTGGGTTGGTGTAAGAGGGGATGTGCTTGACGGACAGCTGACGGACGAAGCGATGAGAGACTCGGCCTGACGACACACGTACTGTGACAAAGACTGAGACAAGAGCTTGATTCGCTTTTGTTTCTCTCACCAAACGATGTGTTCGCAGCCGCGAAGGCCAGAAATAGGATACGCTGCCACAGCCGACGCATAGCCAGCCGAGAAAGGCGAATGCAGACGCAGCTCCGACAGACTCTGCCTGCCGTTGCGCTTTGAGTTAACGTTGTCCCTCCGATGGGGGCAGCCCCCACGTGAGACGCGTCTGACTCCCAATGGCTCTTCAAGTTCCCCCTCCTGGTCCACGCCAACGAAGACACCGGCATCGTGTCCGTGCGCACACCAAACAGGTATGTACGCCCCCTTCTGCAGCATGAACGTTCTTCCCGAAATCTCCCTGCCATGCATCGACGGTGCCTGCAGGAGCCGCTGGCGAAGGACGGTGCCTTCTTCCTCACGGGCGTTGAGGCGGATGACCACCCGGCCATGCCGGAGCCCCCGCCGCCTCCCCTCAGCACCGCCGCCCTCATCAACCGCTACAAGAACATCTATTGGGCAATACAGCCCTCACGAAGCTTCGTCCCTGCTGCCATGCCGGCCGTCGGTCATGATGGGGCAGTCGGTGAAGAGGTGACATATGGCGGTCTGATGGAGGATGTGGAGGCTCTCAGCCTGGCCCCTGCGCGCAAGAAGATGGCTGAGTTGCGCGGCATGATCTGCGAGACGGACAAGAAGATGAAGAGACAGAAGTCGGAGCTGCATTTGCTGAGGGCGGTGAGTGAGCGAGCGGGCAGCGGACGAGACGACGGCATGCAGCCAGCCTTTCAGGCATGGTGTCTGTCTGTTCTGTCAGGGTGTGGAGGGCATGAAGCGAGATCTGATAGACATTGCTGCCGGTGAGGGGGAGGGCGGGGCGGCGAGAGGCCTCGCCGACTCTGACAGAAAGAGAGCACTGCCTCCCACGACAAACAACACGTGAGTAGAGGCGCACAGACAGGCAGGCAGAACCAGCCATCATTTCCCGCTTCCCTCCACACACACACACACATGGATGCAATGCAGGTCTTCCTCGGCGCTTGAGCCATTTTCCCAGTCCGCCCACCAGGTCGCCCGTCCCACTTCACGGGGCGGCTTCTTCCGCTCTGTGCGCACCCTGACAGCCCTGCCGGCACCCGCAGCAATGCTGGAGGACTACAGCCCATCTGCAGTGCCGCTGTCGCTGGAGAGGGCGGACAAGCACAAAGCACTTCCAAGCCTGTCTCCAACCATAGCTACAGGGAATGGTGAGAAAGAAAGTGCCTGTATGCCTGTCTACGGTTGAGAGAGTGCCTTCCTTATTGCGTGTGTCTCGTGCAGTGCACTCAGTGTCGAAGCTGCTGCATCAAGATACTGTCGGTGCCAGCCACACCACGAGGTACGTGTGAGTGTAAGGGTGACATTGATTGGCTCATATATCTGGCCTGCATGATGTCATGTGGTGTGTGTGCTGTGCGCTCAGACGTGAGCAGCTGAAGGCTGGGGCCAGACGCAGAAGCCTCACAACCACCACCGCTGACACACCCACAGCATGATGGATGGCAACCGTGCCCACTTGGTGCACTCTTGTGTGGACGTGGTGTGTGTGGAAGCAGCCTCCTTGCAGGCGAAAGGGGCTGGGGGGCTGGGGTGGTGTTTCTGTCTGCGGTTGGTTGCTCTTCTCACGTCAGTCAACCTTCACGACTGACTGACCAATTTATTTGACGGCAGACAGCCACACATGCATGCATGGTGTCATGACAGACAGACAGCGTCAGCGTCTAAATGTGTCTGTCTGTCTCTTCTCGTCCACACCACACCACACCACACGGGACAGACAGAAGGGAAGGAATGCATTCGTGCAGTGCTGACTACATCAATCCATCATGACACCCCCGACCGCATGTATGGTGTCTATCACGACTACATCATCTTTCTCTCTGCGTATGCAGGATTGGATTGCAGCACCGATGTCGTCAAGAAGCTAGGGCCTTTACAGATGGGTGGATGGGCGGATGGGGCAGGAGGGACGCTCGGACAGGCAGGCAGGCAGGCAGGCAGACAGGGCGAGAGGTCTGCCTGGCAGGCAGCCCAGGACAGCGCTCCACGTACCCACTATTACACATGGTGATACACATGGATGGTGGCCGTATGCAGAATGAAGCTGTGAATGTGTGTGTGTCATAGTGTGTGTGGATGCGGTGCCAGCCAGCCACAGCCAGCCACAGCCAGCTTCAAACAGAGAGGTGAGGTAACGGACAGAGAGGCAAGGCGCCCACATTAGTGACAGTGGTGGGTGATAAAAACCAGATACTTCTTGCCGCTCCTTGCAAGGGCAACACTACACACACACACACATCCATCCATCCATCCATTCATCCAGCTGCTCATGCGGACGTACACATACGAGAGGAAGAACCATATCATCAATGTACAAGTAGGGTGGCTGCCCAAAAATTCATAACAAGGGGCTCTAGATGGGATGGATGGATGGAGGCACCAATGAGCATACACACACACACAGACGTGCACACACAGACAGATAGAGTGGCGGCCAGGGTAGCTTCGCCACAGCCGGCCGCAAACAAATGAGAGGAGAGGAGCGGCGAGGTACACACGACACGGCCGGAGAGAGGCCGGCAGGGAAATGAAGACCCACTCCACTCACACACGTACGCAGGCTGGCTGGATAGACAGATACCGCAGCTGGCAAAACCTGACTCACTCACTCGTGTGTGCGGTGCGCGCCACCGTGACGAGACGGGCCCACGGACAATTTAACAGATGAAAAGTACCACACCACCCAAAACAGAGGGAGGAAAAAGGTGGACAGATAGGTAGACACACAGGAAGTGTGCGAAGATAAAGTGGTTGGTGCGCGAGCTGAGCTCACTGGCTGGCTGGCTGGCTGGCTGGCTGCGCTATGCTATCTGTGCCATGTTTCTCTCTCTATCGCATCGCCCCCCATTCATCGCATAACGATTCTTTTCATTGAAAAAAGTGAGTGACCGTGGCGCGTCGCAGTGTGCAGTGGGTGCCGGTCGGTTGGCGGATGGATGGATGGATGGAGGGTGGGTGGGTGGGTGGGTGCCTGTGGTGTGTATGTGGTGCGGTGGCTATGTGCGCTTCATCCAAAAATAGTGAGTGGCGATGAGCATCAAGCAAGAGAACATCCAGACAGACACCAACGACCCGACAGACACGGCACGAGCCAGCCAGCCAGCCCAGCTGAGAGTGTATAGAACGCGCAGTCAGTGGCCCTCTCCATCCACATCTATCTATCTTCATCTGTCTGTCTATCTTTCTGGCGGCAATGGCACGGTTCCTTCCTAAATACTTAACTAACACCAACACGCGCACAGGCAGGCAATGCAATGCAATGCAATCCAGCACACAGCCATTGAGTGAGATGGGGGCGGGGCGGGGCGGACCAACAAACGCCAAGACACCGCACACAAAACGATTAGATACAGACAGAGAGAGAGAGGTAGATAGCGAGAGAGAGAAGGTGTGACGTGACAGACACCGAGTGAGCGTTGACCCATTTGTTCACGTGCAGTGAGGCGGGCAAAAGCAAACCAGGTGTGTGGCGATTGATTGAAAGGGGTGTTCGTTCGTTCGTGCGTGCGTGCGTGTTTGTCCACATCCATCCATCCATCCACCCACCTCTCCTGTATCAGGTGACCCGGGAGGCACGTGATCGAGGAGAGGAGAGAGCACACAGGCACACAGGCAGGCAGGCAGGCAGGCAGACAGGCAGCGGACAGACAAGTGATAAGTGAGATAGATGTGCAACCGATGAATGAATGCAGCATCAAGTCAAAACCGCCATAGCCAGCCACGGGTATGTATGCATCAAACGGGCGGGTGTGAGTGGCGTGTGGGTGCCTTTAAATAGGCGGAGAGACAGACAAGACACCACAGGGGAGGGGGGCAGGGCAGAGGCGCTGTGTCTGTGCTGCAGTGCGAGAAGGGGCCATGAGGGAGGGAGGGAGGGAGCAATAGTGCTATATCTGCTATGCATCATGTGCTATAAGTGGTGCAGACGCGGAATGCATGTCATGATATAAGCAAGCTACACATCACATGGCTGACTGCGCTCCACTCTCTCTACCGCCCGCCCGCCCGCCCGCCCCCAGGCCACCCACTCATCAACACACACAGAGGAAATCAACTTCTGCGTATATATGGACTGGATTGCATCGCCTTGCCTCCCTCCCTCCCTCCTGTCTGTCTGCAAGGCTATGCACTACGTGTCAGTCAGTCAGTCAGTACGAACCTCTTACTTACCTTACTGACATGGACACTCACATGCACTCCACTCCCACACGAGGCACGTAGGCAGGCAGGCAGGCAGTCATAGCGCTCTCCAACACTCCCACTCACATGCTCGTGTCCGTCTGTCTGTCTGTCTGTCGCCGTATCATCAACGGTTACATGAGCACATGGATGGCATCCACGTATTGTATGTGCATGTGCTTGTATGTGACACTGACTGCCATCCGACACGTCTGCGCCGCCACACGTGCACACAGGCGGGGCGGGGCGGGGCGGGCAGAGAGGGGGCAACGGTACAGCAAGCCTGTTGGCCAGCTGGCTACTTACTTCGTTGCCTGGCTCACACACACACACACACACACAGAGGGACGCTCACATCATCACACACAGCGCAGCCCACAGCATGCAAATCAACCCACCCTATACACCCACCCACCATTCCTTCACTCACCTGGCTATCCCTCACCTCTCCCCTCCCCTCCCCCTCACCAGGCTAGCCCTCTCCTCTCTGCCTCTCTCTCCTGTCCCTGCCTTTCTTTGTACAGACAGACAAAACCGCCGCACCGCACCCACCGTCCCGCCCACCCCGCCCCCCCAATGGCATGGCACCAAACCAAACGCAACCCAACCCACACAACACAAACACAAACACAACCCCGCCCTGCAGTCGTCAGCGCATGTGTGCTATCTGCCCCCCTCCTCCCTCTCCCTGTCCCTCTCCCCTGCCTCGGCGGCCATCCCAAATCGCGTCTTGCCGCCATCCGGCTGCTCGTTGGCCGGCTCGTCGAGTCGGATGCCGCGCGCGAGTGCGACTGCCTGCAGGGGCGGCAGGTTGAGTACCTCCAGGACCAGCACGGCTGGTTTGCCGTCGCAGGTCATCTCGACGGTGCGGCCGTATGTGTGGAGGTCGGTGCCGTTGGTGTGGCTGCTGAAGTGGCGGTTGTGGAACAGCGTCCACAGGTGGCTGTCACGGTCAGCTGTGACGTCACACAACACAGAGACCAACCACACAGACACAACACCGACCACCGAATACACACAATCCGTCCACAATGGGATGGGCAGGTGTTGTGTTGCTTGTGTGTGTCGCTTCTCTCTCTGGTTGAGTTGCGTACCATTGACCTTCCAGAGCTGGTCGACTTTGACCTCTCGCTTGACGCCGTGGTTCTCGAGGATGCGCCCAAAGGGCACCCTCTCGGACTCTATGTCGCGCCGCACCTCCGGCCGCATGGCGGCCAGGTCGACACAGATGACGCCCAGCGACACGGCACAGCCGCCCAGCACCGCTCCCTCCATATCGACATCGCCCCCCAGCGCCCCGTCGCCCTCCTGCCCGTTGCCCTGCTCCGCCTCGCCCTCCTCACCAGGCACCCGAAGCAGCACCTGCCGGCTGTAGAAACACTTCTTGCTGTCCTTGAGCTTCGACACCACGTCGATCTCGAAACGCGTGTGGCAGAACCGCTCCAGCACCAGGGTCAGGTTGTCCGTGTGCGAGACCAGCTCGCGGACCCGCGGCGGCACCTCGCTCGCCGACACGCACCGGAATGTGCCGAACCGGTAGGGCGACGACTGCGACTGAATGACGTGGTTGAGCACTCCCACCACCTCCGGCACGTGGTGGTCCTGCAGTCACACACGTACAAGGAAGGTACAAGTTGACTACTTGGTTTGGTATCACAGAGATAGAGAAAAGTGCGCAATGTTTGGTGTGCACACGTACCTGTAGGAAGACGCCGGCGAGGGCAGGGGGGAAGCCGCCCTGCATCTGGGGGGCCGTGAGGGGGGACCTGCTGGCGTCAGGGTGGGGCGAGGCGGACGTCCGGGCCGTCGGCGACACAGCGAGCCGCGACAGCCGGGCCTTGTGGGCGGTGGGTGAGAGGACGATGCGCGAGGGGATGCGCGAGCACTTGAAGCCAGCCGGGGAGACCTCGCCGTGCGCTCGCGCCACAGGAGAGAAGGGCTCGCTTATCACACTCATGGCCGCCGACACCAGCTGCCGTCAGAACGGCAGCAGCAGTACCAGCAAACGTATCTGAAGGCAAGGGGGAGGGAGGGCCGGGGAGGGGAGGGGGAAAGAAAGCAAAGGAAGAGTCCGAAAGAGTTCTTGTCAGTCAGCCGTACACACTTGACAAAAAGACTTGAGCCAAACAGTCAGGCTAAGGGTGAGAGGGCAGGCAAGGCAAGGCAAGGCAAATCAGGGCAGGTGTACTGCGCTCCCTCTCTGCGAGTCCGTCGGCTGCCCTCCGTCCGTGCGATTCCCTCCCGTACCTCGCCCTCCGCCTTCTCAATAATAATAACGCCACCGAGTCTCGACCTCCCCAACGGCAATCACCTCTTGCACACCCAACACCAATGAACAACCTGCACCGTACGGACGGACCATCACAGCACAACACGACACGTGCATCTGTCTGTTGCCTCGCGGATCCACACGCACATGCCGCTCCGGACTCACCTGTTCATTGAATTAGAGCGCTCAAGCGCTGATCTTGAATGCACTTCACTGCAGTGCCAACTGCTTAAGCAATGGCATCCACTCTCCTCTAAACACGCAGGTGCCCCCTGTCGAGGCTGCGAGCTGCGAGCTTTCACGCCACCACACTCACGTTCGTGATCTGGATATTCTGGGTAGCTGACCCTCAAGAGCCGCAGGAGTCGCCAGAGGGAAAGCCTTGGCAGAGCCCTTGGGCTTTCAAAACGGTCCTTTCTTTTTCACGTTTCCGCCGCACCTCCAGTATGAATGGCGCCAGCAGCAGTCTCTCAGCGAGCCCGCGGGACCGTGCTGCGTCAGCTCGGCCAGCAGAGCAGCTGATTGCCTTCGAGGTCTCTTCTCACAGCCCTGGGCAGCCCGTTCCCACCGTCGTTTGGCATGCGGCCCTGCCCAGGCCATCGCAGCGCCCCTGGGCGGCTGGAGTGACATCGAGGGCGGCGGTCGATGCCCAGCTGGCTGTCGAGGCCGAGCGGGCCATCGAGCGGGCAATGAAGGAGGAGCTGGCCAAGGAGGGACGGCAGCGGGTGCTCAACGAGATGTTCGCCAGGGAGGCGCCGGCGCCCTCTGAGTACTCGTTCTCATACTCCAGACAGCCGACGAGAGCAAGGCCGGATTCAGAAAGTTAGTACAAAGGTGCACAGAAAACAACTCTCTGAAGCATTTTGGCTTATGGCTGTTGGTTGTTGGTCGTCTTTGGTGTGTGGTCTGTGTGTGTGTGTGTATGTGGTTCAGAGGAGTTGACGCCCACCGAGGCCAACGACCTCGCCAGCAGCTGGCTGAACGGCGTCAAGACACGACAGGGCCTGACGCTCACATGGGAGACCACCAAGGGCAAGGCGACGCGCTTCAACGTGGTGCAGCTGCCGGATGACAGGACCGTCATGAGCTTCCCCGTGCACCTGCTGACTGAGGACAATATCCAGTGTGCCTTCACGCGCGCGGTGACGTGGCGGGATAACTGGGTGGACAAGGCCAGCAAACAGGCCATCGCTAATCTCAAAGGTAGGCGGCCACGCACCATGAGAAAGGCGCAAAGTGATTGATGTTTGAATGAATGAATGTGTGTGTGTGTGTGTGTGTGTGTCTGTGTGTCAGCGTGCCTGCCGCCCCCTTCGCATCCACTCGACCCTGCAGGAGTCCAGGTGACATGACACCTAACAACAGCCACAGCACATACGATCCTCCACCTCTGTTGGCCGATCCCGTTCCTTCAGCGTTTCTCTAAGGTTCTGTTGCGCCTCACTCGCGAGTTGAATCGTGACGCCTATTGCGAAGAGGAGCTGTCCGACCAGCATCGCTCATCAAGCCTCGCACACTTCGGTATCGAATGGCGTAGAAACACCGACAGCAGCACAGACACGGCGGGGAACCAGGTCAGTGAGCCCACAGACACACAGCCACAGCCAACCCACGCTCCCATGCATCCACCCATCCATCCATCTTTGCGCATTTGGCAGGGCGGTTTCATGGTGTGGCTTCCCCCCCTCCCCCCCTGGCTCGGCCATGGTGTCCTCTGCCCCCGCCGCCCCACCCTGTGGAGCATCCGACTGGCCCTGCAAGAGGCCGTCATGAGCCGCAATAGACTGGCAGACACGCTGGGGTGGGGCGGGCGGCTGAGTGACGACGGCCTGTTCACACAGGTGGAGAAGGGGAAGGATGGGAGGCCCTCACCTGACCCTGGTGACGGGGAAGACACTGCGGCCAGGGGGCAAACCAAGGCAGCAAACGCCAGAGAAGAAAGTGAGAGAACGACCGTACACACCATGACACACACAAGGGGGATGGCACGCGTGTATGGGTCTTCTCGTGCCTCCTGTCCTGTCTTGTCTCATGTCAGGTGCTCGTTTGGCCGCTCTGCTTTCGAAGCCCACTGCGCCGCTGGCGAGGGACGACGTGCCACTTGTCGCCCAGCTGCTCATTGAGCTTGTCAACCACAAGATCAGGACGCTGTGCAACCATCCGGACCTCCCCAGCCCCCCATCAGACGCCTTCCTGAAGTCTCGTGTCAGCCTGCTGGGCATCTCCTGGCACACACGGTGGCACCTGGCCTCGTTCGGCTACTTCTCGGTCGACGTGCCGGACCACTCATCTGCGTCAAGCCCGACCAATGCGTCATTCCACGGCGGGCTGTTCGTGCCGGCGGACGCCACTGTGGCGTCGTTGCGAAGTGCCCTGTCGGACGCGCTGAGCGGGCGTCACTTTGTGGGCAACCTGTTCGACATTCCCGACCCCCTCGTCAAGCCCGGTCTCCACGACCTGGCGGCATCAGCTGAAGGCCTCAAGGAGGGGGCCGCGGCAGAAGACGATCTCGTGATGCAGGAGGCCCTCCCCGCCGCCAACGACGGCCTGGCGCAGCTGGGGGGCTTTGACGACCAACGCGACAACGACGACACATCTGGGCCGCCACCCGAGCAGCTGACGACCGAGGCCCTCTCGTGTCTGGCCAAGCTGGCGTGCAGCGACGTCCTGGCGCGGCTTGACGCGTCGATCCAGTGGGATGGGGACACATCGTCCTTCCTGCTGCGCTTCCCCATTGCCCACCTGACCCACGGGGGCGGGCAGCAGGGCTCTTCTTCCCTTCGGACTGCTTATTCCGATTACTATGCGAGCCGCCACTTCGCTGTGAAGCCGCGGGCGGATCTGCGACACGTGAGGGGTGCGCTGTGCCAGGTGGTGAGCTTCGTGTGGGACTCTTTCGCGACCCTCGAGACGGTGGCCTTCCCCCCAGTGCTGTTCCACGACCAGTCGGCAGCCGCGGATGAGGAGCCCATGGGCAATGTAGAGGAACAATGTGAGCATCACACGCACCATACTCACACACACGCACACACACACACGGGGACACAAGGAGTGCATTGTCTACTCATGACACATCGTCTGTCGTCTTGATGCATGTGTGCAGTCATTGACGAGGGTGGGGACAATGGTTCTGTCGAGATGCCCGACTCCTCGCCAGCCGCGGTGCCACCAGTCGCGGCGTCATCTAGTGGAGTGATCGATCTGACCGCCGCCGAGCAGGGAAACGAAGCTCAGCCACCGGCAAAATTAGCAGACAATGACCCATCGAAGCCGCCACGAAAACGTAAGAAAAGCCGAGAGCGGTCAACGGCACAACCGGAACAATCAACAATCACATTGTCGTCTTCCATGCCATGCTGCAGGTGAACGTTGCACAACCGTGGCGAACCGGCTGCTGGCGAACTTTCCCTATCTGCACGTGCTGACCCAGATGCACATCCATCTTGTGTGGCGGGGAGCAGAGCGCGGCTTTGCCCTGCTCCCGCAGGAGGCCTGCATCCTGCCATTTGACGTCAAGGAGAACCTCGAGCGATCCTTCGTGCCTCACGGGCTTGACGAGGCGGGGCTGCAGCGGACCCTCGCTGACGTGCTTGAGCACATCAAGCAGGTCCTCAGTGAGGGCAGCAGCCTCCCTCCGGCGCCATCCACTGACGAGAACTCCCTCCTCTCTGTGTACTCGCTCACGTCGGCAGCCACGGCTCTGCTCAAGCGCGTGAAGGAGGAGAACACTGTGCAGGTGAGGGCAGCCAAGAAGATGGGCGTGCCGGTGGACCTGGGCATCGGGTGGGCGGATGGCGAGGGGGGCCGGCCCGGGTTTGAGGTCCATGTGCGTGAGGTGACGCCTGGCGCGGCGTCGGACGCCATGCACGACGGGGGCTTCTATCGGCCTGTGCGCATGACGGTGGCTGCACTCAAGGCGGCCCTGCGGAGCGCTGTGGCTGCCCGCAACGAGCTAGTCAAGCTGTTCAACATGCCCACGGAGATCCACACAGCCAGCATTGAGGGTTTCAACCCTCTAGACCCTTCACCCGCGGCAGCTGACAAGGAAGACTGGTCCTCAGCGGCGTCGGCAGCCGACGGTGTGCCCCCCGCCCGGCAGAGCCGAGCCCCAAACCGTCAGAATCGAGGCGTGAAGGCTTCCACCGGCACCAAGCGCAAGGCCAGTCCGTCCAAGAGCAGCGCACCCAAGGCGCATCGCAGGGGCAAGAAAGGCCGATTCGTATCCACTGCTGCCTCTGGAGGTTCTCAGCGAGCAAGCAACGGCGAGAGTGACGCGAAGGCGGCCCTCTCGCGCTTCCAGGCATGTCCCATCACTGTGAGCGACTCAACCAACCTGGCGGCCATGGCGGCTGAGGTGCTTGAGGCGTGCAAACAGCACGGCTGCTACCCAGCTGAGGGGCCAGAGATCTTCTGGGAGGAGTGCAAGGTGGGATACGCCATCCGGTTTCCGTCCAATGACGGCACTGGTACCTTCCGGCGGCGGTACTTCAAGCCCCCGCAGCCGGTGAATGTGTGCGCCCTCAAGATGGCCATCATGGCGGCCCTCACCTTCCATCGCAAGCTGGTGTCTGAGGAGGGGCGGGCGTGTTGCAGCGGAGAGGGGCAGGGTGGTGGACATGGGGCGGGCGAGTGTGCGTCTCGGGCGATGCACGTCGACGTGTCCAAGGGCGTGCAGGAAGACGGTAACTGAGCACGTGACCCAAAAGAGACGATGGATGGGGCACACGGTGAGCCGGCTTTCTGCTTTCGTATGCTGTTCAGGTGATGTGTTCGCCTTGCTGCCCCGCGACGAGATCAACCGGCTGGCGCTCAACTTTCAGCACAGGATCCAGCAAGAGGACTCCAACATGCGGCGGTCCACCAGCAGCAGCACTTTGGCCAGCGGGGCCACCATCCGCGTGACGTGGAACGGTGCCGACGAGACATTCGACGTGCACCTGATAGCGCCCCACGCGCCAGAGCAGCTGCTGGAGAAGCTCAAGCTGTCCCGCAAGAACGTCTCTCAGATGAGGGCGCTGGTCGGGCGGGCCGTCGAGGCGCGCAACGCTCACGCAGACAAGTATCACTGCCAGCCGAGCAAGATTAGCATCGAGGCCGTGCTGAGTTGATGGGGCGGAGGGGTAATTGATAAGCTCGTCTGGCTGCCATTTGCCGTCCGTCCGCCCGTCCATGTTTGTTTTTCTGTCGTGCATAGGTGGCTGTGTCTTCATGTGTGCGCTGTGTCCAGACTGTGATGCTTTAGTACATGTGATCCTTCCAGGCTTATGCCATTTCATTCATCTGCATGCCGCGGGTGGGTATATATGCGTGCTGCGTCGGACGTCAGGTGGCTTTGCTTGCTTGGAGTGGCCGGGTGGCCGAGGGGTCGGGGTGACGGCAGCTGGTACGGTGCGCGCGGGAGGACTGGCTGTGATGCTCACACACGTACACGTACGTATGATGATACCTACGTACTTGTGTCGATCCACACAAGGAAGCAAAGTCAACCGAAACCACGCATTTTGCTTGCCGGCGAGCGGCAGACTGATCGTTTTGTGAGCATTCGACACACTGATCGATATCATGTCAGTCACTGCCAGTGCCGTCCCGTGGGAGGAAGACCCGCTACTCACACAGGTGTGTACTCACGCACTCACTCACTGCACACACAGAGGGAGGCAGACAAGCAAACACAAACATCATCCTTCAGGCTCGGCATCAAGTCAAGGAGGAGAACCTCGCGAGGCTGGTGCGGCGCAAGTCGTCCAGGAAGAAGCAGACCACTGCACAGGCCGCCAAGTGGAAGATGACACACGTCCGCATCAGCAAGGCACTCAAAGTCAAGAGTCAGCAAAGACAGAGAGAGACACAAACGGCAAACTGACTGACACTCTCTCATTTTGTGTCCCACTCTTGTCAGTGTGGGTGCCGGACGATGGCGGTTGGACGGCTCTGCGTGGGTTGCATCAGGCGCAGACGATGCAGGAGCGAGACACGATGATCGACAGGCAGGAGAACGAATCAGCCAACGACAAGGCCGACAAGGACAACAAGGACAACAACACCAAGACAACAGTCAGCGCCAAGACAAACCACTTTCCCTTTACTTACATGACACACATAAGTACATTCATGGGTTGTGTGTGGCTGCAGCTTGCTGCTCGTCGCCCGACTCGTGCTTGTCGCATTGGCCAAACCACCAACTACGCCGAGCTGGGAGAGGTCAGTGCGGCAGAGAAGCACTGAGTACCTTCCTGTGTGTGTGAATACGTGTGTGTGTGTCTCAGGTTGACGAGAGTGGGCATGCGTCACTCGAGGCACACATCTCTGAGGAGGAAGAGGAGACCAAACCCAAACCAAAGAAACGAGCCAAGGTCCACACGCATCAATGCCACTCGTGAATGTCCGTCTGTATTTGATGGTGTTTTATGTGTGTCAGGCCGCCAAGCGAGAGGCGAGCCCACAAAAGCCCCGCCGGAACCGCCGACACAACAACGACGGTAGTGTGTCCGTGTGGATAAAGACGCACATGCGCGACGTGTGGTGTGTGTCTGTGTGTGACCCTCTTCTAGGTGATGGTGATCTCGTGTTCCTGCCGTGATCACTCGAGGGCACCGAGACAAGACAGACAGACAGACAGAGAGTGAGTGTGTGCATACCACAGACAGATAGATAAATGGACAGACGACGGATGGATGGATGGATGGATGGGCGTGAGTGAGTGAGTGCGTGCGTGAGTGATTGTTGTCGACTGACGTCAAGCACCTTCACATCAGTCATGTCCGCGCACATACATTCACACATAACCAGACATCCATGATGAAAAATGAGACTCAGAAATATATAATGTACGCAGCGATATGCCGCCTGCTGTCTCTGTCAATCGACGGCGGTGTCCCCTCCACCACCCAACACAAACACCGGATCCCCACTGCGTTCGCTTTCCCTCCTCCTCCTCCTCTTACTCTTGGGCTCCTGGAGTGCGTGACGTGCAAACGCCGACCCTGAACAGCAAAGTCATAGATATCAATGGAGGCATAATTCTATGTCCAGCTAGCTACACTGATAGAGACACACCGTCGATGCTGTCTCTGCGTGTGGTGTGTCAAACCAACGACCTTCGCACCACCAGCAACCAACGCGTTCAGAATCTGCACACACCACATCACACCATCCATCACACCCATCCATTCATTCCATCATCCCCTCCTCCTCCTCTTACTCTTAAGCTCCTGGAGCAGGATGGAGGAGGGAAGAGCAGCTTGCTGCTGAGCAGGAGCAGGCATCTGCTGCTGCTGCATCGGACCTGATATGTACAAGAATCAAAGACGAGGGAGGAGTCGCACAAGGGACACAAAATAAATAATGACGACAGACAGACAGACAGACAGATAGACAGACAGACAGATAGATAGACAGACAGACATTTGAGGTCGGTATGACCTGTAGGCAGCCATCTGCACCATCTCCCCCCAGCAGCAACGCCATGACCTGAGACGGACGGATTCCACATACATGGACGGACGGACGGACGGACGAGTGTGTGTGTCATCCGTGTGAATCACCTTGGCCTGTTCTGGGTGTGTATTTCTGGCCACTGCCCGAAGCCGGTCCAGCAAGTCGTTGAAGCACCGGTGCGCCATCGCCTTGGTCAGCATCTCGCCCATATCAGCCCATGTGAAGCGCTTTAAAACAAGAAAAAGACATCTGTCGACGCTTTTCTGTATGTCGGTTTGTGAGCGCACTTACCCTTCCTTCCTGGGTCGCTCTTCGAGTACCTTGCCCAACTCCGCAACCGCAGGAATCGCCAACTTGTCTGTCCCCAGCTTCACGTCGTCTGCAAGCTCTCTGCACCCACGATTGTTGAGGTTTACTCTCTCGAGTCTGCAGCGGCCTGTCAGTTGGCAGGCACAACACAAACAGCACATCCATCCATTCACGCATGATGCAAATGTCTCGTTTCGGCCCCTTTTAATCTCCTCAAGCTCCGCCTGTTGGTCGCGTCTCGCCCGCTCCATGGCTCCTCAAACCCCCTCCCTGGGTAGAGTCAAGCAAAAGGCAACCAGAAGATGACGCGACATCAGCTTGTATGTGCGTATGATCGATTGTGGCTTGAGGATACCTTCTCATTGCATCTCCCCCACCAGCGTCGCGAGCAGCCGCTGCACCTCCCATGACGTCTCTCGGTGGCCGCCGAAGCGGCCAAGTACATATGCGGAAACAAATAAAGAAATTACCGAATCTTGATGATCACCTCTTCCCTGTCTTCCTCACCTACGTACCTCCGCAGACGTGGATCAAGCAGGTCCATCGGATATGGAAGATGTAGACGGTGATTTATCTGCACACAGCAGCCAAAGAATACACGGACACGATCAGTCTATTTGACAGCGCACATACCCTTTGCAGACAATGCGCTGGGATTCAGAGTCGTCATCGGCCGATCAGATATAAAATGTGGCCAGCGATCTGCACACCACCCAGCAACAGAGAAAAGAGGAGAGAAGAGAAGTATTCTGATGCATGTGTAGGCTGTTGGTCTGACTAGCAGTGACTATGGCGGGTGCCGGTCTCCTTGGCCGGAGCGACGTACTGGACTCCAATGGAATGCAATCACACACACCAGATGACGTTAGTCGCGTTTGTACACAGGTGTTCGATTACCTTCTTGCTCGCCCAGAAAGAGGTCAGCTGCAAAGCCGGCAATGCCCAGACAGGCATCTCGTGTCCGTCGATGGGTGCGGTGCGCAAGGGGGCAAAAAATGTCGATATAAAGTGTAGGCAGCCATCTGCATCATCCCCCCCCAGCAGCAACTGCATGACCTGAGACGGACGGGATCCCCAGATGGAGGTGCTCTTGGCGTCAGACATCTGGTGTGTGTTACGTGTGGTGAGTGCTCACCAGGAGGCCAAATGCGGCCCGGTGGCATGAGGCAATGGCCACTCGGATGGGCGTATGGTCACGGTGACTCGCCGCATTGATGTCGGCGCCGTTGTCAATCAGAGCCCGCATGATGGCGAGCTGCAGGCCGGGGGTCTCCCACATGGGCAAGGCGACGGGAGAGATGTCCTCGTCACCATCGCCGTCGGCTGCCATATGGACGGCACGCTGCTGTTGGTGAGATTGTCGATGCACAGCGACAGCAGCGGATAGGCGCAATAGCCACCCGTAGTGCCCGTCGCCCGCAGCCCCGGCATCACATTGGGGTCTGCTTCATGCTGCTGGATGATGCCCGTCACCTGCCGTTGGTCAGTGACGGTGCGGCGGAGGATGGCCTCGGACAGCCGTTTGCTGGCGTCACTGGTGCAAGCCAGCGAATTTATTCAAAGCCGCCTTCTTTCCACGGTCTTCAGCCTGCCGCCTTTTCTTCTGTCGCCAGGCAAAGATCCTTCTGTCGACCTCCTTGGCGAGGTCCAGTGGTCGGCCCCACGGCGACCACTGAACCTCACCAGCCTTCAGTGACGAGGCCCTGAAGAGCGAAGTAACCTGACAACCAACAAGACAACACATCCATCCATCCATCTGTGTGTCATCTGAGTGTGTGTGTGTGTGTGTGTGTGCCCTCATCGACCGACCTGGGAGCAGCAGCATCTCTTTGCTATTGTTGGGCCCGTACTTGACTTTCTTGACGAGGGTGCTGAGCTGCTCGGGCCGCTCGGTACACATGTTGGTGAGGAACCCGTGACGCCCGATGAACTCCATGTGTAGCTGACCCTGGCACACACACACACACACATGAATGACCACAGCCACATACAGGAGAGAGATTCATGTGTGTGTGTGATTCATCTGCGTGTGTGTGTCAGCTTTATGTGGGTCCCCGACTCACCAGCGCCTTCTTGAGGGCTACGTTCATGTACTGGATGGCCTCCTGCTCCAGGTCGGCAACGCGCAGCACCAGGTCTACTTGAACGCCAATTGAATCGAAAACTGCACACACCACACCACACCACACACCAATGACATGGCTGGATGGACGCATCCATCCATCCATCCCCACCCCACCCTCCCGTCTGTCTGTATGAGTGTGTGTACTTACCGTCTGCGAGTTGCCCTGGATGGTTGAGTCGACCGCCACGGTCTTGTTGGGTGTCTTCGTGTGTCCTGACACACGAAGAGGTTCATGCCCTGATGCAGGATGGCCCCGACCTTCGCACCACCAGCAACCAATGCGTTCAGAATCTGCACACACCACACATGTACACCACACCACACCATCCATCCCACCCATCCATCCATTCATTCATTCATCCATCCCATCATCCATCTGTCTGTGTGTGTGACCTTGCGCACCTCGCTTACATTGGTGATGGGCGGCGTGATATTGACGGCGTACACCTGGATCTTGACCGACTCGTCCACCTTGAGGCTGAACAGCGGGTTGCGCGTGGCGAGAATCTCATTCTCTTCCTCAAAATCGTCGACGTACTTGGCGATGATGTTGACGTGGTGCTTAAACTTCACTTTCCACCTCTGCCAGGCGGGGGGGACCCGTTGGCGATGCGGAAGTGGGCGATCTTCTCTCTCGCGTGTTCCTCCGCCAACGAAGCGACAAGGAAGCCGGCAGAGAGGCAAGCCAGAGAACAGCTCGTCAGAGATTTGTCTTCTAAGCCAAAAAGCAGAAAAATTCTGTCGCTGTCTCCCGAGAATTCTCGCCAACGTCTGCAAACCCTAGACCCTTCAAGATCAAACCCTGCGCTTACGACGCTGGAGATAGAGAAAAGGAAGCGCAGCTGTGCTTCCCTGTGGGTCCACAGAACCGACAGTGCGGGAGCCGACAGTGCGTGGAAGCGTGATGACCGGGGACCTACTCATAATTGTCTTCCGCCGAAAGACATCCATCGACTCATCTGACTGACCAAGCAATTGCGCGAACTACTCTCTGCTGATCATATGAGACTGAGCTTATCACCCGCTGCCGCATTGGCTGCGGCGCTTGCCTGCTGGTGCGGATCTTCATCAGGACGAGCCCATGGGACTGCTGACGTCAAGAAGCCCTTGAATGTGCTCGTCAGCTCCGTGCCGCTGTCGCCCATCCATTCCGTGATCGAAATCGGGGCTGAGCTGGCGGAAAGAGGACACCATGTAAGCACGCAACAACATCAGCAGCGACCGATTCATCGATTGTCCATGTGTTGCTGGTTGCGTTGTGTCGGCTGCAGGTGAGTGTGATGAGCCTCGAGTCGGCCCGCCGCAAAGTGGAGAAGAGAGGCCTCAAGTTCATCGACCTCGGAGTTGGACCCAGCGAGGCCGACTACAGCGAACGCGTCAGAGCGGCATCCGCAAAGAACAACGTACCAACTCACAGACGGACATGCCCCGATTGTCTGTCCTGAGTCTGAGGGTGCCGTGCGCTCCTTCTTGCAGACTGGTATAGCGAACAACCTCAAGGTGATCGGCCCCTTGTTCAACCAGCTGAATGACGCCATGACCAACGGCACCAAGCGCGTCTTCCCGATTGTCGAGGAGGGCCAGCCGAAGCCGGAAGGGCTGCCTGACATAGTTGTGGCCAGCATCGGGTCTGGATACCTCTTCAAGGTCAGTCAGTCGCGAAGAGAGGCAAGACGCCGCAACAATACAATGATGGCTTGTGCTGCCTGCTCATGGTTGGTTATTTCAGGTGTGCGTGCGGTACGGCATCCCTTATGTGGTGTCCCATCCGACCTTCGCCATCGCCCCGGTGTTCACGAGCATGCCTTACGTGCCCTTCATGCAGTCGAACCTGCCGCTGCACGACGCCAACATGTGGCAGCGGCTCCTGAAGCTCGTCGTGGCGGCCATCTTCAACTTCATCCTACCCATCACCGGATACCCCATCAAGGCCGTCGACCCTGAGTGAGTCGGCGATCGAGTAGCAAAGCAAAGACACATGGGCGTGTGTGTGGCTGGTTGGTGTGTGGCGTGTGTGCAGGATGACCCGCAGAACAATGAAGATGATCCACAGTGTGCCGGGGATGGATTGGCCGTTCCATGCCCCACCACTGTTGCAATACACGGGTGCGATCCTGCGCCCCGAAACGCTCAGCCCAGCCAACCTGGAGCCACCAGTGAAAGAATGGCTGGACCGATCGGACCTGCCCGTCGTCTACGTCAGCCTGGGAACCGTCTTTGAGGTGAGTGACGGACCAACAGACATGGACCAACACGCTGGCTGCATCTTCGCCTGGGTATATGTGCAGGTCGACGCAGAGCTGGCCCGCACTATGATCCGAGGGCTGAGTCCCCTGCCAGGTCAGCAGCCGCAGTGGCGCATCCTGTGGGCCCTCCCCAAGAACCAGTGGGACCTCCTTCCGCCTGAAGGCCAGCGGCCGGCGGCGGACCTCCTCCACATCGAGACGTGGGTCACGACCCCCGCTGCCCTGTCCCACGAGAAGGTCAAGGTCTTCCTCAGCCACTGTGGCGGCAACGGCGTGCACGAGAGCATATGGACGGGCACCCCCATCGTGGGCATGCCTTTCGCTGGTCGGTGGTTTAACATACGAGTCGAGCGATGGTGAGATGGTGAGATGCTTTTTGTTGTTGCCGTCCGTTCAGGTGACCAGCTGGACGTGTGTCGGCGTGTGGCAGCCTTTGGGGCGGGCGTGTACGTGGACCGCTTCACTGTCGACAGCGCGACCCTCCACAGAAACATAGCTGAGGTGCTGACCCAGCCGTCCTACACCTTCCGAGTGCAGCGGATGAGCGCTATCATGAAGACCTACGGCGGCGTCAAGAGAGCCGCAGGTCGGCGGGGTGGGTGACAGACACAAGCAAGAGCCAGGAGAGCGAACGGTGGTCATGTTGACCAGATTTGGTTGAGCTGGTGCATGAGCTGGGTGGCGACTTGAGCATGCTGGAGACCCCCTCTGATCGGGAGGGCTTCTTCACGGCATTCTCCCTCGACATCCTCCTAATCGCACTCATTGTGGTACGGTACACACGACAACACACGCACGACAGACAATACACACACCCATAGAGCCTTCCTTCCCCTGTGTGCTTGACTTGATGGTGGCTGTTATGTCATGTGCTGCAGTCGTTTGTGAAGGGCATCTTGGCCGTCTACGTGTGCCGCTGGTGCTGCAGGCGGCGCACTAGAGTGGCCAGCAAGGACAAGAAAACAGCCTAGTAAGATGTTTGCTCAAGGGCTGGCTGGCTGACCGATCGATCGACCTCCCGACCGACACACACGCAGCACAGCACAGCCTGACTGGGCTCGGGGAGGTGGGTGCCAGGAGGGTGGGGGAGTGCCCCGACCTTGTGTAGGTAGATGGTGTTGGTATTTTTGATGTTTGCCACATTTCGTTGCTAAATGTAGGACTTGACGATGGTTTCATGTGAGTGAGTGATGTGTCTTCCTAACAACTCTTCAGACTCGGATGCACACCCACCCGATGAAGGAGGAATGACCGACAGACAGGTACGATGTCCTTAGTCGACGCCCCATGCTCACACGCACAAACACACACACAAACACGAATCGTCACACGATATTGCGCTCGAGCACTTTGGTCCGTCCCTCTATCAGTCGGTCAAAGGCAAACAGAGAGAGGTCTATCGACACCCACCTGCCACATAAAATCAGCTCAGCTATCGCACGACCGGCAGCCGGGGCGTGCTGCAGCCCATGGCCCGAGAAACCTGCAGGCATACCGTCAGACAGCACACGACACGACTACACTCAATGAATGCATCCCCGAGCAGTCTGCCTAACTCATCACACCCCACCCACCATTGCAGAAGAGAAGGCTGTCGACGTTCGGACTGGCACCCATCACGGCGTTGTGGTCGTGCAGGTTCATCTCGTAATGGCCGGCCCAGCAGCTGACGCACCGGAGCGCCTCGAAGGCGGGGACGCGAGAGGCCAATGCGGGCCACACACACTCCTCAAACAGACCGTCGGGCTGAACAACGCACAGCACGATGTAACACACACCACTCGCGGCGCGCACGCACCTACGGGTCATCCTATCCTACCACGTCGAAGTCGTCTTGAAGTGCATCGACATCCTGCAGACAGACACCATCGCAAAAAAAGCGATCCGCAGTGCACCGGACACACACACACACATCCACTCATGGCTCTCGCGTACCTCATCTGGCAGCGGGGACATGCCCGTGATGAATCTGTTGTGGCCGCAGCCCTCCTTGCGGAAGTACACACCCCTCCCAGCGCTACTCGTCTGGTCCAGCACAGTCAGCGGACAGCCCTCGCTCATCCCATCCGGGCACTCAGCCACGTCCACAACGAAAATGCAGCGCTTGCGCGCCCTCACGGGCAGCGACAGGCCAGCCATCGCAGCAATGCGTGCCGCCTGGCCGCCGGCGCAGTTAACGACCGTCCCGCACGCCACCCTGCCCCCCGTCTGCAGACACACGTGGGTAACTCGCCGATGAGATGACAATTGAGACCAGCTGGGCAGCAGGGCCGCCAGAGCCGCCTCCTTGTCGGATGCAGCCACTGGTGGATCCATCACCAAGTCGACCACCTCGTCGCTGACGTATCTGACGCCCATTGAGATGGCCTTGTTCTTGATGGCGTGTAGGAGGCTCTCGGCGTCAAAGCTCCCCTCTCCCGATGTGCCATACGTGCCGCCCGCCAGCCCTTCTGTCGATAGCCACGGGAAGGATTTCTTGAGCCCACCGGCGTCCAGCATCGTGATGTTGCTGCAGCCGTGCTTCAGCTGGACGGCATGGTTCTCCTCGAGAGTGGGCAGGCCGGCCGGAGAGGACAAAAAGAGGTAGCCCGTTTCCCGAAAGCAGATGTCGATGGGGTCCTCGTCTGACCGGGCGAGGGCGTGTGGGGCATCTGAAAGGAAGTGGGTGCCGAATTGTGACATCGTGATGTTCTCGGGCAGGCTGAACTGGTGGCGGATGGAGGCGGCCGAGCGTGTGGTGGACGAACGGATATACGTCTTGTCACGCTCGACCACCTAAGGGAACAAGGCAACAAAGGGGCTGTCGACCCCATGGTGTGTGTTGAGTACTCGCGGACCAGTACGCGAGGCGCCATTGAGGGCATGTACTTCGCCAGAAAGTAGGCAGTAGCACTCCCCATGATGCCGCCTGCACTCACTCATTCCCACGAGTGAGTCAGCAGCACACATGTGGATGATTGGTGCTCAGCGCTTACCCCCGCAGATGACGACATCATATGTGTCGCTCTTGGCCGAGAAGCAGCGACGTCCTGCCGACCTGCTGCTGGCCCTCACCAACGCATCGCACCTGCACGAACAGACGAAGCAAAGTGAGATTGATTGATTCATTCATTCATCTCCCTTTCTGGAGCACCACGTGCAATGCAATGCCTACCACACCAGGCATACATACCATCTTGCAGCAGTAGAGGCAGCCTGGCACCCGAGCATCGATGAAAGATAGAGAACCGATGGAAAACGGATGCAATGGATAAAGGTGCACGCAGATCTATGCTACCCTCACTGCACTCCTTCAACCGCAAACTTGGAAGGATGCCTCAGTTGGCTTCAAGCTCGCAGTCCTCCGGCTGCTTAGGACATTTCGTGAAACCGGTCGCCATGCGGTGTCTGTTGCTGAGCACAACAGAACTCACGCCCTTTCCATCCAGTACCCTTCATCTTGCTCCTTGCGAAGCTCTGAAGATGGAGCGCAGTGACACGTTCGTTCGATAGAACGACCAGAGTGCCTTCTCTGGCCGATAGATCCTCCCTCCCTCTTGGCCTTCTTCACCTCTGCTGACCTGACCCATGGACCCCGAAGACGACATCTACCAGGGCCTGGACCTCGATGGTGGTTTGGCTCGCAAGCGGCGGCGGCAGTCTGACGAGGAGTCGGGTCAGGCGACGGCCGAGGAGATGGAGGCATTGCGCGAGAAGCTGCAGGCGGCCAAGAGCCGCATCAACGCGCTGCAGAGCGAGAACCTGATTCTGGTGACCAACATGTCGTGCCTGTACATGACGGCGAGGAACGAAGTGTCGCGCAAGAACGCCAAGCTAGTGGCCAAGCGGCAGCGCATCCAGGAGCTCAAGGCGATGATAGCGCAGCTCAAGGACCGCATCAAGGAGGTCACCACCGGGGGCGCTGAGGGGGACGACTGGGAGGCGGTGGAGATGGAGGACGAGGCACACGACGAGGCGCCCATGCCGGCCATCATGGACAGGGAGACCAGAGAGAGGGAGAGGGACAGGGACAGGGAGAGGGAGAGGGAGAGCCGGGGCAGCAGACGCGGCCGGCCGCCCCCTCTGCTGCCCTCCCCTCGTGGCAGCAGTGACATGGACATCTCCCCAACGAGCCGGCAGCAGGGCTCTGCTGCAGCCAAGCGGCCGCCGTCCACATCGCCACGCGAGCTGCCACAGGAGGAGAAGGGACTGCTGGGCGAGGCGCCCCAATACAGCCGCAGCAACTCCCTCCCGTCCCCTTCACAGCCTGCATCGGCAAAGCCAGCTCCGGCCAGGCCGTCTCGGTTTGACAGGATAGAGGCCGGGCAGCCGAAAGCCGGCCGGGATCTGACCACCACCCCTCCTTCACGACCAACGGCGGGTGCGCTTCCCTCCGATCTGCCGCTTGCGGCTGGGCTGGGCGTGCTGACCGAGTCACCCCCGCTGAAGAAGGTCAAGAAACAGCTGGGTGATAGGAATGGCAGGGCGGATTCGCATGCTGCTGGGCCGCCTCCCCTGTTGCCATCGCCGCCGACGAAGATGGGGGGCATACCCGGGGTGGGAGGCGGGCTGCTGCCCACGCCCAAGGCCGCGTCGTCCCCTCGCAATAATGGGCGTCGGCCCATGCAGGGGGCCCGGTCGGCACACTCATCACGGGCGCCAGACTCCATTTTGGGGCCGGCTCCGAGCTCCCAGGGCAAGGAGAAGCGGCGATGAGATGGATGCGTGTCGTGGGTGGGTGGGTCTGTTATTCTGTCTATGCATAGTGATGACTAGTGATGGTGGATGGTGTGGTGTGGCTGGCCAGCTAGATTTGTGGGGAAGACCTTTCTGTGTCCATGCAGACAGACACACGTCGATGAATGCGCTTCTGGTGTATGTCGAGGCCGAATCACGGCAACGATTCAAAATTGGCAAACATGCACATGGATGGAACACGCCGTCCGCACGGAGGTCGACAAGCACGTGCACTGACTGCCTCCGCCTGCCTGCCGGCCCATCCATCCATCCATCCATTCAGCCATCAAGAAATGGACAGAAAGACAGTCGTGAGCCCACCCTTTGGATGGGACAAGCCGTCCGCCCCATCATGCCATGGGACAGCCCACATCTCTGTACACTCGCCACGCGCATCGCATCCATCACATATCGTCCGACATGCACACATGCGATCAAATCAATGCAGGTGGACTCACGCCTCTGTCTGTCGACATGAAAGGCACACGAGAGCGATCTGACTCGAGGGTAGGCCGGGTGCGTTGGCCATTGGAGAAGGGGGGCCAGCCAGTGTGCAAAGGTGGAAACAACTGTCTGTCATGCTGCCAGCCGCCGGACAGAGGAGAGAGGCAGGCAGGGTGGCAGAATCCGATAAGTGTAGGGTGTGGTTTGTGTCACAGTAATGAGAGAGCCCCTTTTTCCATCCATCCATTCATTCATGTCTACTCGTCGTCGGCTGGAAACAAAGGCAGCCAGTCGGGCAGATCAGCGCTGCTGTGTCTCTCAAAATAGTTGCGGAGCCTGTCTTCTGCGCTGCCGTTGAGCTTCCCGCCAGCCTCCCACTTGGCGTTCGGATTAGTGCGAGGGCCAGGAAAGAGGGTGCCCTCCGTGGCCGTCCCGCCCTCGAACTCGCCACTGAAGATGACCTCACACAGAGGGGGGGCATCGAAAGCGTCGCCGAACTCCTGCAGCTCCACCTCCGCCTTGCCGTGCATCTTGCCCTCCTTCCACCCGCCCTCGTACCAGAAGTGGGCCTCAGAGACGTCCTCGGTGTGCGTCCCCTGGCCGTGCGGCACCCCCTCCCTCATGTCGCCGACGTACAGCTTCTTCTCGCAGTCACGCGTCACCACAGTGCCCATGCCGTCCGCCTTGCCGTCGCGCCGCGGGCCGAGCCAGTAGCACTCCTGGCCGTCGTACGTCACCTCCAGCGGCAGCTTCTTGATCTTGGCCTGCAGGGCGGTCTTGACCTGTTGCTCACTAAGGCGGGCACGTTTCTCCGACTCGTATGCCGCCTGTGCCTGGTCTCTCTCTCGCTTGAGTGTGTTGATGATCTCGTCCTGGGCAGCAAGCAGCTTCTGAGTGAGGTCGCCGGCGTCCATTGCAGCGCACTGAGGGGCAGGGAATGCAGCAGGGAATGCAGCAGGTGCAGGGCAGAGGAGGTGGGTCTCAAGAACGAAACCTGTGCAAACAAACCGATGAATGATTGTCGTCGATGGACGATGCATGTTTTCTTTGGCCGTACCTTAGCGCTTTGCGATGAGTGGCTGCAGCAGGCTCGGCTGGTTCTGTTTTGCGAGCCGAGTGGATCGCCCTTGAGGCGTCCCAGATCTGCCACTCACAGGGGCAGACTGAATTGAGGATGCTGGCATCAGGTGTCGGTCGGCGCTCGCGCCACCCGAAGCGACGAACGGTCGTCGACAGTTTCATCAAAGGTCAAGAGGAGCCGCAAGCACAGCTGCCAAGTGCCCAGGACGGACTCGCTGGAACCCAATCGGTGACTGCCGTTGCTCTCACACATGAGGCGAAGCGATTCGGGTGAGAATGCATGAATCGAATCTGAATGCCACTCATCCATCCCATATGCCGTCATGCATGATCTGATCTGTGTGTTCTCTCTGGTTGTCATGTCAGCGGTAGTCTGTGCGTCTTCAGCAGCGATCAGTACGCCAAGAGGTTCCCCGTGGGCACCCTCGTCCGGATCACGCCCCTCGCCGCATCGGCATTCAACGGCCTCCCACATGCGGCCGGCGAGTCGCCTGGGAAGGACAAACACGGGCAGTGCGCGTGGCGTGACCGCGAGAAGGACCGGAGCATTGTGGTCAAGGTGAGCGGCGACAGCTTCGGGCAGCTTATGGGCGGGGTGGGACTGTCGGTGCTCGACCAAGTGGCCAAGCTCATGGGACTCAAGAGAGATCTGCCGAGGCATGACGTCATGGTGAGAGGGAGGGAGGGGGTGTTTGTGTGCGGACTGGTGTGTGTGTGTGTGTGTGTGTGTGTGTGTTCCACAGATGCAGGTGATCCAGCCTGAGGATGCCCGCATCGACTATGTGGAGATCGAGCTCACAGAGCAGTTCATCTCACGGAGGGACATATGGCACTTCCAGGTGACTATCCAATCAATGCACACACATACCTGCGGACACTCACGGCCTCTCATTTCTCTCTCTCTCTCTCTCTCAGCGTGAGCTGCTCAAGGGTCAGCGAGTGCTCTACTGCGGCCTCCCGCCCCCCGTTCGCCGCCACACCCACTTCAGATTCTCAATCCGTTCGCTGTTCGTCGAAGACAAGAACGGCACCCGAGCCATCCGACACCAGACGACCGTCGCCCCAGCATCGTCCACTGCCCCCTTCGAGCACACGCCCTACCCCTACACCATGGCGGGCCACGATTCGACGGTGGGTGTGGACTACTGGGGTCTGAGCCGTGGCGAGAGGGGGTCTGTCGGGGGCGGGGAGGGATGGCAGGGGGTCGAGGTGGCCACAAGTGAGCAGGCCACGCGGGCGGTGCTCAAGAAACTCAACAGGTGAGAAGTGAGGGAGGGTTTGGCGGGTGGTCCGCGGTGTGTGTGTATGGTACGTGTGTCTGCGTGTGTAGTGGTTTGGTGAGCGAGCAGACGAAGCTGACGTTCCGGTCCAAGTGCACCAACATATTCTTCCTCATACAACTCAGCCAAGAGGTGCAGTGGGTGCGTACGTGGGTGGGGTGTCCACTCCATCCATCCATCCATCCGCACTACACGCACAACCACAACACGTGCACCTCTAACTCTCTCCGTGTCCTCGCGTCCGTCGTGTCTGTCTGTCAGCTGTGGTGGTTTTCCCGCGACGGCTTCCCCTACTATATGCGGGTGCTGCAGTTCTTCAAAGACCTCTTCGACCGCTACCGCAGGGGCCAGCAGACACACTACATCACTCTCGTCCTCTTCGGCCGACTGCTGCTCGAGGGAGGCGAGATTGAGGACAGATATGAGGTCATATGGGAGGGACCCCTGGCCGCCCTGCTGGCGTCCAGTGACGCCATCCTGCGGCGGCTGAGGCGGGACTTCTTCACCTTTCCCGAGTCCATCGGCTGGCGGGCGCCCTGCTTCAAGTGAGTGGGTGCAGGGAGGCAGGGAGGCAGGCCAGCAGAACCAACAGTCAGCCGTGTCGTGTGTGTGTGTGTGTGTGTGTGTGCAGGCCTGACGAGAGCGCTCGATGCTGGTCCATGCGGATGGAAGAGAAGTCTTCGCCCCAGCCGACGGCGGCCGTCAATGGCACCCCTGATGCAGGTGCACGTGTAGATGGGGGGCGAGAGAGTAATGGCTACCATCACCACCACAAGGGTGAGAGGCTGTCGTATGTGCCGTCTGGTGCCGCCAAGGGCAACACGCTGGAGGCCATCAACCTGGTGCTGGACCACTTTGAGCTGCACCACCTCGACCGCAAGCTGTGGTACACAGGTAGGTGGAACCGTGCATCGATCGATGGCAGCCCTGCCTTCTCTCATCTCCATCTGTCTCTTCCTCTGTGTGGTCAGGTCAGTCTGTTGTGCTGGTGACGGCGGGTAGCGGTGTGCTGTACACGCCCGACCATCGGCTGATGGAGCTCACCAAACAGAGACTCAACGACTCCGTACTCGGTAAGTAAACTGCCGACAAGAATGCAACGCACTCACATCCATCCATCCATCCGTCCATCCATTGTTCCGTTGTCACACAGCCCCCGATATCGTGAGTGTGCGCGACGAGCCTCTCCACGCCGTTCCACTGCTCCTGGTCGACCCACCCGTCACCCACCAGCAGCATCACCAGCACCAGCAGCAGCCGCCCTCCTCTCCATCGCCCCCCTCCATCTCCATGTCCATGGCGTCCATCAACGCCTCATCGGGTGCAGCGGATGAGCCGAGTGAGGGGGAGGGCGTGCGTCGGCCGCTGAGCTTCTTTGCCGGACAGATCCACTTCGTCAACTGGATGGTCATGCACTTCTACAAGGAGGCACAGGTGAGACACAGAGGGAGGGAGAGAAGGGCACGTGTGCGTGATTGATGGATCGATGCCCGTCCTCCTTGTGTTCAGGATTGCGACTGTCCTGGGCTCGCGCCGTTCCGTCCGCTGTCGACCTTCTTGCCTCTGGAGCTGCCCTTCCGCCTCCCCCAGGCGGCCTTCACGGCCTACGTGCCGCCACTCGACCTTTCGCAGCCACACGAACCCACCGCCACACCCACACCCACACCCCCGTGTGAGCCGCAACCATCCGCCGCGGCAGTCCGCACAGTGGAGAGAAATGTCCCCTCACGGACCCACTCTGTCCGTGGCGACACATCGCCCCCCCTCACGGCCACTCTCGCGCAGAGTGCGGGGCATCCGCACTCATCGTCGACGGGCCAGCTGCCCGCCACTCTCGTGAGCAGCGCCGGCAGCAGCAGGGGGTCCAGGCGGCGCATCGACGTCAAGCTCAGCAAGGCGGACTTCGCGCGTCTGTTTGCTGGGGCTTTCAACCCTTTTGTGAAGCAGGAGGAGGGCGGGGTGAGCGGGAAGGCTCACAGTGTGGGCGGAGTCAGCCACACGGGCGGCCACTCGGCTGTGCCGTCGGGTGCGGGTACGCCGAAGAGCAGTGTGACGGCTGCCAGTCGTGATGGTGAGGGAGACCATGAGGGCGGCAAGGAGGCCTTCGGCCACAGAGGGGACGAGAAGATACGCGACATCCAGACGCGGCGCTGGTCACACGTGTATGCGCCCAGCAGGTCAGTGTCTGGATGGGGAGGGCGGGTGTGCGGCAGACACACAGCAGCAAACTCGATCTGTCTGTGCCAAAACATGTGTGCAGGGAGGGCTCCATGCTGTGGGAGTCGCTGCTGCAGCCGGCCGTCCTGCCGTGCACAATGGAGTTCTACTGCGCCACCCGAAACGCGCAGTAGTAAGAGAACGGGACACACACACACACACACACACTCATGGTGGATCCCCATCCACCCGCTTATGTGACAGTCACGGCAAGTTCTGGACGGTGACGCCGGTGCTGTTTCTGCTGGAGGGCAGCTCGCTGGCCAGGAAGGACCGCGGCTTCAGGATGGAGGATGACCCGCTCGAGTGAGCTGCCCCCCGGCTGCTGCCGGCACCCTCGGCCTGTGTCTGCACGTCTGTCTGTGTATCTTCTTGATTTGCTCAGGTTGACGGTGAATGAGTTGGTGGGCATCCGCTTGGCCATGGACATGCAAGTCAACACCAGACCGGCAAACCTGATCGTGAGCGGCCGACGGACGGCGTCAATGGATAAACAGAGGACCAATGCATTGGCCCACGTGTGTGTCGGTGTGGTGTGGTGTGGTGTGTTGTGGTTGGTGTGGTGAATCAATCACATCAGGTGGCGGAGCCGTACCACGAGCGTTGCGGTCGGCGTGGCCTGGAGAGGGTGCAGATGTCCTTCAACGAGGATGTGCACGAGCTGTCGGTGGTCGACAACACCAACATTTTCGTATATAAGGGGGACCGACACATCAGATCAGACACTCCACACACACACACACACACCGCACTCTTCGTCCGTCCCTATCTGTGTGGTCACTGACAGGTCCAGTGTTTCAACGAGAAGGCCAGCAACAGCAAGGGCAAGCCGCCAAGCGCGAAAGAGGGCAAGCAGCCCCCCAGCAGCGAAGCCCCTACCTCACCCTCGCCCTCACCCCATCCCCACCACACCGACAGCCACAGAGATGACGCCGACCACAGCCTTTCGCCGAGCGCGACGCCCCTCAGCCCCCGTGATGGTGATGAGGCCTTCCTGTCTCGGTCGCTGCCCGAGGCCGACAGCCTCATGACCCGGGACGGCTCGGCTGTGCCGGATTTCCGGCTGAAGCACTATGAGAAGAAGCGCACAATCCGGCGGGCATCGATGGGTGGAGACGAGGCCCCCACCAACGATGTGGGTGTTGAGAGGGGCGGCGGCGGTGAGGGGAGGCTGAGTGGAGACAGCGACGAGGAGGAGCGGAGGCAGAGGGAGCGGGAGCGGCTGGTGTTCCCCTACAGCTACCTCATCCGCCACCGCGGCCCCTTCGGCTGGACCAATCCCGACGACCCCGCCACCTGCATCTCAGACGACACACCCGCGCCACCGCCACCAATGCCTTCCGTCTCTGCCTCAATCAGCCGCAGCGGCAGCCAGGCGCTCTCAGACAATACCGGGGGAGAGCACGACCACGATACCCACGCGGAGCACCCTTTGCTGCCCTTCCCCTCCATCCAGCCGGCCCTCCAGTTCCCCCAGGGCCGCGGGTGGCGCAGCTGCTCGATTCGCTTCTCGCAGCAGGGCGCCTACCCCTGGAACAACCTGGACCCCATCGTCTGCCTGGCCAAACTGCAGCCGCCCACTAACAGCATCATGGAGCACGTCAAGGGCTGGGAGCTGCGCATCAGGACCCAGGCATTCGTGCTGGTGCCCAACCGGCTCAGGAGCCACTACGTCGACACCGACAGCACCCCGCTGAGCGACCCTGACAAGGAGCGCGTCAGCACGCTGCTGCGGAGGGAAGACGAGCTGACGGCCGTCGGGTGCGACCCCTTCATCCACAGTGACAGTGACGACGTCGACCAGGATCTGGTGGACAGGGCCAGGCAGTTCTTCGCTTCTCTGCAGGAGCTGTGCTTCAAGAACGCCCCGGCGTTCTACGACCCGTCGACAATGGGCCTTCACCTGGACTTCTCCCCCCCACCGTCCGGCGGTCTGCAGGGGGTGCACCTACGGTCGCGTCGCGTCTTCACGTGTTGGTGCGAGGAGACGGTGTGGCACGCCAACGAGCTGGGGGAGGCCATCCACCCGCTGCCGAGCGAGTGGTTCATGTTTCACTACGACGGCCACTTTGCGCCCCCCCTGCTCTTTCGCTTCACCATCGAGTGGCTCGTCTGCAGCTCCATCTTCATCGCGAAGTTCATGAAACGGCTCCGCAGCCTCGCCACACAGCTCGACTTCGCCATCGTGCAGCTGCCCATGGCACAGATCTTCCCCGCCAATGAGAGGAAGCGGCCGCCCTTCAATCCCATGTTCACCGCGCAGTACAGGCTGCTCAACGGCCACCATGGTGACGAGACGGCCGCTTTGGCGATCGCTCGGAGGCTGCTGTATGCCTTCCTGGACGCGCCGCTGAACATGCTGGTGGTGGCGGGCCGGCCGGACAGTGTGGTGCATCCGCGGGAAGACGACAAGCCGGGCGAGAGGGTGGAGTATCTGCCCCCGGGGATGGAGGACGGTTGGGTGCTCATGGAACGACACGGGCTCTACTTTGTGCATATCACCAGGTGGACGCGCCATCGTGAACGCTGGGTGGCATGGGTGCCTCTGTGTGCGTGTGTGTGTGTGTGTAGGGACAGTGTGTTGTGGCACAGCACATACCTGCAGTGGAGTTGGGTGGAGAAGGGCACATCACGGCTGAGAGTGGGCGAGGCCGGGGAGGCACCCTGCCACGGTCAGTGAGTGCGTCAGTGAGCGACAGGCACACACACCACAGCCGACCACACACTATTTTATTGTGCATATGCCATCCACACCACATCCATCGTCTGTGGCTGCCTGGCTGGCTGATGTCATATATGATGCAGAGATGTCCAATGAGGCCTGGCGCACCACCGTGTCACGCCGCCACTTCTCCTTCTTCACACACGCACTCAGAAAGGTGAGTGAGATCAGATCGCCCACAGGACAGGACACGCAAATCCATCCATCCATCCATCCCGTGCGGTGTGTGCATCATATGTTCAGCTCAATATCGGTCTGGCGGAGCGGTCGGTGGATCGGCGAGATGACGCACAAAGCGAGCCGGCGGAGCCCTTTTTCCGGCTGTCTGGGGAGTGAGGGAGGGGTACGGACGCGACAAGCGCATGAGTGACGCATGAGGGGGCGATGCGAGGTGACTGAGGGTGGGTGATGCTGCTCGTGGTGGTGTACAGGAGGGCAGTCCTTTCGGCGCCTTGTTGATCTATCTGTATGCCTGGTGTCCAGTCGATCGCTTCGACGCCGGTGTGGTCGCTGTGTGAGGGCACTCAGAGCAGAGGGCCTCCGCAACTCGGCCTCAAGGGTGACGGAGCGAGAGAGTGGACGAAGGAGGGCAATTACGAGGGCTGGTGTCTATTGACGGACGAGAGAGTTGTGCAAAGCGACTGAGTTGGTTGGATGCGTGTGTGTCTGAGAGAGTGAGAAGGCATTCAAGTTGTGTGATGTGAGCCGTCATGCACCTCCTCCCTCGGTCTGTCGGACAGGCAGTCAAGTCAGGTCAGGTCAAATCAGGCACACAACGTCTTGAAATCACCATGAATGCCGCACAGCATCCATCCATCCATCCATCCCCGCCACGCACACACAGATGCACACGATTGCACGTCGCCATTGGCTCAACAAACTCAGTCTGTCTGAAAACCCGGCGGCTGTGAAAAAGTTGGCGGCCACGGTTGCAACCACACGCCACACGAGCAATGTTCACCACCTTACCCCCACACGACCGACATGGACAGATCAGATGGTATGTATGTCGCCTGCAATCCGGCGATCGCATCGAGTGACACACACATGCAATGCAATGCAGAAGCTCCCTCCCTCCCTCGTCCCTCGTACGCACCACTAGCGTCGACGAAGGTCTGTCTGTCTACTTAGATGTGTACTCGTCGTAGGACTTGATCTCGAAAAATGTCTTGCCGTTGCTCTCGCGGTGCCACTTGCGGTGGAGGGAATCCACCAACAGACTCGCCAACTTGATGTCCGTCAGCAGAGGAACTGCACAAAACACCAGACAGACAGACGGACATGCAGACCCCTGTGTGCGACGGCATGTGCCCTTTGTCGTGTGTGTGTGTGTGAGTATTGCCCACGTACCTCCCCTGTCGATTGCGGTTCGCCTGATTTGGAATCCGTCGGTGAGTGCGCGGCTCTCCATCGACTCGGGCACGTTGATCACCATCTCGATCTTTCCCTCCTGCACACACTCACACACGAGATGACAGACAGACCACTGATCCACTGATCCACCGATGCTTGCACGTGGCTGTGCTGTGCTGTGTAGTGTATTGTACCACGATGTAGGTCTTGGCGTTGGGCTCCTCCCCTGTGGATGGTTTGTGCAGCAGCACCAGCTCCTCCTCGTTCATCGTCAGCCCGTGGCTGTGCAGAAACTCATACGTCCCCTGCGTGGCGTATATCTTGAACCCCATCAGATTCAGCAGACGCGCATAAGGCAGAAACTCAACCTGACAGACAGACAGACACAGTCACAACCACGCAATCACATGCATCGTTCGACTGCCCTCTTAGATGGTTGTCCAGATGGATGGATGTGTGTGTGTGTGACCTTTGAGTGGAGGGGTCCTGTGGAGAGAAGGATGTTGGACTTGGGCGGCTTGATGCCTGTGGAGGTGAGCGCCTTCATGAACGCCTCGAACTTGGTCGAACCGTAACACGCCACCTGCACACCACACCACACACAGGTCAGTCCGACACACACGCACATGTGTTGTGTGTTTGTGGTGTTCCGGCACACGTCATGTCACCTACCTCTCCCGTGCTCCTCATCTCGACACCAAGGACAGGGTCGGCCCCCCGCAGCCGCGTGAAGGAGAACATGGGAGCTTTGACCCCGACGTATTCAAGGTCCACCAGGTGGATGTGGGCAGCGCGCCACGGAGCCCGCACCATTATCCTGCACCACACACACACACACACAGAGAGAGAGAGAGAGAGAGGGAGAGAGAGAAGCATCCATTAATCCACACAGACAGACAGACAGATCTCTGGGTGCGGTGGCTTACTTACCTGGTGGCTAGTTCGATGAAGTTGGTGTTGAATGTCTTAGAGATGAAGGGGAAGGTGCGCGAGGCGCGCAGGTTGCACTCGATGACCTTGACCTCGTTCTGCTTGCACATGAACTGGATGTTGAACGGACCCGTGATCAGCAGCGCACGGGCGATCTTCTGCGAGATCTTCTTGACACGACTGACGAGACACACACACACACACACACAGAGAGAGAGAGAGAGGGAGAGAGAGATGGATGGACTGCCATCTTGCCGTTGTGCACATGTGTTGGCTCACCGGATGGTCTCGACATAGAGCTTCTGCGCTGGCAGGACGAGAGTGGCGTCGCCAGAGTGCACACCTGACAGGGCCCGAGGGCACAGGGCAGCCAACGTGCTGTGCTGGATGGCCGGATGCAGCTACCCTGTGGATGGGTGGACACAACCCACCTGCATTCTCGACGTGTTCGCTGATGGCGTAGTTGACGATCTCGCCGTCGGCCGCCACAGCGTCCATCTCAACCTCCTATATGCATCATATAGGCACACACACGCAGCGCATCGCATCGACACACACAGACAGCTTCCGTCTTTCTCTCTCTCTCTCTCTCTGTGTGTGTGTGGGTGTGTCGATCGCCTCGTGGCCCGGCTCGCCCACCTTTGCGTTTTCGATGTACTTGGAGATGACCACAGGGTGCTCACGGGACACGACAGCCGCCTCTTGCAGAAAACTGCACACACACACCACACCACACCAGACCACACCAGACAAACGAAGGTGTTTCTCTTGTGTCTCTCTCTCGCCAGCCTGCCGCACAGACGTACGTACCTCTTGAGGTCCGAGGGGTCTGTGACGACCCTCATCGCCGCGCCAGACAGCACATAGGACGGCCGCACCAACACCGGAAACTCAACCTGACGTGACATCCATGCCATGCAACACCAGTTCACAACACACCCACACCACACCAACAGTGGCCAGCTAGCTCCCCCTCTCTCATCTCACCTTCTTGGCGAACTGCAGCGCCTCGTCGAATGTGGTGAAGGCAGACCATGGCGGCTGGTCGACGCCCAGCGAGTCGCACAGCTTGGAGAACTTGTGCCGGTCCTCGGCGGTGTCGATGGACTCAACTGACGTGCCCAAGATGCGACACTTGTGACGGCGCAGACCTGTTACAACGACGGCAAGGCACGTGTGTGTGTGTGTGTGTGCGTGTGCGAGTGCATGGATGAGGTACCGTACCAAGTGCCAGGTTGTTTGGTGTCTGTCCGCCGACGCAGAGAATGATGCCAAGAGGGTCTTCGAACTCGTAGATGTCCAGCACCGACTCAAGGGAGAGATCCTGACACACACACACACACGCATGGTTCCGGTAGAGGCGGGTGTGGTGTGGTGCCTGGGCGTCTGTCTAACTGTGCGAGCGAATGCAATGCGTAGGGTACCTCAAAGTAGAGTCGGTCCGACTCGTCGAAGTCTGTGCTGACCGTCTCGGGGTTGCAATTGACCACTATCGCCTTGTGACCTGCACACGACCATGTGATGTGCACAAACGTCAGGTCACCTTGTGTGTCGTGCCCCCGTCCACCCATCGCATCCATCCATCTTGTCCCCCACCCCACACACCGAGTTCTCTGAGTGTCTTGACTGCACTCATAGCGCTCCAGTCAAACTCGACAGAGCTGCCGATGCGGTAGCAGCCGCACCCCAGCACTATCACCGGCTGCTGCTCGGGGCCGCGGATCGTCGACCCAATCCCGCCAGACGACGTCCGCATCAGGCCCATACCTGTGTGTGGCAGCCGGGCGGGCACACCACTCATCAATCGTCGTGTGTGTGTGTGTGTGTGTTGGATGGGTGTGTCCATCGAGTGCACCAGCCAGCGCACCAGGGATGGCAGGTGTCGAGCCCATGGCGGCTTTCGCGTACACGTGCCCGTCGGTGCTCTCCAGCCGCAGCGACATCCGCGCACGGGACCGGGAAGTCGACTCCGTCAACGTCGCTGTGTCCGCACACAAACCACACACCATTACACACATGTATGCTTGCATCCTCCCCTCCCCTCCCCCTCCCCCTCCGCCTCTCTCTTACGTGAGTCGCCCCCCAGGCCGTCGCCGAAGTACTGGCCATGTGCTGTCGGCCCGTATGCGTTGCCGTTCATCATCTCGTGTCCGTGGACCCCGTGTCTGTGGACCATGGCCTCCTGCGTCTGCTGGGGCGATATCGACAGGTGGTGCCGCATCATGGGGTAGGGGTGGGGGTGGCCGCGGGGGTCTCGCGGCGAGTCGCTGGGCGGCGTCATGTTGTAGTAGGGGGAGAACGAGGGCGCCGACTCGGCTGTCGGCTCGACGTCGTGCTCGCAGCCTGCACGTAAGACCATCCAGCCGTGTGTGCGTGTGTGTGTGTGTGGTGACCCCGGGGTCACCTTGGTAGGTTAGGTATAGGTAGTTGGTCTGTGCGGGGAACTCTGCCGCCAGTGTGTCGATCTGCTTCACCCACGGCCGCACGTTGAACTCGGTCCTCAGGGCGCGCACCTCCATCTCAGACGCCTCGGGACGAAGCCACGTACCTGCAATCCACACACACACACCACACACAACACAAACAGGTAGGATGCGGTGCGTGTGCTGCCTGCCTGTGTGTCTGTGTCTGCCTGTCTGTCTGTCTGTCTGTGTGTCTGTGTGTGCGTACCGACCGATTTGTTTGTCAGCGAATCCGATGGTTTTGGCGTGTCGGATGATGTCTGGAGTGAGGTCGCTGATGCTCATGTTGGTCAGGTGCACACGTGTGTCGTTGATCTGCTTGAGCTTGGCCAGAAACCACCTGTCGATCTTCGTCATCTGCACAACACAGCCGCATGGCATGCCATGCCACCGCACAGATCAGCACAGATCAGATGGCCTGCTTCTCTGTCTGAGTGTCCGTCTGTGTGTCTGTGTGTCTGTGTGTGCCGATTAAGGAGTGAGTGACCTGGTGGATGCTCTCGACGTCGTAGCCTTCATCGAACGCCTGAGCGATCGCCCATATTCTGCACACCCACACGCACACACAGACGAAGCAGAGATGGACCGGTGCACATCCACACCAGCCACCCGCCCTTGCCCACACCAACCTCTTGGGCGACGGGTTTTGGAGCTCTGCGTTGAGCGCCTCTTTGTCGGGAAATACCTCAGTCTTGGGGTCGAACCCGTGAGCACTCTCCTCAACCTACACACACACACACACACACACATGGATCGTCCGTCGTAAGTGCGCTTGTGTGTGTGTGTGTGAATCGCACGCACCATTCTGAGTGCCTTCTGCATGGACTCCTCAAAGGTCCTGCCGATGGCCATCACCTCGCCCACCGACTTCATCGCCGATCCCATCTTGGTGTCAACTAGGCCGAACTTGCGCAGGTCCCACCTGCACACACACAGACGAGCACACGAGCGCCGACACAGACACACAGACACACAGAGAAACACAATGCGCTTTTTGCCCCTCCGGTATTGGCTGCTCTCATTCGGCAGCGGGCCGACCTGGGTATCTTGGTGACGACATAGTCGAGGGACGGTTCGAAGCACGCTGTGGTGCTCCGGGTGACGCTGTTGCGCACCTGCACCAGGTCCTGACCCAGCGCCAACTTGGCCGCCACATACGCCAGGGGGTAGCCTGCACCAGACCCAAGAAAGATACACCCACCACACACAGATGGGCGTGTGTGTGGGCGAACAGCGCACCAGTAGCCTTTGAGGCGAGAGCTGACGAGCGTGAGAGCCGCGCGTTGACCTCGACGATGCAGTAGTCTTGGCTGTAGGGGTCGACGGCATACTGAATGTTGCACTCGCCAACAATCCCAAAATGGCGAATCACCTGACACACCGACCAGAGGGAGGGAGGGAGGGAGGGATGGCTCTGCTGTGTGCAAAGATGTGTGTGTGTGCGTGTGTGTGCTGCTGTGACCTTGATGGCCGTTTCCCTGAGTTTGTAGTACTCCTTGTTGGATAGCGTCTGTGAGGGCGCGACGACGATGCTGTCGCCGGTGTGTATGCCGAGGGGGTCGAAGTTCTCCATGTTGCACACGGTGATGCAGTTGTCCTTGCTGTCCCGGACCACCTCGTACTCCACCTCCTTCCAACCCTTCAGCGACTTGTCTATCAACACCTGCACACACGCACACATGGACTTCATATATCGTTCGTTGTATGCGCCAGGCCGCCTGCATGCCATGCCTGGTCGGAGTGTGCGAACGCCTCGTGGACGAGCTTGAGCAGCGCCTTCTCGTCAGCCGCAAAACCTGACCCGAGGCCGCCAAGTGCAAAAGCCGCCCGCACCAGCACGGGATACCCCAGCCGCTTCGCCGCCACAACCGACTCCTCTATAGAACTGATCGACCAACGACACGCCACGCATCTCTCTCTCTCTCTCTTTCTCTCTCCTTCCCCCTCGCCCTCTCCCTCTGTGTGTGTGCTGACTTGGCCGCGAAGGACTCAGCGCATCTCTCTCCAATCTTCTTGAGCTCCTGTGCGAAGACGTCTCTGTCCTCGGTTTTGATGATCGCGGCGATGGGTGTGCCCAGGACCTTGCAGCCGTACTTTTTGAAGACGCCCTTCTTGTCCAGCTGCACCGCACAGTTGAGGGCCGTCTGCCCGCCAAAGGTGCAGAGGATGCCATCGGGCCGCTCCTTCTTGATGACCTCCTCGACGAACTGGGGAGTCACCGGCAGGAAATACACCTGGCAGGCAGGCAGGCACACAGAGACAGAGAAAGTGACTCTCTCTCTCTCTCCCTGTGTGTGTGTGGGCGGGGGGTGCGTGTGTGTGCGTGTGTGTGTGAGCCCAGCTGGCCTTCTTTCTCGCTCACCCGGTCGGCGAGTCCCTTGGACGTCTGCACAGTGGCGATATTTGGGTTGATCAGCACCGAGTAGATGTTGGCCTGCTTGAGCGCCTTGATGCACTGGCTGCCCGAGTAGTCGAACTCGCCCGCCTGACCGATGGACAGGCCGCCCGACCCCAGGATGAGCACCTTGAGTGTGCTCTGTGGGAAGTGGACGGGCACGGTGGTGACGGGGATCAGCTTGGGGTCCATGACGGCACGCAGAAAGTCGTGGAAGAGAAACCAGGTGTCAGTGGGGCCGCCGGCTGCCTCAGGGTGGAACTGAACAGAAAACCTGCACACACAAACAAAGATAATAGGGATGGATGGATGACGGGTGTGTGTGTGTGTGTGCGTCTGTGATATTGGTGTGTACCATGGGTTGCTCCTGTGGATGATGCCTTCGTTGGACTGGTCGTTGGCGTTGATGAAAAACTGCATCCACTGGGGGGGCAGCGTCTCTGGCACACACACATATGGATGGACACACGCATCGCATAGCATGCCTTGGCCATGCTATCTGTGGTGCGGCCGCACACCATCCCATCCGCCCATCCCGTCAGTCAACCAAACCCACCAGGGTCGACTGCATATCCGTGGTTTTGCGGCGAGATGTAGCATCGTGTGGTGCGCATGTCAATGACGGGCTGGTTCATGCCGCGGTTGCCGAACTTCATCTTGAAGGTGGACGCCCCCGCCGCCAAGGCCAGCAGCTGGTTGCCCAGGCAGATGCCGAAGATGGGCAGGCCCCGCTGCATCACCTTCCGGATGTTCTCCACAGTCACCTTGCAGAACGTGGGGTCGCCCGGCCCGTTGGACAGGAACAGCCCGTCCATTGGCTCGTCACCAAACGGATAGTCCCATGGCACCACCTGCAGTCGGACGCGCTCGTGCCCCTTTCCACTCTCCCGCTCTCTCCCTCTGTCTGTCTCTGTGTGTGTCTGACCCTGAGGTTGACTCGGTAAGGCATGAAGTGGACAAGGTGTCGGATGATGTTGTGCTTCATGCCGCAGTCGACCCCCACGATCCGCACAGGCGCCCGGTTGTCGCGCTCACTCACACCATTGGGGGTGCCGTTCGTATCGGGCGGGACGCCGTCCTGCTGCACACACCACACCACACCAGACACACACACGCATGCATTGCATGAGTGTTTGGATCCATCAACCCGGGTGTGGTGTGTGATGGCTCGGCTGCATGTGCACCTTACCTGACTTGCCACGGGCTCGCAGAAGTCGCGGACCTCCTTGTGCGACACCTGCGCCACGAGGTTGGTCTCATTGGGGTTGACCCAGGCGATGCACTCGGGGTTGTCGACATCGTCGCCGATCAGCAGCTTGCCCAGCATGGATCCCTTCTCGCGTATGTGTTTGGTCAGCGCCCTGGTGTCGACCCCCGCGATGCCCGGCACCCGCTGCTCCTGCAGCCACTCGGCCAGCGTCCGCTTGGCCGTGTAGTGGGACACGCTGAACGAGTAGTCGGCCACTATCAGAGCTGTCACATGAATGCGATCTCCCTCAAAGTGCTTGGGCAGGCCGAAGTCGTCCTTCTCGTCATCGGGGACGCCGTAGTTGCCCACCAGAGGGTAGGTGAGCACCAGCAGCTGCCCCGCGTAGGATGGATCAGTGAGGGACTCGGGGTAGCCGACCATGCCCGTGTTGAAGACCACCTCGCCGGCCACCGACTTGTCATAGCCGAACGAGTAGCCCGTGAACTCCTTCTTGTCTTCGAGGACCAGCCTGGCGGGCTTGAGGGACACCTCCTCGCCCTCGCTGCCCAGCAGGTGCCGGAAGTAGTGATCTGTTAGCGACTTCCGCACTATCATGATATATGAGTCACTCCTGGGCTCCCTCTGCACAATCAAGTCAAGATCTGATGCTTTCTGCCCCTCTGAGTGCCAGATCTGCGACGCCAAAAAGCTAGCGATCCACCCGGCTCGGCTCGCAAAACAGAACCAGCCGAGCCTGCTGCAGCCACTCATCGCAAAGCGCTAAGGTACGGCCAAAGGAAAGGTGTATCGTCCATTGACCACAATCATCCATCGGTTCGCTCACACAGGTTTCCTTCTCGAGACCGACCTCCTCTGCCCCTCAGTGCACTGCAATGGACGCCGGCGACCTCACTCAGAAGCTGCTCGCTGCCCAGGAGCAGCTCATCACCGCCAAGGATGAGCTCATCAATACACTCAAGCGCGAGCGCGACGAGGCACAGGCCCAACTCGAGGCGCAGAAGCGCGCCAAGACCGCCCTGCAGGTCGAGGTGGATAAGCTGCACCGCACCTCTCATTGATTGATTGATTCCGTCGGCCATCTCATCTACTCGAACACGACGGTGCCCCATTTGTGGTGGTCGGCGTCCTCCCACTTGCGGACCACCGCATCAAAACACTGAACCAAGGAATCGATCGACACATGCAGGCACGTGCAGGGTGGGGTGCCCTTGCTGTGTTATTTACCGTCCTGCATTCGGATCTCTTGATGCTCCGCAGTATGTCCGCCATGACCCTCCCACACCGCCGCAGCTCACCCTTCGACACACCACTCACGTCAGACAACGGGGCAGGCTGCACGGCAGATGACACACCAAGAGACATGTAATGGGGGCTGTCCGTCACTTGTATATAGCTATACGTTCCTACCGACCCAGCTGTCTTTGTCGTGTAGCCATATCTTGCGCGTCATATACACCGCAGCGGCCGCGATGATGTTGGACGGCAGGTGGAGCACACTCACATCGAACAAAACCAACTCCTGCACACGCACACACACACACACACATTTCTGCATGGGGGGTGTGCCTGTCGGTGTGTGTGTGCATTGAGTGATCCATCGGCTGACGCATAGGTATTTGGCGAATGCGTGGTATCGCGAGCCGAGTGGCATGTCGGGCAGCGACCCGCACAACTGATGCAGAAACACGGTGGGGGGCCTCCACACGTCCGTCGATACGCCATCGGACCAAAGACTGACACACCACACTCACACACACACAGAGATACACACAAAGAGATGAGATGCATTTAATTGGTGTGGCTGGTGGAGTGGGTGTGTGGGCTGTTTGCTGACCTCATGAGCACGCCGTTTTGCATGCGGCATATGTCTTCGGCCTGGCAGTTGCTGATACTTACGATGTCGCTCACCTCCAGCTGGTCAGGGTAGGTATCCTCAATTTGCGAGGCGACCAACAAACACGCCAAACCGGTCTGCACACACACAAGACACATAACACACACAAAGGGGCAACACAACCCACCGATGGATGTGTGCATCTCTGTCTGTCGCTTGTGTGAGTGTGGGCCCTATAAGGCAGCGTACGATCGTGTAGTACTCGGGCAGGATGTCCATGCCGTCACACCACAGCTTACACAACATGTAGTCGAGCAGCCGCACAGAGAGGTACAACGTCTCATCCGCCAACTGACATCACAATCGCACAGACAGGGGAAGCATTACACAGATCTTCTGTGTGAGTGAATTGTGTCCCGTCCATCCATCCATCCATCGGTCCGTTTGAAATCATCCATGGCGTCACTCACTTGCCCCATCGTGGCCGCATAGATGATTTCGTCCACAACCGAGGCCCGACGGAGGCCGAACCCCCCAGACCGCTGGGCAACATACTCAGCCGGGATGAGCGACAACACCTGCAAGCGGGAGAGAAACATAGAACAAGAGAGCTGGCCCGGCCGGCCTCCATCTCAGGCACCTTATGGTCAGAACTCGGCAGATCCACGACCCTGCTCATGATGCAATTGCCGCCGTGGCGGTGTGCAAGAGAGGGGAAAACAAATGTTTGTTTCCCGGGACGATGTGTAAATCTGAGTTTTCGTTTACGCACCCTCCAGCGGGGGCTGTTCCCGATGTGCGACTGCGTGGCTGTTGGTCTGTTCACCCTGCACGTGGGCTGGTTCTTTCTCACCGGCCTGCAGTGGATGGGCCCGGGCTGGGGCATCTCGACGCATCACCTTACCGATGTTACCGACAAAGCCCACCAACGCATGGTACATAAGGGACGGAAGGAAGCCATGGACGGACAGGATGGATGGATGGATGGATGGATGGATGGATGCACGGACAATGCAAGCGAAAGATATTATGCATTATGAAGTGTGGTGTCTTCCGCCATTAATTTGCTGCAGAGCGACTCGCCGGTGGTGCACATCCTCATCGGCTCCGTGCTGCTGTCCACCCTCATCACGGCTGGAGCCATCATCGCCACCATGACATTCTGGAGCATCCACAAGCAAGTCAAGGGCAAGATACCGCCACTGCCTCAGATAGAGAGCACCCGTGCCTACCTCAGAAGCCTCGTCGGCCGAAAGGTGAAGACGGTGAAGGACGAGGGGGAGGGGGGAGTCAAGAAGGATGACCACAGCAACGGGGCCGGTGGGGGTGGAGGTGACTGTGGGGAGCCGGCAGCCGACTCGCCGCTCTCTGAGTGACCGACGAGGGGGCACATGATGAGCTCCCAGAGACATCTCTTTGTATCTACGGTGCGGACAGAGCAGCGTGTGGGTTGGCTTTGCATTGGTTGACGTGTGCACATGCATGGACGGACGGACCACCATCATCAGTGTCGCTCGCTGTTAGTGTGCAGTAAGTAATGAATGTTTCCTCTACTCGGACGATCAATCACTGGATCCCTCATTAAACGGCACAGAAGCCAAGCCCACTACAGGAAGACAGACACACACACGGACAGACGGCCACTCAGTCCGTCAGCTTCGACACCGTATCCTGCCATGCAGGACTGCATACATAAGCACGATGATATATCCATGAAGGCAAGGCAGGCTCCATTGATGGACAACACCCATTTATTCCCCACCCCCACCATCAGTGAGTGTCACTTCTTGCTGCCAGCAGGTAGAAAAAGAGGCGGCCGATAGCCAGAGTCGTCACCCTCACTACTCCCTTGATGCGCCTTGCTCGTCCCGTTGGCGGCATACCCACCACCACCACCCCCAGTGCCCATCCCTAGCCCCCCGTCACCATTGCCGGGCTGCTGTGGATTCGCAGGACCACTACTGTTGGAGAGGAAGGCCGAGGTGGTCGCCACGGTGCCGTTGTCGCTGCCCTCGGCCAGCGTCGAGGTCTCGACGGTGGCGTCGCCCCCCGCCCCATTGATGGTGTCGTCTTCCCGCCTCCTGGACGACACTTGCATTCTCCACATCTGAGCGTACTCTCCGCCTGCGGCCAGCAGCTCGTCATGGGTGCCGTGCTCCACCAGCTGACCCTCGTGCAGCACCATGATCTGACAGACAGACAGACAGACAGACAGGTGAGAGAGAGAGTATGGAGGAGGGCATGGCATTGGGACGGCATGGACAGACAGCTTTTCGTTCTGCCGATGACCGTGGGTGCCTACCTGGTCAGCGTGTCGGATTGTGCTGAGTCGATGTGCAATGGTGATGCAGGTGCGATTGCGACGAAGTCGCAACAGGGCCTCCTGCACACACACACAAATACCCATTCATTCACACACTCCTTCAGCACAAGCCGCATCATAGCCAGCTGGTGTGGCTTGGTCGATCTCCTCACCCACCTGTATCCCCGCCTCCGTCTTCGTATCCAGTGCCGAGGTGGCCTCGTCCAGCAGGACGATGGGGGGGTTCTTGAGAAGGCATCTGGCGATGGCTACTCGCTGCTTCTCTCCCCCCGACAGCTTGAGTCCTCTCTCGCCCACGGTGGTCTCCCACTTGTCAGGCAGGGACTCGATGAAGCCCCTCAGCTGCGCCATCTCGGCCACCCGCTCGCACTCCTCCATTGTGGCGTCCAGCTTACCGTACTTGATGTTGTGCAGCAGGGTGTCGTTGAACATGACCGTGTCCTGAGGCACCACACCTACCGCCTGACGCACTGACCTGCATCACATCACATGCGCACGCACACGGCAAACATGGTGAGGTGTGTGGATGTATGGGTTGAGTGCACTGCACCGGCAGCTTGCCTTTGCTGCACGGATGAGATGTCGGCCCCGTTGAGGAGGATCTGCCCCTGCTGTGGGTCGTAGAAGCGGAAGAGCAGCCGGCTTATGGTGGTCTTCCCCGCACCCGTATGCCCCACAATGGCACAGGTCGACCCAGCAGGGACCACAAAAGACACGCCACGCAGACCCCTGAACAAACAAACCGAACATTTGAAGAACAGCAGACAGACAAATGCTGCACTCACTGTTCATTGAATGCCTCTTCCCTTTCTCATCTCACCTTTGCGCAGGTTGGTTGGGGTACTTGAAGTGCACATCCCTGAACTCCACCACGATGCCGCCACACGTCTGGTCACCGGGGTTGCCGGCCGTGACGCCGTTGATCGACCCACTGTCCATCGGCAGGGCTATCTCGCCCGTGACGTGGTGCGGCAGGGGCAGCGGGGGGGCCCCAGGCATGTCGACCAAATCAGGCTGCCAAGGCAGGCAGGAAGGATTCCATGGGGAAACGCTTATATGGAGAGGGGGCGGCGAGGGAGCCGCCCGTTTCTGTCTCCCTGTGTGGCCACATACCTGTTCTGCGAGCAGCTGTGACAAGTTTCGGATGTCGATGAAGGCCTTGATAATCACGTTCCACACCTGACAACCATACACACACACACACACACATGGCATGTGATGAGGTGAGGCGGTATTGCGGCGGACGGACGGACTGACCGAGCCAAGGAAGTTGAGGGGCACAAAGACGTTGATGATGTAGACGTTGACCGACACGAATGACCCGATCGACATATCTCCTCGCCGGATCTCCATCCCGCAGATGATCAGCCCCACTGGCCATCACACCAACACACACACAGAAACACAGAAGTCGTCAAATGTCTGACGGCGGCGGGCGGTGGGTTCTTACGTATGAGGGTGCTCTGGACGATGACCTGCTGCAGGACATTGAGCAGGTTCAGCGACACCTGGGTCGCCACACCAAACCGCTGACAAACAAGACACAACAGAACACAACACAGTACACACACCCCCACACAAACGCCTCTCCGTGTGTCGTATTGCCCCCTGTGTGATGTGTCGATGTTCACTCACCTGGTAGTCCCTGACGGCCTCGCAGAATCTATCGAGCTCGAAGGGCTCGTTCGTGAAGTACTTGACCGTCTCGAAGTTGATGAGGGAGTCGGTGGCTATGTCGTGGAAACGGTTGTCCTTCTTGTTGGCCTCCGTCCTAAATTTCCTCCGCCAAAGCGTCACCTTGACCGTCAAGATGCCGTAGATCAGCAACGCACCCGCCAAAAGGGCCGCCAGCTCCCACCTTTACACACAGGATGGTGGGGGGAAGTGTGTGGTGACGTGTGTGTCGGCGTGTGGATACTTTTGGAAATGCAGAAGGAAGACCACACAGACGGCGAAGCACTCGGCGACCGAGGGGATGAGATACAGCACACCCCACGTCATCAAACTGTTGGCCGCGTCGCAGCCACGATCCCTGACACAACACACAATACACACACACACACACAGACAGGCCGTGAGGTGGGTGAATGATACAATGGCCCGTCCGTCCGTCGTCTGTGCTGCCCTTCCCTCCTTGCTTGTATACATGGAACGTATGACGTTGCCCATGCGTTTCTTGAGGTGCCACTGGAGGGAGAGGTTGTGTAGGTGCTGGAAGGTGTGCTGGGCGATCTCGATGTACGCCGCCTGCTGCACCTTGATGTAGAGGAGGCTCTGACACTCCTTGAGGGCCTTGCCGCTGAAGGTTAGGAAGCCGAACAGCACCACATACGTGATCAGCCCGCCCACCCGGCCATCGGTCAGCGCGTTGACAGCGAAGCCGAGGAAGGCCGGCGCACAGACGTTGCATGTCTTGCTGCCGACGACGCACAGCCAGGTGGACAGACACCGGATGCGGTTCCACATGGTGCTGCCCTTGCCGTCCACGCTACTCCTCGGCCAAAAGTAAGGCCGCAGCACCTTGAGCAGCGACCACACAGACAGCTCGCTGCTGTACTGCTCCTCCTCAGGCGTGCTCGGCGCCTGCCCATCCTCACTGTTGACCGTCAGCAGAGCGATCCGGTTGGCGCGTGCCTTCTGCTCGTTGCTCACGACGGCCTCCAGCCACCAAGTCAACAGCCAGTCGGCGAAAGCAAACACCAGGTTGACCAGCACGATCAGCCCCACATGGTGTGTGCCGCTGAACCATGGATAAGCGAGCACCTTGACGAGTGCATAGAAGGCCAGGACGCCGAGGAATCGGGCCAGCCAGAGGAGGGGAGTGGTCTTCCACCTCTCCTCGTTGCCTTTGGTGCCAAGGTAGACCACCGCCACGCTCAGCGACCGGACTAGGGCAACGATGATAATGTCGAAGGCCGACGAGCGGAAGTGGTAGCGCGCGACGTCGTTACGACTGGCCTCTAGGAAGGAGAAGCCATAGCAGCCAAGCCACAAAACGAACAGCAGGAGCCAGTCGGCGATAGCAAGGACCGTCCCCAGCCGGTAGAACCGTGCTTTCTTCTTCCCCTGTGAGTCACATAGGCATGCACACAGACACCGACAGACAGTGCATGAGTGCGTGGCCGGCCGTCCTCTCCCCCCGACACATGCTATGCCCTCTTGTGTGTCTATGTGTTTGTTTGCCGCTGACTGACCAGTGTCGCCAGTAGCTCATCCTCCTGGATGGTGCTGAGGTCCGACATGTCAGTCATCCTCCTCGCTGGGCCACCCGCGGGTCTCTGTCTTTCCCTCAGCCTTCTCAGCGCCCCTGCCGTGAGCCTCAGATGAAGTGTGGTTTGGCGCTGCCTGGCAGTTGCTGGTGGTGGCAATGATGTCCGTGGCCTGCTGCCCCTCCGTCCCACACGGCCACCGGCTGCCGTCGGCAACAACACGATGGGCCACAGAGGAGAATATGGAAGGTTGGATGTCCGAACTCCAACCTTCAGAGATGAATGAATCAGTCAATCAGCCAACGCGGTCAGCTAACGGTCAACATGGCTGGCAGGGGGGGGATGTGTCGTTTTTGGAGCTTGACAGGGGCTAAGCTCGCAGCAGAGACCTTCCAGCTCGCATTCCAGATCAATTCCAGATCGGCGCTGCTGATCGGTCGCTGCACTCTCAAGCCCTCTCGAACCCTGCATCGCATTGGTTTCTTGTGAACGCCGCGCTTTTCGCTGGCCGCGGATCAGGTAAAGTACGAGGGAGGCAGGGAAGCAGGTGCAGGACAGCAAGATTGATTGCGCTGTGCTTGCCTGTGTGCTGTGCTTGTCGTGCAGTGAGCTGCCTGGGAGGTAGCTCAGGCAGGTCACCCTCGCTCCATCCACGTACAATGGTGACGACATCGACATCGACAGGCCCGCGTTGCCCCGCTGCGATGAGATGAACGTGCACTACGCGATGAGCTCCCTCTCATCCTACATCAACGACTTCTCGTCCTTCATCCCCGGCTCCGTCAAGACCGCCGCCGGACTCCACAAACAGATCTCACTCGACGTCTGCCACATCACATGGATGCACTTCCAGTGGGCCGACTGGGCCGGCAACAAGCAGCCACCACGGCTCTACCTGGCACTCGGATACCAGGACGGTTTCCAGATTTGGGACGTCACCGACGCCGACGACATGCGCGAGATAGTCAGCCGCAAGGACCAGCCCATCGCATTCCTGAAGCTGCTACCGCTGCCGGATGAGTCGCCGAGGTCCACCGGGGTGGACCACCAGGAGGCGCCACCGGGAGAGCGAGAAGGGGAGACAGACAACAGGGCGAGAGGAGGGGCCACCAGAGTGCCGCCGCTGCACCCGCAGAATGCCCCCATGGTGGCGTATGTGCATGGCGGGGCGACTTTGGTGCGGCTGCTGTCGATGAGCCGGCAGGAGGTGGTGTCGCTGCTGAGGCTGCCACACCTCATCAGCGGGCTCGAGGCCACATCCAAAGTGCTCGCTGTAGCCATGAGAGGCCAGGTACGGCACGGCACGGCACGCACTCAGAGCGACAGACAGACAGCACCATGAAGGAAGGCACTGACTGACGGCTGACAGAGGTGAGTCTGTGTGTGTGTGTGTGTGCGTTGCCTATCTATCAGATTGCCCTTTTCAATGCGTGCACGTTCCAGAGCGAGGTGACGCTCTCCACCGCCCCGTCCCCGTCCCCTGCATTCGCCATCGGCCCCCGCTGGCTGGCATACAACGCCCACCCCCCGCCCCCCTCCCTCCCCCCCGCCACACACACCCACACCCACATCCACCCACTACCACCTCGCTCCCGGTCCAACCACCACCTGCCCGACCGTCACTTTGTGGTTGGCTCGGCGCCCGGAGCCCTCAGCGATAGGCTGTCTGCCGGGCTGCAGTACTTGGGTCAGGTTGGCCAGCGGACGCTGGATTCGCTGCTGATGCCGAGCCAGGGGCACCATCACGGGAGCGCGGCTGGTGTGGGGGGCGTGAGTGTGGGTGCCGGGAAGAGAGTGGGTGTCGGTGGGTCGCGGGAGGGGGAGGGGAGGACGGGGCATGTGGTGGTCAGGGACATAGACACCATGGAGGTCCGTACGTAGCCACATGGCATGGACCAGCAAGACAAAACATGTCCTGCCTGCCTGCATGGATGGATGGCTCTCTCTCTCTCTCTGTGTGTGTGCTGTGTTGCAGATTGTAGCAGCATTTGACACGCATCAGAGCGAGCCGTTGAGTCTGCTGACGTTCGATCCCACGGGTCTGCTGCTCTTCAGCTGCACGCCCACGGGGCACACCATACAGGCACACCGAGCAGTCCTCGCACACGACGACAGACACGGTGAGTGAGTCGGTGCAGATGAGGCACACAGACACCTACGCCTACCTACGTTGGTTGGTATGTCTGTTGTGTGGGGTGGATGGATGGATGGAGTGATGGGTGCAGGTGAGGCACGACTGGTAGACAAGGATCGGGCAGGTCGCCCTTCGTTGACGTTCGAGCCCCTCTTCACCCTCAACCGAGGCATCACGCCCGCACTCATAACGGCCATCACATTCAGCAGGGACTCACGACTCATCGTGGTCAGTCAGTCAACACAGCACAGCACAGCCCCCATCCATCCATCCATCCGTCCATCCATCCAGCGTCCATGCGCAATGCACGTCTCTCTTTCTCTCCCCCTCTCTCTTCTCTCGTCAGGTGTCGTCGGCGAAAGGCACGTCTCACTTTTTCGTCCTCCCGCCGTCCCTGTCCCCTCCGCTGCCCCTGCCCTCGCACACGCGGCACACACGATCGCACCACACGGACCGCCCCACTCACTTCTCGCCACCACCGTCGCTGCCCTACCGTGATCGGCAGAGGAGCAGTGGCGTTGGGGTTGGCAGTGACGGCATGGTGGTTATCAACGCCGCGGCCAGAATCAAACTCGGATCGACCCTCCTGCAGGTAGGCAGTCAAGATCGTCAGTCAGCATATGGTCTGTCGATGCACAAGCGTGTATGTGTGTGTGTGTGTGTGTGTGGATGGTGGGTGTAGGAGGGTCTGCACCCCAAGTGTGCCATCCTGTCGCTGCCCTCGCCGTCCTCCCTCTCCCTCTACGTAGCCACCCGCGCCGGCCTGCTGCACCACTACGGCGTCACCATCACACCAGCAGTCACCCCCCAGTCGGACAGACAGCACCACACCGATGCGGTGCCCATCGCCCTGCATCCGTCGAGCACCGACAATGACAGCCCCGAGGTGAGCGTGGCGCTGCTCAAGTGCGTCCCCATGTGGCGGCCGCACAAGCACTTCAACGAGAAGGTGGTGCCGCTGGGGGTGCCCGAGACGGGCGGCACGGACGGGGAGGACGGGGCAAGGGACAAGAGCGAGCGGAGCGACGGAAGGTGAGATGACGACAGCCACACACACACGCACACACACACGCCCAGCGAATGAATGTCTGTTCATATTATTATGCCAATACGTCTGTGACACAGATGGCTGAGCTACGTCGAGACGTCCACCTGTCTTCGCCCAGACCGGCCTCTGTGGATGTCGCCCCAGCTCAAGCTCTTCCGCTACCACCACCCCCCACCCCCTCCATCGCAGGCCTCCACACCACTGACGACGCCCCGATCCGACACCGACAACAAGGACGACAGCAGCACCAGCCGGCAGCCGAGACCGCCATCTATCTTCACGTCCACCTCCATCAACAGGATGGTGCGCGAGGGGGAGGTGCCGCAAAGAGTGGCCGTCGTGCTCAAACGGGGCAGGGGCGAGGAGCCTCTGGTGCATTACGAGGGGGGCAGGGGCGACGAGAACATGCAGTCCCTGCTGGCCGGGGCGTTGCGGACGCCTCTCGCGACCCCTCCCTCACCCAGACGGCACTGCGTCCACCACCGTGGCCAGCAGGACGGCGCGGCCGCCATGGATGAGCTGCACATGTCCGAGACCGACGAAGACACCGAGGGCATGGGCGTTGACCGTGACGGCTTTCAGATGCTGCCGAGCTCGTCCATCCCGGTGCCATCGCCCAACACATCCATCATGACGGGCAACCCCAACTTCGTGTCGCCTCCGTGTGGCCACCACAACGGCAGCCCCAGCCCCCATCGCGGCCTCATCATGGGCGCAGCGGCTGAGTTGGGCAAGCGCGTGATGGAGGAGAGGGACCGGGAGAGAAGGCGGGCGAGCGAGGCACTGGCGGGAGACGAGGGGCTGCCTGTGAGTGAGGCCGCTCTGCCCGCGAGCCGGCCGGTGCCGGTGGTGATCAAGGAGAAGTGTCATAGGGATTAGACAGATCAGTTAGAGCATTGTGTGTGTATGTGTGTGTGTAGTAGGGGCGGGAGGCGAGGTGGGAGCGGGTGGCGGGCGAGAGAGCGATTGTAGTTCTGTCTTTCTGTATGTGTACCACACGTGTACCATATATATACATACCATAGCTACCTGACCAGTGAGTGTACCATAGCATAGATAGATAGATGGAGCAGTGTCGTCTGTCTGTCTGTCTGTCTGCGGCCGATTGAGCTCAGGGAGGGATGTGAATAAACAAAGACAGACACGTGTCGGTCGATCCTGCTACGTACGGCAGCCAGGGAGACAGGCAGGCAGGCAGGCGGATGTGAGGGTCGAGTCGAGTCGAGTCGATTGGTCGAGTTTTGCTGTCATCTCCGCATACGAAATGAATGAAACATTGGCCTAGTACTTTCGTCGTCCACATGATGGCTATGGCTGGCTGCCTTCTGCACGATTAGCCTTCGAACTGGTCATGCTGACCTCTCTCGGCTGCAATGCTGAGAAGGGTCGCCATGGCGTGGGCGAGGGTGCATCGAGTAGAAGGAAGGCAGTTGGTGAAGAAGGAAGAAGCCGCAGGCCGACGATTGATTTTTGATTTTCGTCGACTACAATGCATGGACCGACCATGCTTCGTTTCATTTTATCTACATTACATGCACTCGTTGGAATTCACGGAGGAGACACTCACTTCTCGTTCATCACTATACAGTAGTCATCACATCGGTCTCTCGTGCCCGTGTTGGTCAGTCACCGCACCACCATGGGACGAACGTTGCCATCCGTCGACAGCACCTGTCCGGTCGCATCGGGGAAGTAGAAAGTGCCTGGCGACGTCCGGCCTGAGCGAGACAAACAAAAACACGGCAAGGCATCCCTCCCTTGTCGTCTGTCTGATTGTGCGAGTGTTTAACTCACTGACTGACTTTTGCGTTTCTTTCTCTCCAGCAGCATGAGAATGGCCTGAAATGCGTTCTCGTGCCGCCAGGAGGGACACGCAGACGATATCACCGCCTGGTGGAGGCGAACACGGACGGGCAATTGCGGAGTGAGACACACGCATATCGATTCGATGGATTGTGCGGTCTGTCGAGTGCTGACCTCATCAGGGCTGAGGGTGAGGGGCCCAGGAGGATAGACGTACCAGCAACGATGAGACACCACCTGCAGGACAGAAATTGGTGGTGAGTGCTGTCAGACCGGCTCGATGTGTGTCTGCCCGTGCCTGTCTCTCTGTGTGTGTGCTTGTGCATTTCCGCCAGCCTACCTCAATGTGGTATCGGCGAACGACATCCAGCGGCAACTGACTCAGGTAGGACCTGGTGGGAGGATGCAACAGATCCTCTTCATGCAGTGAGAGCCCCCTTTGCGCGCACCGACCACAAGTGTGTGTTGATGCGTTTGGCAGGCCACTTGATGACAAACTTGGTCACATCGAACAGCTCCTCAAAGGGCAACTCCCACCTGCACACACAGAGAGCCACAGGCAGCACACGAAGGCTGACAAATGAGTACACACACTCCAGTTGTGTACTTGTCAGAGAGCAGCACTGGGACGCACCCAGCGAAGAGCGCCTCGAAGAAGCGAAGCGACCACCCACTCTTGCCTGCGTGACACGATATGCGCGCATCCGTTGACGGATGCATCAATGCAGTCAATGCCATCCCGCCCATTTGCCTGCCTCTCCAGCCATTTCACCTCTTGGGACGAAGCAGAAGCGTGAATCCCCCATTGCACGGTAATGCTCCGCCTTCAAGCAGGTTGGAACCAGACACACACAGAGAGAGGGAGAGGGAGAGGGAGACCATTATGTCTGTCTGTCTGACATGCGCTGATACTTACAACTGGGGCCTGTGTGTCATCAATTCGCAGGCCGGTGAGGTTCTGCCGACCCAGCTCCACCAGCAGCTGCCGGCTGTCAATCCCGTCACCCTACACAGGCACACGCACAGACACACACGCACACACACACACGCACACAGAGGCACACTTGTGCGCAAGCTGAGGTACCTGCACACCGAGCATACCTGTTTGTGTGGCCCTCGCGAAGGGTCCACCCTCCCCATAAACACACCCAACGTCGTCCGCTTTTCGACGGGCTTCGACGCCCCAACAAGACTCAATACCTCAGACCACGGCAGATGACCTGATATCTCGGTCGATCATACATATGGCAAGAAGGGCACAACCGTCTCGCAAACCGTCTTGTTTGTTTCTCCCTTCTCCCTCCCCGGCTGTGCCGTGCCTGGTATGACGATGTCCTGCCACACGCCGTAGTGTGGCTGGGTCTGGAAGGGCATGTCGTTGAAGAGCTCTGTCTCGGGTGTGAGCTTGATGGCCTCGGGCATGCACTGCCGCCACGTGGGGAAGACCCCAGCAGACAGACCAGATGAGAAGGAGAAGACGTGATCGCGGCCATCTGATCATGGGTTGGGGGCAGAGAGAGAAAGGGTGAGTTGTGAGGTGTTCTTGTTGTCGCTTCTTCTTATGCCTACTTGTCTGATTGAAATATGGCAGCTTCAGTATCAGCTGCCGGTAGATCCCATCCAGTTGCGATACCCTGCAAGTTTGAGAGAGAAACCAACAAACACATGGCGTGACACTACTTTCCCCCACCTCCCATCTCCCGCCCACCTAAACACATTGCCCTCGAACAAACAGATTCCGAACGCGGGCACAAAGAAGAAATCCGCCTTAGCGGGGTCATCCGTCCGGACGTGGCTGATCCTCAGTAGCTCGGCCAGCAGCACATCCGCCCCCCACTGCCCCCTGGAACAGTACGAATGGCCGCCGGTAAGCTGCAAAAGCTCGTCAACCTCTCGACCGTACACGTAGACGCGTAGATGGGGCTCAGAAGGAGCACCAAGTGGTAAGGATGGCTGCGACGCACGATTGCCTGACATATCTTCCTCTGCGGCTGGACACCGGCCGGCAGTGATCGCATCAAAGGGCCCTTGTCGTGGGCACATTGAGTGCATCACGGGAGCCGTATCGTTGTCTGAAGGCTGGAGCGTGGAATGCGACAGCGACGGCCCATCCCAATAGATGGCGTCAAGGAGGCTGAGCCGCAGTGCCGTCACGTTGGCATCCGACGCGGCCCTTCCCCATGCAGACTTGTCCAGCAGCACTAAAAACCACAAGACGCGAACACACACACACAAGAAGATCCATAATCGTGCCACATGAGCATATCCCGCCTCCCTCTCACTCACCGGGCTGGAAGTGTCCGGCGAAATAGTCCAGCAGCTGGAAGTAGACCACCGCCCTCGCCAGCCTTCCCGCCACCTCCAAGGCATACCGGGCCACAAAATACAGCAGCGCCACCAGGCCCAGCAGGCACTCGCTCCCCGCCTGGTCCAGGAACTGCCATCTCTGCTCTGATACTGATGGATCCTCACTGCCGAATTCGACAAAGTTGTGGTAGATGGTGAAGGAGAGCGCCATGAGGTGGGCGGGCTGGTGGCCTGGGTTGAGCATGGCATGGAAGTAGGTGGCCCAGGGGATGAGAGGGGAAGAGGAGGGGTCACGGCAGTCAGGATCTGTCCAAACTCGGTGGGAATCACCCATGTCAGAAGAGGTTAGCGCGGATCAGCCAGACAGGCCTGACATAAACACATCAGCCGTCACCTTCCAAGAAGGGTTTCCTTGGTTCTTTGCTGCATTCTCACGCGCGTGCACATGAGCGGCGTAAACTTTAAATCTGAGACGGCGAGCTTGGGGGCGGCTCCAGTCTTGCTGTTTCAAAAGTTGTCCTGTATCGTCGCTCATCATGGCTTTTGGGTTGATTCGTCTCGGCCATCATGTCAACTTTCTGCAGCTCCACTTCATCTACTTCTTCGGTCAGGCAGCGGAAAGAGCAACCGACACGTATCATCACACACACGTCAACAATGCGCCTGTGCCGCACCAGGTTTGGCCCTCGTCGCTTCCTTGGTCCTGCTGCAGACAGAGCATCATGATGCCTACACCAACCTGCATATGTTTCATCCCGAGGGCTTGCACAGGCTGAATTGGGTGGACTCGTTCTTCCTCTGCGTGGCGGCCGTCTCCCTCACCGGCTGGAGCGTCGTCCCCTTCGAGAAGGTCAGCACCGTGGGCCAAGTGATCATCTTGCTGCTATTTTGCAATGGTGGGCACGTCTTGATGGCCCTGGTCATGGTCAAGCTGCGCCGCATGTGATTCCGCCTCTCACACGCCGCTGAAGAGCTGACTCTACGCCGAAGGCTGCAGTTCTGGCGGCCCATCAAGGTGCAGGCCTCGCCGTATGTGTCGCCCGAACAGGCAGCGGAGCAGCTCATCGAGTACCGGGCCTTGGGCCACCTCGACGGCATCATGACGGTCATCCTGGTCTCCTTCGTGGTCACGGGGGCGGTGCTCATCTACGTGGCGGCCGGCAACGTAGTCAACACAGCCAATGACAGGCAGGAGCCACTGGGTGTTTACAGCAAGGCGTACTTCTCTGTCTTCACCTGCCTGTCGGCCTTCACGAATGCGGGCATCTCGCTGCTCGGCCAGGGCATGGTGCCTTTTATGAAGAGTCGGCTGATGATCACCGTCCTCTGCGTGCTCATGGCATGTGGTGCGAAGGAAGCACGGATGGAAGGGAGACAAGGGCAAGAAGAGCTCCGTGTGCAGTGCAGTGCGCGCACGCCTCCTCCTTGTATGCGATGCGATGCAGGCAACACGTGCTTCCCCTTCGTCTTGTGGGCGTCAGTCCGGCTGTCGCACTATCTAGCGCGCGACCCCAACCGTCGTGCGGAGCTCGAGTGGCTGTCCTCACATCCCCGGCGGTGCACCACCCACCTTTTCCCCAACTATGAGACGGCCATGCTGCTGCTGTGCTGGGTGGTCATGACCAGCTTCCAGTTCCTCATCCTGGTGCTCGACTTTCCCTGGAACAAAACCGATGCCGACACGTCCGCCGCTGGGGTGCACGGAATCATCGATCAGCTAATCTTCTCGACAATCGCGTACGTGTTCACATCTAAACAGACAGACAGATACGGAAAGACAAACCCATTCAGACACACACTTGGTTGGTTGGTTGCCACCCACTCCACTTGTCCTCGCCTCCCTCTCTCACTCCCTCCCTCCCTCTCTCACTCCCTCCCTCCCTGCCTGCCTGCCTGCCTGCCTGCCTGCCGGATTTATGATTGCAATGCGGTGCAGGACTCGAACGGCGGCGTTCTCGATATGGGCCGTGGCGGGCCTGAGCGCGCCGGGTCTCACCATCCTCCTCGTCTACATGTTCGTCGGCGTCTACCCGCAGGAGATGGCACTGCTCGGATCGGCCAAATTCAAAGTCGCCGAGCAAGAGGGAGGACTTCCAGCCATCGTCCGCAAGGACACCTCCCGCATGTCGGCCATGTCCGTCAGCACGCCCGCAAGCGCAGCCGTGTCATCGCCCAAGAAGGGCAGGCTGGCCAGCATACGAGAGGAGGAGGAACCCTTGCTTCAGACGGCCGGTGTTGGTCAGGAGGAAGAGAGGGAGGGTGTGGGCGAGGGGTATGGTGAGCAACCCGAGTGTGTGCTGGACGTGGCCGGGGAACACCCCCTGGTGTTTCACTACCAGGTGGTCAAGGCCAGCGATATGGCGTACGGGCGGCTGGGGGCCAGAGGGGAGTGGCAGACGGTGAGCAACATGGCGGCAAACCTCAAGGCCGTGTGCCTCAAGGACTCCTTCATCATCTACTTCGCCTTCCTCCTCATCGGCATCATCGAGTACGACAACCTGACCTACTACGACCTCTTCCCCGTCTTCTTCGAAATCATCTCCGCCTACGGCACCGTCGGCTTCTCGCTCCCAGACTCCGACTCGACCACCATCCTCTCGGGCGGCTTCTCCAGCGCCTCCAAACTGGTCATCTGCTTCATCATGCTCCTCGGTAGACACCGCGGCCTCCCACACTACCTGGACGCCTCCGTCACATCCATCAACCAATTCGCACCCCACGGCACAAGAAAGAGAAGATTCGCTCGCCTGTCGATCCCCTCACTCCCCTCACTCAGCGTGTCTCGGCCATCCGAGGATACATTTCCACCCACACTGGTCCCCCCAACCACCCCCAAGGTGAGCCGAGCGGCGACTCGGATCACCTTCGCCATCCCCTCTGCCGAAGAATCAGAGGCAGCGGCAGAGGCCGAGTCGGTGGACGTCGCTGCGACGCGGACCCCCTCGGTTGCGAGGCGGCACATGACGGTAACAGCGCAGCTGCGGCAGGACATAAGTCGGTTTTTCGCCGGTCTGCGTGTCCACGGCACGCCCATGCCCATGGAGCCCGGCGGCTTCGACGAGGCCGATGAGGAAGAGGAGACCAGCGAGGGAGACATGACCACCAGACATGGGGGTGTCTCGGGCCGGCATGCAGAGGTGTCGGAGAGGACGCCCCTGCTGCTGCCACCGCTGCCAAAGTCCGGCCTGGCAAGATCTGCAACCGCACCCTTGCACCAGCAGGCAGGCAGGAGATGAATTATGGTCTGAAGGGCGAAAAGTGAGACGTACGTACAGCCTGACTGACTTGTGCGGATGGATGTCCTATGGTGGATGGATGGATGGATGGTGCATGATGCGATACCCACTGATGGCTCGTCAGCCGGAAAGGTTTTGACTCATTTCTTGCTTGTTGCTGATGTGAAGGAGTGAGACCCCCATGTCCCAGGCGATTTGACATTCAATGCATTCTAATCCATCAAGTCAATCAAGGGGCTGCCCTGCCCACCTCCCCGCCCGCCATCAAGATCGGCCGCGAATGGCAGGGCAGGGCAGGCACCATAAATATAGATTGTGCACACACAGGCGACATGCTATGAAAGGAGAAGAGAAGAAGAAAAAAAGAGAGAGTCAAAAAGAGAGAGCACCTCCCTCACACACTGGCGTCGGTCGCCATGAATGAACCCATCGATCTTCCATGCCATGCCATGCGACGCATAAATGCAGGCAGGCACACAACACATGACATGGACGGACACTTACACATCTCCCCTCCCCTCCACTCGCCTACTACCCGGCCGTGGCCATCTTACTCGGACGCACTATCCACAAACACAGAGAGAGAGAGACCGCATTCGGATGACCCACCACAGCACAGATCAGTCAGAATTGGCAAAATTTGTCCACTCGCTGGACCAGGTCCCGGATGTAGCTCTCGTCGATGCCGCCCGTCCCGTTGACCTGGTGGTCCAGCCGCTGACGCACCCCGGCACCGCCAGCACTCGGGTCGTTGCACACCGTCTCAACCACCGGCGACATCGACATCATCAGCCCAGGCTTGTGGCCGACGTGGCGGGGGTCTGACGAGCCGGCGGGGCCGTCGAGGGGCGATAGCATCTCCCTCTCGGTGTACCTGTACTGTTGCTGCTGCTGTCTCATGTGGGCGGTGCGTGCGTGCGAGGTGAGCAGGGGTCGCTCGGGCGAGGGAAGGGTCATGGGTAGGGGCTCGGGCGTCCCGTTGTAGACGTTGGAGTAGTGCTCTACCGCCGACTCGACGCGCGGGAACAGCTGACATATATCCACACGACACGGAGGACACCCATGCCATGTGGCTGAGAGAGTGTGTATGTGTGTGTCAGTCAGGTCAGTCAGGGAGTGTGTGTGAGGGTACATCACCTCTTGAGGTGCGTTCTTTGCGACGAGGAAGTCGAGATGCTCGTACTTGGGTATGGCCTGGAAGACACAGCGGGGCACCTGCAGCAGCAGCCACTGGTTGTCCGACAACCTGACACACACACAGACAGATCAATCAGCACACATCACATGCCATGCCGGCTGAGCGATCCGTGCGGAGGGGTGCGGCCATGGCCATCCCTTCCTTCCCTTCCCACGCACATGTCGTTTTGTCCGCAGATGAGGACCACAGGGCAGGTGACTCTGCTGACATTGTACTTGGGTATTTCCACGTCGGCCGGCCCCCCCACGCCCGTCGCGTCATCGTAATGCTCAAACTCCCCAGAACTGAAAGAACCAACAATGACACGAATGACACACAGCATAGGTGTCGGTCGTGTCAGCCACCGTACAGTGCACATCACATCCGCGCAGGCAGGAAGGCCTGCCTTCTCAAGTCAATTCAGCTACCCGAGTAGCTGGAACCAGTGTCTGGCGACCTTGACGGATGTGGCCGAGTACAGGTGGAAGTAAAAGACCTGCTTAGCCCACGCTCTGCATGAGCAGACAGACAGACAGGAGACAGACGTCATGGAGGGACGTGTCTGCTTGGAGTCCTTCGCACGCCCACTCACTCACTCAGTCACTGACTCACTCTGCGAGTTTGACGTGCCAGTTGAAGAGGAGGTCCAGCGACAAATCAATCACGCGCACAAAGATACCCCTGCACACACCCACACAGACAATCGACGTCTGTCTGTCTGTCTGTCAGGTTAGTTGGTTGTCGGACCCACTACCGTGCGAGCATTCTTTTCCACACATCAGTGGTGGAGAGCATGGCCTTCTTGCCAAAGACGAGGAAGAAGGCGCGCTTGCTGAAGGTCAGCAGCGGGTACACCAGTGCGATGTGGCTGCCCTCCTTAGTCGACAAAGCTGATGATGATCGCCACACAAAACCGCACACACCACCACACGCTCACATGACATGAGAGCACCCCACCCACCCAATGATGGACGGAATGCCATCTGTGGTGGTCCCATATATCTCCATCTGTCTGTCTGTGAGTCTTTGTCACCACTCACTTTTCAGCCGGCAAGCGGGGGCGAGTGCGATGAAGGTGGCAATGCGCCGGTTGAGGGCCGGCTGAGTCGACAGAGCTGCACACAACACACATCGATGACACAAATGAAATAAATGAGCGGCAAGGCACATGGGCATCTGACTGACAGGAGCATCACATCCGTCAATGAGAGAAGTGATGTACCTACCTGCGAACATCTGTGCGGTGCCGTTGGAGAAGCCCACGTAAATGCACTGGGTTGCGCGCGTCTCACGCAACACCAGCTGCATGCACCACACCACACCACACCACACCACACCAGCACACACAGACACCCAGACAGACAGACAGACAGTCACACACACAGACGGATGCGATGCGATCCGATGCGATGCCTTTTCGTTCCTTCCTGTGTGTCCTTCCCTTCCTTGCTCACGTCAACACAAGTCGGGACGTCATAGCGCGCCAGCTCGTCAATCGAAAAGTCCCAGTAGCTGCACACAACACAACACAATCACACAAACACAGACATGACGTCATGTCATCTATCTCATGTCATGGATCGATCGGTGCCACGGTGGCTGTGGTGTGGGTGGGGGAGTGAGTCGGCGGCTGGGTCCCGTCCGTTTCTCATCTCACTTACTGTTTGTCGTCCCTCTTGAAGAATCTGTGTTTCCAGCTGTACTTGTTGCCACGATTGTTCGCCAGCCACACGTCATACCTACACACACACATACACACACATACACACACACACACACGAGCAGACACACACGAGACAGCACGTGCCATGCCGTGGTGTGGTGTGGTGTGGTGTGCCTTGGCTTGCTTTGATATATACCATACATACATACCCCTTTCTAGCGAGGTAGATGGGCAGTGAGATCTCCTTGTTGCACACCCAGCACTCGTCAGACATCATCAGGCCGTGCATGAACAGCAGCGGCAATCCACCATCGCCACCCCGCCGACGCGACACCAGGCTGTCACTCTCCGTCGTCACGTTAGTCACGGCGGCCGTCCCGGGCCCCAGCAGGTCGGCAAACGGGTCTGTGCGCGACGGCAGCGACGTCGAACGAGATGAGCCCCACCCTACAGGCAAGGCATCAGTCAACCAGCGTCGGGTCGTCCTCCCTGTGTGCGCGCGCGCGTGTGTCTGTTTCTATCCACCGGGCTGCAGGCCGTGCATGTTTGTGTTGGTGGGCGTGTTGATGCCCTGGTTGGGTGGGACGATCCTGTGCAGCACCAGCACGAAGCCGTCAGGGGTCTCTGCGAAGTGATCCTCGACGTTGAGGCCGGCGTCCTCGAGCAGCTCGACCGTCGAGGACGACAGCTGCGGCTGACGGGGGCCCTCCAGACGCTTCGAGAACAACATGCTCACGCCACTGAGAGGGAGAGAGAGCGGAGGAGAGAGCGAATGGGATATATGGGATGCCGTGGGTGTGTTTCTATGTGTGGGGGTACATGTGTGTGTGTGTGTACCTGACGGACTGGTCGTATAGGATGTCAAGCAGCCTTCTGAAGGGAAACAGCTTGTAGAACGTCAGAACCAACGTGCGCACCACAAACTCTGACAGAGAGAGAAACCACACAGACACACATCTCGCTTATCGGTCCAGATGCATTCACTCTCTCTCAGCTCATCTTCTGACTGACCGAATGAGAGCAGACAGAAGATGATGGCCACCTTGACGGTTTCGAAGGAGAAAATGTACCTCACGTGCTGCAGGGCGTTCGCCCGCACAGGGGAACGCACCATCACCTTCGGACTCGTCACAGGACTCATCGCCGCACGCCCATTCATCGCTTCTTGCTCTCCTTTTTCTCCGGGTCTGCGAGCTATGGTGACCAAGCACTTCTAAGCTCGCAAACGTGTCAAAGGATCGCGACACGTGTGAAAAACGCCGAGCACTTGATCCGTTTCGGCGCTTGCCTCCTCTCGTCGCAGATCTCCCTCTCAGCAAGTGACAAGCGCTTTTCGACCCATCTTCATCTTTGTGTCATCGAAGAAGCGTCAGCCTCGAGCTCCTCCCGATCTGTCTTTCTGTCCGCCAGTCTCTCAAGATGCGTCGGAGCGCACGCGTGACGGTGACGGCCTTGAGTGTGCTGTGCCTGCTGGCTGGCGAGGCGGCCGCCAAGGTGTACCTGCACGAGACCTTTGACGATGACTCGTGGGAGCAGCGGTGGGTTCTCGCCAAGTGGAAGGAGGGAGAAGGTGAGGCAGCCAGCTGGCGAGACACTTGCTGAGCTGAGACGGGGATTTGGAGAGAGGGAGGGAGGGAGGGAGGGAGACGGCCGGGCAGCCAGTTAGTTTGGTGCTTTTGCCGCGCGTCTGTCTGTCTCCGTCTCCACCGCAACAGGTCCCCATCTCTCTGTGTTGGTTTGTGCGCGTGTGCGTGTGCGTCCGTCAGGTCTTGCCGGTAAGTTCGAGCTGTCTCACGGCAAGTTCTTCAACGACGAGAAGGCCGACATGGGTAAGAGACCACACCACACCACACCACACCACACACCGCATTCCACCCATCCCCTTGTGTGTGGCTCGCCTCTGCATCACCCGCAGGTCTGAAGACGACTCAGGACGCCAAGTTCTACACGGCCTCGACGTCATTCGACGGTTTGTCGAACAAGGACAAGACTTTGGTGCTGCAGTTCCAGGTCAAGAACGAGCAGAACATCGAGTGCGGCGGCAGCTACCTCAAATTCGGCCCAAAGATCGACGACCCAAAGGAGTTCAAGGGAGAGACACAATACTCAGTCATGTTCGGTAAGCCAGCCAGGCGGAGAGGGAGGGACGGCATGTGCGCAATGTGTGTGTGTGTGTGGTGGTGTGCAGGGCCTGATATGTGTGGCTCTGCGACACGCAAAGTGAGTGAGAGGCACACACCACACCACACGAGAGAGACGAAGGAGTGCTGGGATACACACAGACCGGTGGGAATGTGTTGTGTTTGTTGTGGTGTGTTGTGGTGTGGTGTGTGTTGTGTGTCAGACTCATTTGATCTTCAACTACAAGGGCAAGAACCTCGACCGCAAGAAGGACATCGAAGTCAAAAACGACAACCTCTCTCACCTCTACACACTCGTCCTCAGGGTAAGTGAGTGAGGGGGCCCACACACACACACACACACACACCTGACAGGCCACACCCAAGGCACACACCCCTCTGTGTGTGTGTGTGTGTGTGTTCAGCCAAACAACACATACGAGGTGCAGATCGACCAGAAGACGGTGGCCGACGGCAGCTTGTACGACGACTGGAACTTCCTGCCGCCCAAGCAGATCAAGGACCCCAGCCAGTCAAAGCCAAAGGACTGGGTCGACGCAAAGGAGATCGACGACCCCGAAGACAAGAAACCCGGTATGTCATGCCCATCTCTGTCTTGTCTGTCTGTGCTGTGCTCTGTCATGATATCATAGCGATGCGATGTGTGTGTGTCGGTGGGTAATCAGAGAGTTGGGTGGAGGAGAAGCAGATCCCTGACCCCAATGCGTCCAAGCCCGACGACTGGGACGAGGAGGAGGACGGCGAGTGGACACCGCCCATGATCGACAACCCCGACTACAAGGGAGAGTGGAAGGTACACTACACTACAGACGACACACACAACACAGCACAACACAACACAGCCCAGCCCAGCCCAAAACACAACAATCTCTCACCCCTCCACCCCTCCACCTTGGCTGGATTATTTGATGAATCAGGCGAAGCGCATCCCCAACCCCGACTACAAGGGCGAGTGGGTGCATCCCATGATCGACAACCCAGACTACTTCGACGACCCCGCCGTCTACGCCTATTCCGACATCTCTATGGTACCTGACCTGATAAGAGCAGAGCCGTGGGCTGATCTGTTCAGCACAGCACAGCACGCTCACGAGTGTCTGTCTGTGCGTGTGTGTGTGTGTGTGGTTTTGCAGGTGGGCATTGACCTGTGGCAAGTCAAGGCGGGCACCATCTTTGACAACATCGTCGTCTGCGACAGCGAAGAAGAGGCCAAGGTCCGTCAGTCACAGACCCACAGCACCCCACCCCACCCGCGCCGCAACTGCCACACCCACCCTCATTTCGTCGTGTCTGTGGTGTCTGTCAGGCGGTCGCTGACAAGTATTTCGTCCCACTGCGCGACGCCGAGAAGAAGCTGAAGGAGGAAGAGGTAAACAAGCGACTGACTGACCACACTACCACACCACACTGCACCACAGCGGTGACACACTCCGCCCATCCAATCTACTGTGTTGGTTTCCTGTCCCGCCCCTATTTATCAGGACAAAAAGAAGGCAGAGGAGGAGGAGGCCCGCAGGAAGGAGGAGGAGGCCAAGGAGAAGGAGGAAGATGACGAGGAGGAAGACGAGGAAGACGAAGACGAGGAAGCGCCGGAGGTACGCACACACGCACACCAACGCTTACCCCTGCACACTCTCCCTCACTCACACAACGGTCGGACACCTGACCTGGTATGGCGGTGTTTGGTGTGTTTTGTTGTGTGGTGTGCCATCAGGAGGATGAGGGCGGTGCGGAGCACGACGAGCTCTAGATGCCCACAGAGATCTATGAGTGAGTGAATGGGTAGATATATAGCTCGATTCGTGCGTCGCCGCTCACTCACTGGCTGGCTGGCTGCCGTCACCTGACTGTGCTGTCTGTCTGTCTGACTGTCTGCCTGACTGCTACGGAGGGAGGGAGGGAGGGGGGAAATAGACAGCGAGCTGTGTGGGAATGGCTGATGTATCGTGTGATGGTGGGCGTTCGCTGGTCGGTCTGGTCTCCCTCTTGAGTTGCTCCATGGAACCCAGAGTGAGCAGCGCCGGTGCCGACTGCCTCACGCTGGGTTGCATGGCGAGGTGCGAGAGGGGGATGAGGTCGCAAAGCGACTTGTACGATGAAGCACAGCCACCACGATTGCGTAGGAATGCTCTGGGAGAGTGGTCGTGTGCGCGGGGCCAGCTGCCCGTACGACGCCGCCGCTGCCACCGGTGTGTATCATCGACCGTGATGACACACAGCAGTTGCACCGCTGCGTTGAATGACAGTGGACCCACACACTGAGCCACAACACCCTTTCTTCTTCCCCTGCCTGTTCCTCAGCTTGCCTGCCTGCCTCTTTCTCCTCTGTCTGTCTGTCTGTCTGCCTGAGAGGGTGGGTGGGCCTGTAAATATCCTTCATGAGATGCATATCGATCGCACGAAGACCAGAGGGGCGGAGGGGGGGGGGGGGAGGGATGGCTCTCTCGCTCACTGCCTCAGCCTCGCTGTCATCTTGCCTTGCCTTGCCTTGCCTTCCTATCTTTCCTCCGACTTCTCTCCCTCCCCACTCTCCGCCCCTCTGCCATCCCCCTCCCTCCCCTTGTCTCTCGTCGCGAGTAGTAGCCGCCCAGAAAGACCGACCAGGCTCTCTGTAGACAGACGCACGCGCTCACACCAATAGGTACTGCCATCCATCCATCCATCGGTGGGGTCGGTCGGCCGGAGTCACGCATCGGTAGCATAGCAGCGAGCTAGGTGGGTTTGCATCGCGGGTTTGCATCGCACACCCACCTATTTAATAATTAGCCAGCAAGGCAAAGACGGAGGGATCGATGGTCGACGATTGATGACTCGAATCAAGATGAGAAGAGAGTGGCCTGGCCCTGGACGGTCTTTGGTGGCGTGTGGTGGTGCCTCTGCTGGATGGTGGATCGGTTGTCAGGTCACTCTCCCTCCCTCTCTCTCTTCTGTGACATGTGTTGCGTGCAGCGTGCATCCGAAAGGTGTGGATGCGATCGATGCGACTGGCTGACGTGACTGACTGACTCGTGCGTGCGGTGTGTTATGCGATCGATGCGACTCAGTGAGTGACGTGCATGACGCCCTACTTAATTCATGAATAAGTGCACAGTGCAAAGCGTGTCGCCCAGCCCACGAAGTAGCAGTGGCCATCCATCCATCCTGCCTTGTCAGTCTGTCTGCACAGCACAAACCACTGACCAGCCCAAATCAGTGAGGGCGTCACCACACGCTAGAGGCCAAAACATCGCTGTCTGTCTGTATGCCACAACAACTTATCCATTCCGTTCTGTTCAGTCAGCCGTAGGTCGTCGTCGCACCGTACTGCTGCACCTGCATCAGTGCAGTGGGAAGGAACACATGATATATATACACACACCAAGATGCATCCATTGCATTGTGTCCATCCGATCCGCGTGTGGTTCTGCCCGCCTGCCCCGCCAAAGTCACTGACTGACCGTTCCTGGCGGCACTCTGACGATGAGGGGCTCCTGCTGCCCGTACATTACCGGAGAGGCGCCATCTGAGGCCAGCGCCATGCCATCATATCCACCAACACAAACAACCATGGGTGCTGATCGAGTCGAGTGTGGCATCGCGTCTGATTCCTCCCTCCTACACACACACGTGCCAGGGGGTGGAGGTGGCATTGGGGGTCCGCCGTAAGGTCCGCCGCCGTATTCCTCGTCTTCATCATCGTCCTCGTCGATCTTGTGGCTGTATCCGTCACACACACACACACACACAGACACACACAGGCGTCACTCTCATCACACACTTCATCACTCGGCTGACTGACCACTGTGTGATGAGAGTGACGATGGGCACGAGGAGGAAGAGGGTGCCCGCCATCGCCAGGTGAAACGAATAACTCACCGCCATACCTGAGATGTGTGGAAAGATACCCGAGACAAGACACTTATTTCCATGTCTCTGGTCCGGCCGGCCACTGAGTGGCTGACCTCCGCCTCCGCCGATCCCGAAGGCCGTGATGAGATTGTCACTGACACAGACACGTATCCACCGGTCTCCCTCTCTGTCTGTTTGTCTGTTTGTCTGTCTGTGTGTCTGTGTGTCTGTGTGCCTGTCTCTGTGGTTAGTCACTCGAACATGCCCTGAATGTTGTTGGTGGCCATGTAGTAGAACCCCAGGCAGGCCGCGCACGCCAACACAGGAGCGAGATGTAGAACTCCGTCTTCTTGTAGATGCCCTTGCGCCGCCCCCGCCGCGCCCACATTACGAACAGGAGCAGCGAAAACAGCTCAAACACCAAGGCGATACCCACGGCAAAGGTCTGCAAAGAAAGGGGCGAGAGGGAATGAGCAGAGCATTGTGACTGTGCGGTTGGTTATTTAGCTGAGCAACCATGATGAAGGAGGCCCAGGCGACCATGTCCAGGTTGGCACAAGCGCTGTGGCCTGCACGTGTGCACGTGTGGACAGACAGACAGACAGGCAGGCAGGCAGGCAAAAGGCAGAATTCGGTGTCTCCTGACACCCGATGCTGCAAGGATGCACCAACCGATGATTCCGTAGCTCTGCCGGGAGATGCCGCAGGCGATGTCGCGCGCATCGGTGATGAGGTGCTTGCCCATGATGGGAGACTCGCTGTACACACACGCACACACACATGGACACACACACGTGTAATTGATTAGGAGGGAAGTCTCTGGGCCTGCGTGCCATGTGGTGTCTCTTCTGTCAGTGACGTGACTGACCAGAATTGTCTCATCAGTTTCTTCAGTTTCTGTGGCTCCTTTGCGCATGGACTGAATGCGATGTTCATTTCCCAGAGGGAGAAGTCTATCGTCAGGACGTAGACGAACACCACCGTCCACTTCTTGTGATACCTGCAGGTCAATGCGATGCACCCAATGGCATCCATCCATCCATCCATCCACACACACACAGACAGGCACGACACGACAAGCAGTGCAAGGGGGGGGAGGGCAGGGTGCGTGGCCCGTACCAGTAGGGGAGGAATACGGCTATAACCCACAGCAGGAGTGCCAGGCACACCGACAGCAGGAACAGCAGGGGCGCCTTCGAGGCCATCCCGTCTCGACGCCGTCTCACTCACTGCACAAAGCTGCCTCTTCTTGCTAGGAGGTGCTGTCCCGTCTGCTCTCTGATTCAAATTGCTCGGGGGGAAAGGGGAAATTGGAAGAAGAGAGGGGGGGGCGCCGGGGGCCGATCAGCGAGCTCAGCTGAGATTCTGACTCTTTCGCCGACATGTCCTTGAACAGCGCCCCCTCCCTTCTGCGCTGCCACGCGAAATACTCTGAAAGTACACAGGGGTTCACTCCCCTGCTGACCAGCAGCATCCTCCACACAATCCCCCCAACCCGCATCAACCTCGCCAACACAACCGACCAGAATGCCCTCAACCTCGCTCAACACCACACGGCGCCAGGGGCTGCAGATCAGCCCGCATCAGAGACCCATCTGCCAGACCAGCAGCAGCGGGTCCAAGGAGGCCTTGCCCAGCCACAGCCCCACACGCAAGACGCCATGCCACCGGCGGCGTTTCAGGAGCTCCCCCTGAAGCAGCTGACGTCGGAGCAGCTCAAACAGAGATGCGAGGCGCGCTTCCTGCACCTGGCGCGATGTATCGAGAACGTCTGCATGGACGCCATGAGTGCCGAGTGGGAGTGGCAGAAGCGAGTCGGCGACAGGGCCCGGGAGCTGTGGGACTGTGCAGAGGTGGTGATCAGTGAGGCCATGGACACGGTGGCGCACTGTGTGGCGAGGGTTGAGGCGGCGAATGAGAGGCGGGACGAGGTGCGGCGGGAGAACGATGTGTTGCGCCGACGTGTGGGTGAGAAGGAGAGAAAGGTGCACAGCGTCAAGGCAAAGACATCCGATGAGCTCAAGAGACACGTGGCAACACTCAACTGCAAGTGGGTTACTCATTTAAACACAGGCACCACCAAGAATGCCTGTGTCCACTCATTATATCGTTTCTCTGCTGCAGGTGGCGGAAGGAGAGGGCCCAGCTGGAGGCTGTCCGAGCGCACTTAGAGGAGTGCTCGAAGCGGCTCGACACCGAACACCCAGGGAGCCCCATTAAGCAGGCACAGGAGGAGCTGCTCGATCAACAGCAGATGACCAAGTGAATCATACATGAGACATTAAGACGGAGAAACCCACAACAGGCATTGCAACGAGTTTTGTCTCTATGCGTGTACTGTATGTGGGTGTGTGTAGGAGGGTGGAGGAGGAGCGTGAGAGGCTGCGTGTGGCCCTGGAGGAGCTCAGGCGGCAGTACACACACGTCGAGCTGACCCTGGAGGGGAGGGAAGCCGAAGTCGAGCATGTACTCGACATACACCAACAGACTAAGGTGATCGAGGAACTGCACCCACCACGCACATAGCCTCCCCTCCCACCACTCACATCAGAGTGTGCCGCGTAGATAGGCGGCGCTGCGGGAGGCGGAGAGCCAGAACGCCCAGCTGAATGAGTGTCTTCACATGGCAGAGGAGGACCTCGCCGCACACAAGCTCCGCGGCCAAGTGGACCGGCTCAAGGTCGACGCATTCGAGCGAACTCTCTCCCCATTCCTGGTGAGACTGACCCGCACAAAAGACATACACACCGACCACACGCGCGTCACGCCTGTGTCTCTTTTCGCCTGTGTAGGGCGCCAAACTGCCTGTCCTGCAGCCCGACTTGTTGGGCGCCGCTTTCTCCCCGGCTGGTTCTCCCATTCGTCAAGGCCCATCCGGCCCAGGCTTCTCGTTCTACAGTCGTGTGTCAATCGTCAAGTTTGCCGCCCCACAGGCGGCATCGCCCTCTTCCAGGGACGGAGGAGGCCAAGACAGAGACGCCACCTCACTTCCATACGCACACGAGAGGAGGTCCACCAGAGGATCGACACTGCCTGCCAAGTCATCGGCAGCGGTCATGCTCCCTCAAGCGGCCTTCAGCACAGCCGAGTTGGTGGACGACTCGGCCAGGGGTCTGATTACCAAGAGTGCCGTCACGGAGTCGACTAATGTGCGTGAGGGTGTGGGCGAGGTGGACTGGTGGCATGAGGAGAGGAAGGAGAAGGAGGAGGGGGCCGACACCACCGGCAAGTCTGCCGGCGAGAAAGTGGTGGGCGAGACACGCAGCCAGCTGTTTGGGGCATCAATCGACTGACTGTCCTGGCTTCTGTATTTTGTGCCATCTATGGGTTTGCATTGCAGATGAGCATCTTTCAGCGACTGAAGGGTGTGCGGCAGACGGCTCTCAAGTGGAAAATGCGCTCAATCGTCAAAAAGTAAGCCAGGCAGCCGCAGCAAAGAGAGAGACATGGAATTGGCTACCCCGCGCTGCGCTTTTCGTTCCCGCAGTCCGGTGAAGGTGTTGTGTAGAATGACGGCCATCCGCCCAGTCCCGCTGGATTGGTTGAAGGAACGAAACATGTAGGCGCGCAGGCCGCTGGCTACGACACACGCATCATTCCACGTGCGGTCCGTTTGTCCCTCACTGTTCAGTGAGGCGGGCCGTCTTGTCGAGATGGAGGAATTCTGCGCAGAATTCCGGTCGGTACCAACACCCCCCACCATCTCATCCCTCGTCTCGTCCCCTCTCGCTGTATGTATGCAGTCAGGCGATGGCCTCAGCCCGCGGCGAGACAGACCTGGACCTGCTCAAGAGCCCCGTCGATCCGCCACCAGACGACCTCCGGCAACCCCCTCCGCCCATCGACCTACTCCTCGGCCTTTTTCCGCCAACCAGAGGATCCCGCATGTCACGCAGCGGCATCACTGACGGCGGCGGAGGGGGCGCGCCACTGCTGTCGCTGGACAGGGTGCGTGCGACTGTCCGGGTGTTGTTGGACGCCATGACGATGGATGTGTTTCTCTCGACGACGGACTTCCGTGCGCTGCCTCCCTTCACCGAGTACGTCATGGCGTGGCTGCAGCGGTATGACGTCAACATTTCGACTAGCGGCACGACAGCCGCACCAGCTGTGCCCGGTCGGCGAGCCGACGAGGTGACGTCACAGGTGTGGATAGTGGAGAGAAAAGGCGCTGGAGCGGCGTCATTGGCTGTGGGTGGTGGGGACCGTCGTGAGGGCATGACTCTGGGCGACACGCGAGCAACCGAAGTGTTTGTGCGATCTGTGCTCACATACCGGTAAGATATCCGCACAGAGGAACAAACGGCCCTCTGTATGTCTCTGTGTGCGTCTTTGTGTCTCAGCGAGCGTGGTGGATGGGAGGTCCACACGTTCGCATCGTTTCTGCTGGATGAGTACTCGAGTGACGTGCTGCTGTATTATTTGCTGATCCGGCACCACCTGATGGGCCTCGAGGTGCGCAGGAAGGACGACCTCACAGCCGAAGCCAAACTCGTCGACGTACGCATGCACACTTTGCTTACACAGAGAGGAGACATGTGTATATTGTGTGGCAGTGATGAGACATGCGCTTATGTGTGTCCGCAGGTGAAGCAGGCCATTCGGTGGGCGCGGACCCTGCTGGGGTCTGACAGCTTCACACACAGGGAGATCAACACACTCTCAGAGGTAAAGAGAAGAGACACAAACCTTTGTTCATGCCCTTCCTCTCGCTGTCTGTCTGTCTGTCTGTCTGTCTCTGTCTCCGCAGAAGCTCATGTCGGCGGCTGTGCGGTTTGGGGTATCGTCAGCAGTCAAGAAGACATCAGAGGAGGACACTGAGGACGACAGCAGCCCCACCGGCAGCAGCACGGGGGACAAAGAGGGCACCCAAAAGACCAAGCACCAGCTGCCAGTCTACCTCCTGCTGCGGCTGTTCCTCGACGAATTCCGCGTCGAACGGTCAGCGACTGAGTGAGTGTCGGATCAGTGACTTGATGGATGCGACCATGCTGCCTCATTGCAGACACAAGCGTCTGTTCTGTCTCAAGTGGCTTTCGGAGCTGGCACTCACAATGAGAGGTGGGTCCTTCGGCGGAGCAGCAGCAGCTGCTGCAGCCACAGCCGGGCCCACCGCCACCGATCGGCTCTCCCAGGCACCCTCCGCCCTCCTCAGTCGCAGCGGCACCAAACCCCTCAGTGGGTCTGCGTCGTTCCGTCGGGCGACCACCATGCGGTCCTCCACTCTCAGTGGCCAGAGGAAGACACGAGACCTCAGCGAGGTACGGAGAGAAAGAGAGATCCATTGGCCGACTGAGCGTCGTCTGTTCGTGTGTGTGTGTGCGTCTGAGTAGGTCCTGGCTGACTCTGGGTCTGAGGAGGACGAGCACGACAAGGATGAGGGCGGGACGGGTGTTGCGGCCATGGCGGCTGACGACACAGACGGCGGCGGCTTCTCGCCCTCACTCACCCTTTCACAGGTCATCCATCCATCAATCCATCCCTCACGTGTCTCCCTCCCTCCCTCGCCATATGTGTGTGTGCGTGTGGGTGTGCAGGTGTGTGTGATAGTTGCGGCGCTGTACCCTTTGCCGCCCGAGACAGCACCATACACACCCTTGTCCATCGCCGCACGGGTCTTCAGGGAGGCCGCCACGCTCGGCAGAGGCCGCGTCGACACACAGTCGCTGGCCTGTGCGGTCGAGGCGTTGTGCCTGCCCTCTCTATCCGTCAAGTGGCATCTGGACAAACAGGGGCTGACCAGGCCAGAGTCGGGCATACTCGTGCCTGCTGCGGCCTCGCAAGCCTCTCCCGATGACGTCATCAAACTCGTCCAGGTCAGTGAGCCCCACGATTCGATCCATGTGCACATACATCATGATGTATGTGTCTGTCTCTCTTGCTGTCTGTCTGTCGTGTGGGGCACAGGACGAGTATGAGCGGCTCCAGCGGCTGACGGTGCTGGGCCCACGACCAAACGCCTATATAATGCAGCTGGGCGCCCTCACGTGTCTGCCCAACATCATGGCGGCGCTGCAGCCGCCGATGGAGAGCAGGGACTCGCTCGGCACCGAAGACACCACACTCACCGACCTCTCACTCTTCAGGCACGTCACACATGGATGCCAGGCCACACACAGAGGGGGGATGGACAGATGTCTGCAGAGACTCTCACTCTCTCTCTCTCTCTCTCTCTCCATTCCTTCACACAACAGGCTGCTGTCAGTGACCTTCTCCCTTGCCCGTGCAGTGTCTCTGGCACGGCTGACGGCAACTTTCGACCGGCCCCCCGCCTCGCCCCTGATGGTGCGCAAGGGCGGTGCAGGTGCCCCTGGTGGTGTGCTGGTGGGGAACAGGGAGATGGCCAGACTGAGAGGGGTGTTTAGCTTGCTCAGCGAGATACTCAAGCTGGAGCTGGACATCGTGTCGTGATATATCGACTGACTGATGTGATTGATTGATGTGTTGTGTGTGACTGAGATGATGAGGCATTCCGGACGGACGCCAGCCTTGTCTATATGTCAATGTGGTGTCTGTCATGTTACTTAGTCACTCACTCAGTCACTCTTTCAGTCAGTCAGTGTGGTTACAAAAGCCATTCGTTCATTCTCTCTGCCGTCCGTCAAAACTGGCTGCCACCCAAACAAAATGCATCCATCCATCCATCTCACATGCCGTCCACTCATTTATACCAATGGCAGCCACCGACCACCAATCAGTAAACAAAACACTGACACAGTATTCACAGCCAGCAGCCAAGGGGGGGAGCGACCGAGGGAGGGAGGGAGGGAGGGAAGCAGGGAGGAGGGAGAGGGAGAGAGGACGAAGGAAGGGCGTCCCTCCCCCCGTTGTGTGAATTCATTCATTTCTTGGTCCTGTGTTCCTCGAGCATCTTCTTGGTCTGAGTCTCGATCTGCTTGCTCATCTCGGCAGCCTTCTGCGCCTACACACACCACACCAGACCACACCAGACCACACCACGGCACAGCAATGATGCATAGTCACGCCGAGTGTCGTCGTGGAGGCAGAGCAGCATGGCTGACGTCTTTTGCTGTGGTGTCTGCGAGCCTGGCGGCCTTCTCCACTTCTGTCATGCACTTTTCAAGACGGACCTGCCGACCACACAGACACAGACACACTCGAGGAATGCAGGAAAGCCCCTCTCTGTGCGCATGTCAGCCCCGCCCACCTCACCTTGTGTTCATTGAGGACGTCAGGAGTGAGCTGCCTCTCCCCCTGCTGGCTCTCCATTTGCCGCAACGAACAGACAAGGCAGCTGGTTAAGAAGCTGCAACCAATCAACCAATCACCTCGAACGGCTGGTGGTATCTGCTGAGCAGGACACTGTGACGGACACAACACATCCGTCTGTCATTCTTCACGCACATATTGGTCTAAGGTGTACCTGTTGAGCAGTTTTAAAGGCTCGGGGGTTCGGAAGCGGCTTAAGGCTCTCAATCAGTGCGAGCTCAGAAACTCGCGGGCTGGAGGAAAGGGAGAAGGAACAGAGGACAGCGGGGTGCAACGACAGCAAGCGCAGAACCCCTACAAGTTTCTTTGCAGAAGCCGCCATCGACTTGGGCGGTCCTTTGAGTCGATGCACGGTCCAGGGCCTCCAAGCTGGGAAGCCACCTCATCGAGCCTGTTGTCGGCTCCCAGCAGCAGCTCTGCCGCCATGCCGCCGCCCGACGTGCCCATGGCGCCCGTCGCCTCCCCCATATGCACATCTGCCCTGCCCAGCCTGGGTCTCTGGGAGGGCGCCGTGGAGGCCGAGCCGACGCAGATCAACACTCAGACCAAACCGCACTTTGTCGAGGTGCACAAGGACAAGCTCACCGTCAGCTATGTCGGCAAGGGCAACCACACCGACTTCGGGGTGAGTGGAGTGGCACACACAGGCATCGCATTGGGCGCGAGATAGACACACGACGTGTTCATGCTTCTCATGGGTTTGATGTGCGTGGGATGCGATTGGTCATGTCAGGCGGTTCAGTCGAACCATCCCGCCCCTAGTCGCCGCGTGGCGTATTACTTTGAGGTCAAGGTGCTGGACGCCGGCACCCGGGGCAACATCTGTGTGGGACTCAGCGACAAGACCACACTCCTCAACAGACAACCAGGACAAGATCAAAAGTGACCACACACGCACACGACCAACACACAATAAGTGCATCTCTCTCTCTCTCTCTGTATGTGTGTATGTGTGTGTGTGTGTGTTTGTGTGTGTGTGCAGTTCCTATGGTTATCAGGGTGAGACCGGCAAGAAGTTCTGCGGCAACGGTCAGAAGGGCGAGGCCTACGGCCCCCCCTACGGCAAGAACGACACCGTCGGCTGCGGCATACACTACACCAAGGGTCACGTTTTCTTCACTCTCAACGGCAAACACCTCGGTCAGTGCCATGCCACACACAGACGAACCACCTCACCTCCCGGACAGCCAGCCAGCTCATGCATTCTGCGTGCCGTCCTGCCCTGTGTGTTTTGCAGGTCGGGCTAGCGGGCTGGGCCCGTCTGAGTACTACCCCACTGTTGGTCTGCACAGTCCGGGTGAGAAGGTGCAGTTCAACTTCACCGGGCCCTTCATGTTCGACCTTCAGACACTCATACAAGTGGGCGATACACACACGAATGGGTCCGCATTGGCTGGCTGACGGGTTTTTGTGTGTTTCTGTGTGTGTCAGGGTGAGTGTCAGGAGGAGCGCAGGATCATATCGCGCGAGCAGGTGTCCACCAGAATGCTCCACGACCTTGTCCGGTCATACCTCCTGCACGCCGGCTTCCACAAGACGCTACGCGCATTCGAACGAACCAGCAGTGAGCAGGGCACCGACACAAGCAGACACAACGCTTAGTTACGAGCCGTGCACTCTTGCACTCTCATCGCAGGTTCAGCCGACACCGACGTGACGATGCAGGACGCCCCCTCCCCCTCCCCCTTCCCGCCCTCCGGCCCCTCCCTGCTCGCCAACGGCCCCTCCAAGCAGATCGACACTGACACAGGCATGCACGACGACACTCCCAGAGACAGGCGAAGACAGCCGGATGACGCACACCAGCCATCTGCAGCACCGGCAGCAGCAGCACCGGCGGCGGCAGCCGGCGCAGGCAGCAGCAGCCGTGCGTGTTCGATTGATGAGGACGAGCAGAGGGCGGTGGGTGTGGGTGACGGTGAGGGTGGCGTTGGCGCCAGGACGCTGTCGGGTCTGGCGGTGGCGGAGCATGCGCTGAGGAAACTCAGGCAGACAGTCGTCGTCAGGCAAAGTAAGCTGACTGCCTGACGCACGACACCTCATGTGACATAAGGTGAGCTTGGGATGGCTTGTCTGGTGATTGCTCTTCCAGGCATCCGGCGTGCCATCTGTTCTGGGCGGATACCTGAGGCGATTGAGATCATCAACCAGCACTTCCCCAGGGTCCTCACGGTAGTCGTCACTGCAGTCACACGAGCACAAGGCTGACTGGCCTCTGTGTTGTTGTGCGCTGTGCTGTGTGGTCAGGAGCAGCCCCCCTCCCTTGCTGTCGTGCTGGTCGTCTCCCAACAGGTAGCACATCCAGACAAAGCCAGACAATCGCCGCGGTGCCGACTGACTGTCTCTGTCGTCGTGTGGTGTGTGTGTCATCACCAGATAGTAGAGTTGATCCAGCGGAATGACGTCAAGGGCGCCCTGAGTTGGCTGCGGCAGGAGTGCAGGGCCGTCAGGGACGGCACCGCACACGCCAAAACCGCACTCGAAGTACTGACGGATGGAATGGATAGATCAGAATATTGATGCACTTCCGCACGTGTGTTGCATTCAATGCATGTATGTGTCTGTGTGTGCAGGAGACGGCGGCGTTGATAGCGTATCGTGACCCCGAGCGGTCCCCCCTGGCGCACCACTTCGACCCATCGAGGCGGCAGCTGGCCGCAGACCTCATCAACCAACACATCATCGGTGCGGTACACACAGACATTCATGACATGACACACACGCAGAGAGACCAGCGTGATCGAGCCAGCCAGCCAGGTGGAATGTGGAGGGTCCATCCATCCGTCCGTCCATCCGTGCAGAGCGTGAGTTGGGTCTGAGCGGATGGGCGCCTCTCCACGTGCTTGTGAGACAAGTCGTGGCGGCCAGGTGCATAGACGCACATACCAGCACAGTGGCGCTCAGATCCTTCTGGGCCCCTTCTGTGTCTGTGTCGGTGTCTGCAGGCGTCTGCTGTTCGAGCGCAACTTGTCTCGCGGCCCGTACCCTCATTCCCGCCACCTGTGCCAGGCTCCCCTGTACCAAAACAACCCACCAACTATCCCACCCCAGATGCAGGCAACCGACAACTGAGGGAGGGGGGCGGCGCGGTGTGTTCAGAAGATGAGGCATGTATCCCCGTAGGCTGCATCTATCTTGTTCAGTCAGCTGCATGGATGGCATGTATACATGGATGACAGAATGTTGCGCGTGGGTGTCATGCGTGAGTGTATCATAGACAGGTAGGCGACTTATTGATTACTAATTGGAGGCGAGGGACCGTGTGGATGCATTAATTGCATGGCCATCCTCTCTCTGGAGCTCGCAAAGACGGGCGGCCGGCTGGGGGCATCTCCACATCCTCAAACATTCAACCATGAGTGATGCTTCCAAGCTCTCGGCAGCCCTTAACGCCACAGTGGCCGTCATGTCCGACGTCGGTGGGTGCACTCGAGAGGCCGCCAGCGACATCATCGGCAGCGACGCCAGTTGGCAGAGTTCGTCGATTCATTGGTTGGACGAAATGTGGCTGGTGCTATGTGCCCTGCTCGTCCTCATAATGCAGCCCGCATTTGCAATGTACGTATGTAAGGGGCTCAGAAAGGACGTTTGTGTGTGTTCGGACGTCGATGTGTGTGTGTGTGTTCCACGTGAGGGGCTGGGCGTTTGGGGTGTTGTGATGCTGCTGCTGCTGCAGGTTTGAGGCAGGCTGTGTGTCCGACAAGAACGGTGCCTCTGCACACACACATGACATACAATACACGTGTGCGTCTCCGTCCGTCTATCTCTTGACCAACCAGGTGCCTCCATCATGATAAAGAATGCAGTGGACATACTCGTCTGCTCGTTCGCCTACGCACTTGTCGGTAAGTGCCGGAGAGGAGAAGGGAGAGATGAGGCGGGCGGCCTTGATTGTGCGCGGGGCGGGTGGGTATGTTCAGGTTTTCAGCTGTCCTACGCAACGGCCGACCCCTTTGTACCTCCGGATGACATGGCCAGATTCTTCTTCAATCTGGCATTCGCCAGCACCGGTATGTATGAAGACACACAAAGCGGGGTGTGCGCAGATGACTGTCTGTTTCTCCATCACCGTTTGTGACAGCCGCCACGATCCTGAGTGGTGCGTTGGCGGAGAGGCTTCGTTTGAACGCCTACATCATTCTTACTCTTGCTGTCGGCAGCGTCATCTACCCCATCGTGACGGTACGTATGTGGCAGTCACTTCCGATTCATTTCCGCCATGCGTGTGGTGTGGTGTCTCAGTGGTGGGTGTGGGCCGATGACGGTGAGCAATCGGACGGACAAGAGGGCACATTAGCCTGGCATGTATGAATGCATTGGTGCGTGGCTGCACTGGCTGGCTGCAGGTCTCCTGCAGAAACAAGGGTACATAGACTTCGCTGGCGGCAGTGTGGTGCACGTCTTGGGGGGCGTTGGCGCCCTCACTGCCGCAGCGATGCTCGGCCCACGTGTGGGGCGATACCCGGAGTACTCTCCGTGGGACATGCCCGTGCTGCGTCGACTGCTCGGTCGAAGCCTGGACCCCGACCAATACATGCTTCCGCCGGGATTGCCGGCCATTGAAGACGCACCACACCCCTTCCGCATCGTCTCAGGCACCCTCTTTCTATGGTCTGTCTGTTATATCTTGGATACTGATAACGCCTGGACATTGTGTTTGTGTTTGTGTGTTACGTACAGGGGTGCGCGGTACGGATTCAATTGTGGCTCGACCATGGGTGTGACTGCCGGCGGTGCCTACGTGGCTGCCCGTGTGGCGGTGATCACAACGATGGGTGCCGTGGGCGGCGGGCTGGCCATCGTTGCCATCAGCATGATGTCCAGGCGATGGGTGCCTCTGCGTCTCTGCACGGGCATACTCGCGGGGCTCGTGTCCATCACGGCTGGTTAGTCTGAGAGACATGAAGCGGAGCTCTTGATCGTGTTTATCGTGTGTCGGTAGGTGCGCCTCACCTCGGAATGTACGAGGCAATGGCTGTGGGTGCTCTTGGGGCGTTGTTGGCCCGGCTGTCGACGGCAATCCTCAAGTGGTGCCAGATCGACGATGTCGTCGGTGCCTTCGGCACGCACGGCGTGCCCGGTGCGTGGGGTGTGTTGGCCGTGGCGCTGTTCGCCAAGAGTGCCAGCTGCGGAGACTATACCACGGTTGGGCTTTTCTATGCCGCCACCAAGGAGCAAGTCAACGAGGTCACAGACAGACAGACAGACAGAGAGAGACCGCGGACCTGGATGGATGCCCTCCTGTGTGTGTGTGTGATTTCGATGTCTAGGCTTTTGTGCAGGTCGGTGTGCAGCTTGGCGGCCTCCTGCTGATCATTGCCTTCACGTCTGCATCAGTCGCCATCGTCTGCTTTGTACGTTACGTGATCATACAGACACGAACGTCACATAGCGGATCGCATGTCCATCTCTGTTGTGTGCAGGTGCTGAATCAGACGCCGATGAAGCTGCGTGTGTCGTTCGGAGAGGAACTGACGGGCCTGGACTGGATGGAGCAGTCCATAAAGAACATGCATCAGGCCAGAATGGAGGTCGTCGAGTCCCTCGTGCACTCCGTCGCGGGACTTAACGCAGGTGTTATTGAGCATGACACCATCAATTGTTATCTTATAACTAGCATTTGTCTGTGTGTCCGGGCGGTCAGAATGGGACCTATCGTGAGAAAGATAGCTGCGCTGATGTGTCTCATGCATTGATATACATCCCATCTGGTGCTTGCCAATGTCAGGTGGTTGTCGGCTGAAGCGAAGCGCTTGAAGCTCCACAAGTCGACTTCACGAACAATGGAGGTGCGTGCAGACAGCCTGATAAGAATCCTTTGCCTGTCGCTTCTTGCCATCGATCAGACGACTTTGAATCACTTCGTCAAGGCCAGCCGAGCCCTCAGAGATGCTTCGGCGCAGAGACGGTCCAGCACGGGCTCAGAGGTGGATGTTGAGCTGCCTGTCTTCATGCCCCTGGGCACTCTGGTGGTGCTCGTGCATCGCGCGGAGATGAAGAAAGGCGTAAGAGGCAGCTGGGGAGACACCACTGCAGTGAAACACGAAGCCACACGTCCCTCTCTCTGCACGTGTGTCTGCTACTTACTGCAGGTGAGCACACCGGATGACCGAACCTTCTTTGTCGAAGTCAAGCTTGTCCGGTCAGCACTGTGTAGTCAGCCGCACCTCTGACATATGTGTGTGTCATGTCATGCGTGCCACTAGTGGCGACCCCGACAGCGCCGATGGCACAGCCAAACTGCAGCCCCACCCCGGATTCCGCAGAGCACGAGACACAGCCATCGTGGACGAAGCTGCGACCCAATCCGCATACGTGTGGGAAGAGGTGGGCCAGGACCCATTAATGGATCATGACAGCCTTCTGGTCTGTGACAGTTTGTCTGTCTGTCTGTCTGTCTAGCCGTTGGTGTTTGCGAATGTGGGCAATGAGGTGGTCAACGATTTACTCATACAGGTGGGCCGCTATCGACACACGCCACATATACGTGTGTGTGTGTGTGTGTGTGTGTGATAACTTGACTAGTTCAATGTGTACGATGCCCGCTCGCTTCGGGACATGCGCGGCGACTGCTTCGGTTCGTCACTAGCGACCAAGGCACTCGCCAATGACGTCAGCGCCGCCGCCGCGGGGTTCAAGAAGAAACACTCGATAATGACAGGCAGCGTACGGATGGGCATACCCGATGCACGCCCTTGCGGACGGACAATGCACCCTTCAGGCGTTTTACCCAGCCTGCCCGTCCTCTTGGGAGCAGGACCTGGCCGGAGACGACTTCCAAAAGGACATGATGGAAGGGGTCAGCACAGCACCGTGAGACACCAACAGACACTCTCATCGTGTACTCATGGAAGGAAGTATGGATACATACGTCTTTGTGTTGTCAGGGCGTCAAGACCAAAGAGCTGTGTCGGGCCATCAGGCTGGAGGCGCGACGGAGTAGCCTCGCCAGGCGAATGTGCGTAAGGACGGTGCACCGCACTGCACTCACAGAAACCTGCACAGACCTGTTCGCCCACCCAGGTCATTTATGCGCAAGGACGACGAGAAGAAAATCATTATTACCGGCAAGCTGTACTTCTCCATCGAGTTCAGGACGAGCGATTTTGACAAGGTCGGTCACACGGACACTCACCGTGTGTCGCTCACAACGTCCCGTTATCCTGTGCATCCACCCCTCCATCCGTCCGTGCAGTCTCTGTCGAAAGCTATATCATCGCTGGTGGCGGTCGACAAGCAGCTGGAGGCCAGAAAGCGCAATTCGATACCAAGTCAGCCAACAAGAGTTCATCTATGTGTGTATGTGTGTGGCATGGACCACCTACGCAGCTTCTGAGCTCGACCTGCCCATAAGTCCGACTGCGGGCAAGGGCTCTCTGTCCACCTTCAGCCGACGCACACACAACTTGATAAAAAAGGGAATCGCCAGGATTGGTGAGAGCAAGACACAACGCCTCAGCTGTCTCACCTCACGTCGTGTGTGCGTGTGTGTGCAGCCAAGTCGATGGCTCGTTCGCCCAAAAGCGGCGATGCGCTCCAGCCAGGTCTGGATATGTTCGCTCACCGGCGGAGGGCCTCCGTCGGCCGCTGCTCCGTCATGAGCAACGACGAGCGGGTCTCACTCGAGGTCGACGCACCGCCCCTCCAAGCCGCACCGTCTGCAGCACACCTCCTCGCCGCGCCCAAAATCATCAGCTCTTAAAGGGGGCAAGTCGGTCTCATCGGCCTTGCCCACACCAGTCGGGGCATCCACCGCATTCCTCAACGATGCCGTTGTGGACGAGACGTCGGGAGCCAAGACTCCCGTCACCAATCGGATAACAAGATACCGCACCAAAGGCAGCACACCAAGCCCCGGTAGCAGATGCCGTGCGGCGGTGGAAGGCGATGGGAAGATGGAGACGAAGCGGGCCAAGAAGGAGCTGGCTGACAAGAAGAATGACAGCCTCGCGGTCATTTCGGATGTGCTGCGCGATGACGCTGAGTTTGCACTGCCCAGCCGCATACAGAGGCACGCGGAGCGCATCAAGAACAAAAAGGCCACAGGTGAGTCGACTCGTCGATGGCCGGAGGGAGTGAGACACGCGAGTGAGCGGCGTGTGTTGCGTGTGCATGGATGGCCCAGGCTCCATGGAGCTGTCCGATGAGCAGAGACACATGCTGGAGAGCGAGGCGGCGGCCATGGAGCAGGAGGAGATGGCCAGCATACGAATTGCTGCACTTGAAGGACAGACTCTCAACACATCCAAGTACCCCCACACCTTCATCCCTTACGCATACATCTACACCTGGCTGTGTATGTGATGTGTGTGGCCGCAGAACCTCGCCTCAGAGAGACAGCAGCGGCGTCAAGTTCAAGAGCAACGCCACAGACATGGACGAAGCCGAGGACGGCGAATGGAGAGGTACACCTGTATCCTGACCTGTAACAACTCCCCAATGACCTACCTGTCCTGTGTGTACTGACTGGGGATGCACAAATGCTTCAAAGACGAAACCCGTCAGGCGCAGCGCAAAGCGAAGCTGCTGAACCGCAAGGTTACTGGTCAGCTGATGACAGCCGCCCAGAAGGAGGAGCTCAACAGGGCAACACAAGAAGACATGGAAGATGGCGACGAGGCTGAGGATGACGAGTACGACAAAGATCACCCCAATCTTGTGTCATTCAAGTCGCGGGAGACTGATATCGACAGCGACGCCGATGACTGGAAAGGTGCACCCAGCACAATCCTCACCGTGCATTTGGACGTGTGTTTGTGTGCAGATGAGTCCCGCCACGCCAAGCGAAAACTCAAACTGATGGGCAGGAAAGCTACAGGACAAATCCGGATGTCGCAAACACAGAAGAACGAGCTGCGCCGTGCATCAGAGGAGGCTATGGACGACGGCGACTCAGATGTTGGCAGCAATGACGCCGATGGCCATGATGACCAGCCACCAAGAGGCGCGAACTTGGTTCAGTTCCAGTCCCTTCAGACAGATATCGACAGCGACGCCGACTGGCAAGGTGCCTGAGACATGTCTGCTACACACACACACATGTACACTGCTCGTCCTTTCCTCGACTACAGATGCATCCCAGCATGCTCAGCGTAGCGCAAAGCTGATTGCGAGAAAAGCTACTGGGCAGCTACAAATGACGGAGTTGCAGAGGAGGGAGCTGGAAGATGACGACGAGGAGGAGGAAAGGGGAGAGTTGCAAGACGACCAGCCTTACCTTGTCTCCTTCAAGACACAAGAAACAGACATCGACAGCAACCCCGACTGGCTGGGTACAGTACGGCCCACATGCGCATCGTGTGTCCCTGTGTTCACACGTGTCTCCCTACCTGTGTCTCTCAGCAACAGGTCGGTTAAGGCGCGCAGGGCGAAGCTGAAGGCCCGGCAGACGACGGGCCAGGTTAAGCTCACGAGTAGCCAGAAGGACGCTCTCAGTAGTCTGGCACAGAAAAATGACGACGATGACGATACTGGTAGCGAAGACGCCTCTCCGCAGCAGGACGGAGGGGGCGACGCAGACGCCGTCCATTTAGTGACCTTCCGTAGCAGACCGCAGAGCGTAGTCAGCGACATGGACGATCAAGAGTGGAAAAGTAGGCAGGCAATGCAGAAGATCGACCACCCTTCGCCGCAGCACACGTGTGTGTCTGCATGTCTCCGCTGCTCAGCAAGCGGTCGGGCAGAGGCGCGCAGGGCGAAGCTGAAGGAGCGCAAGGCGACAGGACAGTTGAAGCTCACCTCAGACCAGAAAGATGCCCTCGCCCATGCCGCGTCCGAAGAGCTGGAGGAAGAGGATACACCCGAGAGGAACGTCTCTGGTGCAGAAGATCGGCACATCGGAGGGGACGGGTGGCGGGGTGAATTTCGCCCACCTGAATGGCCAAGGCGCTGACGACCAGGACGGTTTCTATGCCGGGTCACAAATCGTCTTTGACTTCGCTCGGTGGGGTGAGGTTTCCTCTGTGGGACACATTTGACATCGCCCACTCTCTATGCATCACACACACATACAGTGAATGCCCATACACGACACTCATCGAAAGACAAACACATCACGCACATGCCATCATTGTTTGGCGACACCTTTAATTAAAGGGGTCGAAATTTGAAAGTCGTCCTTGATGGCTGCATTTTGGTCAGAAGGGTCCCCACCACTACCCCAAAGCCTACCTGAGGCAGGTCCCCACCGTAGCCTACGACTGTCCATCTGTACCTACGACTGCGTGTCCGTCTACGAGCAGCCAAGCTTTATACGGACGGGGCCTGCTTCCACAACTCATCTACCCACTCCGCCCACGCAGGATTCGCCGCACGATACTTTTCGACCTCGGCCACCTTGTCGCCTTCCTTCACCCCCGGCGGCAGCGGGATCATCTGGATCATCTGGATCAGCCGGCCCTGCCAGGTCTCAGCCCACATGCTGTCGGCCGGTGGCGCCAGTTTTGCCGTGGGCTCCTTTTCTTTCTCCTCGTACTGCTTGAGCAATTCTGTTGTGATGGGCGTCAGCAGCACCTTCAGGTCGCCTCCCTCCAAAGCTGCCCGCAGATTTGCAAAGGTGACTGGCTTGCCGCTGTTGTCTTGCTCCTCCTCCACCTCATCGTCAGCCGCTGAGCCGCCCTTCTTTCCTTTGCCCTTGCCGCCCTTCTTGCTCTTGCCGCCCTTCTTGCCCTTGCCGCCCTTCTTGCCCTTGCCCTTGCCGATGGTCTTTTTGCCGATGGTCTTCTTGACCCTCTGCTTGGGCGGTGGGAGGATGGTCTGGGTCGGGTCATACTTGTCTGTGGTCTTCTTGACGTTGAATAGCTCTCGATGGCCCTCAGCGGCGACAAGTGCCGGCGGCTGTCAGACGCATCCACACACACACTGTGATACACCACACACAGGAAGCTAGTTGCTTCCTACCCACCTTGAGTTCGATTTCCTCGTCGATCGACCACACGATGTAGCCTGAATCCGTAATGGCCTCACTGAATCCATTCGGGCTGAACACAGCACACACAGAGGAAGATCTCTCGATTTCCGTCTTTCTGTCTGTCTGTCTGCCAGTCTGCCTGTCCAAACCATCCATCCAGCCATCCGTCTGTCCGTCTGTCTGTCTGTCTGTCTTGCCACGCCGATTCATTCTGCTCCAAAGATCTTATCTGATCACGATGAATCCTTCGGGCGGCACAGCGATCCTACAGGAGTACAGTGGGTCCGTTCTGTCCTCGATACTCGAGAATAGAGAGATGGTGCGACCCTTGACCACAAAATATCCCGTCTTGAAAGTCGGGTTCATCAGCTGTTCGGCGGTTCGGGAGAAATCAGCGTCCACGTCGATGTAAGTGACCTCCCACTTTCGAAACTCGGCTGTAACGCAGCCCAACAGGGAAGCGATAAGCAACATCATCGCGCAGCGTCAACACATTTACATTACGGCGAGGTTCCCCGTGTCCATATCCACCCATCCATCTGTATGTCTGTCTGTCGGGCTGTCGGTCTGTTTGAATGTGTGGGTGTCTGTCTGTCTGTGTGTCGGTCTGTTCGTCGGTTTGTCTGTCTGTCGGACTGTCTGTCTGTCTGTCCATCGGTCGGTCTGTCCGTCTGTCTTTCTGTTCTGTCTGTCTGTCCATCCATCCTCATTCATCCATCCTCATTCATCCATCCACCACACTGCAGTGACACACACTGGCAGAAAGCAGCCGCCGCCACCTCGAAGACGCCAAGCCCCAACAGCTAACAGCCACACACCAAACACACAACAGTCACACATCATGTTTGAGTGCTGTCGCTCCCTTACCGAGGCCGCGTATGGCGCGTCGTCGATGTCATACATCGATGACCAGTGCGTCGGGATCGTCGTAGCGACCTCCTGATTCATGACACAAATCTGCGGCGCGATGCACTGTCAGTGATCATTGTACCTTGATCACGGCCGCCGTGTGTACGAGGCAAAACAACACCGACACCGCATCAGCTCCTGCATCAATGACACAAAAGTGACACTAATCACAAGCAGTGATGGATCCGAACCTGTGATGGATGTGGTGATGATGGCACCTCTGCAGAGGGCCAGGCAGGCACCGACAGCCAGCTGCTGGACGACAGTGGTATCCACAGCGTGTGATCTGCACAGAGACAAACACACATGACAGAAGATGTGTGTGTATCGACAAACATAACAGAAGATATGTGTGAATTTTTACGTCAGCGAGGCTGCAGCCCAAACGATGATCTTGAGCAGCATGCTGGTGATGGGGCCGACCGACTGCCCGAACAGCAGCGATGCAGCAGCTGCCAGCGTCGACAGACAGACACTCACAAGTGTCAGCACCAGGATTTTGACTCTCCACTTCGCGAATACGGCAGGCGGCACCATTGTGTGCGAAACAGCTGTTGATTGACTTTGACTGGTGGATTGTTGTTTGTTTGTCGGTCTTTCTTACGAGATTGCCTCTTTGTCAGTATACAAGAATCACTCATACACATTGCATCCATACTAATCAAGACAGAATCGATCGTTGCTATGCGTCAAATCAACACAATGTGTCTTATCTACTTATTCACACGTGCACACCACTACGTCGAAAGTACCGGCCGCCTGTCAGGGCAGGCTCAGCGGACTCTTCGTGCCGTTCGATGAACTCGCAGACGTTGGTGTGCCCGTTGCCGTGTCGTCTTTCTTCGCCGCTGTCGGTACATCCAGCAGGGAGATGATCCAATCGACGGCCATCACCACGTATGCGTTGATCTCCTTGTCGCCGTCTGGCTGCATTGCCCCGTATCTCACCAGCATAGCGCGGAGCGTCGTCCACGTACCTTGGGAAACGCTGACATGGAAACAAATAGATGAATCATAGGATGTCAGGCGCATCTCAAACACCAGTCACGCTCAGTCCGCTCACCTTGTGATCTGATGCTGTGTAATAAGTGCGAAGAGAGAGGTTGCCGTGGCGATGAGTGCAGGGATCTTCCACGGGATAAGCAACAAGATCAGGTTGGCCGACATCAGAACATAGCCGGGTAGGTACGCTACGAACACGCGAGCGGCCTGTTGCATCCATGACAAGGCCATCGAATGGACGCGATGAGCTGCATTCGGTGGAGGGCAGCTGGGCAGGGCGGATCAAATGGGACAAAAGAATGTGGTTTGCTGCCGGGATGGGGTTGTCGGTAGAGGCATATATGCCGGCGGTGATGGGCACGTCTGCCGACCCAGACGAACAGTGCAAAGGTACGGCAACGAACAGAGCAGGTCCTCACCAGTGAGAACACGCAGTTTGCCATTCTGTTGGTCTGTCAGAAATGGCGGCTGTGTTTCACCAGCTCACTTCCCAGTCGTACGACGTCTGCATCGACCGCAAGATGGAGGTGCCCGACACCAGCCATCACGGGCCACAAACCTATCTAATCGCTTTCATCCCCGCGGCCGCGGCGTTCGCCGATCATTTGACTCGCCGGCTGTTCCTTTATGATGGCTTCGAGAGCGACTGGATCCCCAACCGATGGCTTTACACACGTGGAGCTCACGAGAGGCGCCGGGCGTCTTGGTGCGACCCTTATGGAGCCTTACTGCATGTGGATGGCGCAGGGAGTTTCCATGAGCGCCGAGGCCACACCATAGCGTCAGTCCGAAAGTATTCTTTCATGGCGACTTCGGAGGAGGCTGTGCGTCACATTGAGACGGCTCGGTGCACCGAGGGCACGCCTGATGAGGCCAAGGCTGACTGCGTTAAGACAGAGGCTCACTTTCAGCAAGAAGGCTTCGCCGGCAACCGCCTGGCCTCCTTGCAGTCAATTGCCCACGAACACCCGCTACTTGCGCAGATAGACAACACGGGCTACACCTATGTGAATCTGGTGAGCAATCGGACAGACACACACGGACACAAACAGACACCCATCCCGCCAAACACTCACACACACACACACACAGAGAGAGAGAGAGAGAGAGATTTGGCTGATTGTATGCATCGGCCTTGTTGTGTGTGTTTGTTTGTTTGTCTGTGTCTATTCCGTTCTCAGAAATTGGAATCGGGGGATCAAGACACAGGTGGAGAAGGGAAGAAGAAGAAGGTTCTGGACAGCACACATGTGGAAGCGGCCCGCATTCTCGTTGAGGAGCTGAACCGGGTTGCGGTCGGTTTCGGCTCGACGGGACTTCAGCCGCCAAGAGCCACCTGCCGCCATTGGGTATTGCTGTCGCGCTTCGTGATCAACAAAGACGGCACAACCCCCCTCACTCTGCTGGCCAGCCACCTACTTCATCACTCATCCGTCTTGTCGGGCGTGCACGACATTGCCGACCTTCACGCCCACTTAGCCAGCCACCTACACTGGCGTGTGAGTGCCCATGCCGTCGTGCACGAGCGCCTGGAGTCCAGCTACGGGCCGGCTCTCCCGATCTTCAATCCCCAGCTGAAGACGCACGAGACAGAAGAGGTCATGGAGAATCTCTACGAGCCGTGGGGGGAACTCCTACTTGCCGCCACAGGGGTGGAGCAGTCCATCAAACCCCACCATACGCGTGGCTACTGTGTGAGAGCGTCAGGGAAGGACACACACGGCAACCGCCTCGTCACTCTGCCAATGACCCCCCTCTACGGCGCATCCCCTCTGTACCGGCTCTATGTCCTCGACATCACCAACACGCAGATTTGGCTGGCAGCGCGCATCGCGGGGAAGGCGTGGCAGCGGCGCAAGAAAGAGCACTTCAAGACCTTCGCAAAGGGGTGGCGGCGCATCGAGGGAGTGTCGAAGCTGTGTGTAGTGCTGAGAGAGCGATGTGTCTGGATCAGGTCATACTTTAGGCGAGCAGGGCCTTAGACATCATCCGTGTGTACGTACGTGGGGCACAACGTGTGCGTGTCTTTGATAGAGCAGTGAGCCAGACACCTCTGCTCCTCATAGAAGCCCGCGCCTTTGTACTTGCGCTTGAAGTATATCAGGTGGTCCTGCGCGAGGCTGAGGACGGCTATAAGAGACGCCCCGACAGCTACAGCCACTGATTGCAATGAATCACAGACACTCATGCAGAGGGTGAGAGTCAAAGCGCATGTCGATGTGCACCTGTCCATGCATGTACGTGTGTTTGTGCTTGTGTGCGTACCTGCTGCATCGGCCAGAAAAAAGAATCGGAAGCCAACTGGGCGCCACGTCCTGACTGACGGGCAGAAGAAGATGCTGCTCAAGGAAGAGAGGGAAGAGTAGAGTGGCCCTCACTGAGTGCGATGTGCATGTGCAACAGACAGTGTGTTGGTGGTGCCTGTGCGTCCTTAGCCCATCGTCTGGACGGGGGCTTAGCCCATGTGCGGCGCGGCATGGTGTGTAGAAGACATTCATGATTGCGTCACTCGACTTGTCTCATTCGCTAATCAAGCGCAAGCAAAAAGAAAAACGAGGCAAGCTTCGACGACCCGACACCGACCGACAAACTTCCTTACTCGTACGGCGCATCTCAGCCAGTCACGTCAACTGACTCTCGTATCAATCGGTCCTGCCCACCCTTCTCTCTCAGTTTTGATTTCGCATGCTTTGTGTGTCTCTCACTCGACTAAGTTTGTAGGTCTCTCTCTCTCTCTCTCTGTCTCTGGTGGGTAGCTAGGGCTCTTCTTTGATAGGTGTGCCCCGCGAGAACTCCGACCGGCGGCCTTTGAGGCTCATCTGGCTGCCACGCCGGCCGGGATGGCTGCCATACCACACACCAAAGATCAAACAACACATCATGGCACAGACGACAATCTCGGCTTTTTCTTCGAGGTCGCGTGCTTGCGTACCTCTCCACTTCGTCGACGTATTGGAAATCGATTGCGGCGAGGGGCACCCAGGAGGGCTCCCATTCAACGGGGTCGGCGCCCTGGGGGATGGCCCACTTGAGCAGCGCGTCACCCGTGACGTACCTGAGATCTACCACTTCGGCACGGCACCAACCGTACTCATCGTACCACACCTGATGTACCAAGAAAGGAAACCCGATGGTGTCTCGTGTCTCGTTCCGACGAGGGAGGCATCGACCTGTATCTTTCGTCCGGGTGCGATCTCGGCCCACTCTCCCTGGGTGACGGCAAGGGAGCTGCGGAGCTTGGCTGCCACCTGCTCGATGGTCTCGACCTGCTGGTCGGCGATCTCGGTCTCGATGGGAGGCGGCACCTGTCATTCAGGCAGGGATGACACGCGTTCGGGCAGAGGCGAAGGTGAGTCTCTGCGTGTGCAAGTGCCTTGATGATGGTGCTGCCGGTCATTCGGATGAGGTGAAAGATGAGACACACGACCGACAGCGTGGCATACGCCGCCGCAAACCTCCACTTGTAAAACTCCGTCAGCCCCTGTATGAAAGGACACGCCCACACACAGAAATAGGCATATCAACGAAGCCCCCCCCTCTCTCCTATGTGTGTTGATATACTTCAGGGTATGGGTACTGGAGGTCGGTCCATCCAAAGATGCCTGTTTGTGACTGGTGGATCATGCCAAGTCCGGCCAGGAGGGTGCCCACGAGGCCCCAGGCGGCGGCGAGCAGCAACTTGCGGTCGATGAGGTACACCATGATGGCCGTCCATATCACCGACGAGAAGATCGAACCGAGACCGAAACCGCCGAGACCGAACCGAGAGGGGTCACTCTCCTGCACACACACAAAGAACGAAAGAAGTTACGGATTGCGGTGTGGCTCCCTCTCCCTTGTAGGTCGTGCGTGTGCTGTGTGGACAGGTACAGAGAAGCTGCCGCCGGTGCCTGCGGCGAATTTCCATCCCCAGTCGGCCAGCACGGGCATCAGACCCACAGCAAAGGCCGGGAAGTGACGCACGGCCAAACCCTGCACACACACAAGCACGCCACAAATACCATACAGCAACTCACGTGTCTCCCTCCCCATCACCCCGCACACCCACCCCCGCGGCGTCCATGAAGATCATGAGTCCCACGAAGATGATCATGGGCGCGACGGCCCCCTCGGGCACCAGCTTGAGGATGGCGCCAAACACGCCGAAGAGCGACAGGGCGCTGAATACCACCGCCACCATGCCGGCGTAGTAGATGGACGCACCTGTGTCGTATGTATGCGTCGGCAGTGAGTATATCATTTTACATTAATTCTTCAGTGCAAAGTGCAAGTCTGTCTGTCTCCTGTTGGTTCATCCATCCCTCACGCACCCATGCGTTTGTACGCCGGCTGACCGATGTACACACCGACCGCCAAAGGGTTGCCCAAGAAAACTGCACACCACCCACGGAGACAATCCAGATGATCAGCCAGCGAGCGGTCGACTGGGCACATCAAATGCCTGTGATGAGGTTGAGGGCCCCGTCGAAGAGGAGGCAGGTGCGCATGGGGTAGCGGTCTCCGGTGCGGCTGGCGGAGTAGACGTTGAGGATGGTGCCCATCGAGTTGGTGACTGCACGCACGTGCCACAGACAGATGGATGAGCGCAGGCATAGAGGTTCGGTCGGTCCTTGTTCCCTTCCCACTCACAGGCGATAGGAATGATGGTGCCGAGATACCTGACGGATGGATGGATAGAGACACGTGACACAATGAATGCATTCAGGCACGTGCAAGATAGCTGGGTGGCTATCCGCCGGTTTGGCTCACTCACTTCTGCAGCTCGACGAATCCTGACATGTCCAGGCCAACACCCTCAGCAGACCAGCCTACAAGAATCAACCACACACATGCAGGGGATTGGTCGCCCATTTCCTGCCACACCACACCCACCGATTCCGAGTCCCCAGAAGGTTATTTTGGTGGCGGCGCCCGAGAGGTCCTTCATGGAGACGAACCCCTGTATGGCGCCGCCCACGGTGCCGAATACCAGCACACACACCGCCACGGGGATGTACCAGAACTCGACCTCCGACAAGTAAGTGATGCCACACAGAGACACAGAGACATCCAGCCATTGCAGGCCGGAAACCCGTGCAGAGGGGGAGGGGAGAATGGAGAGAGAGGAAAGACATGCCTTCACTCGTCCAGTCCCTGTCTCACCCGATGAGGGCCAGGACGAGTGGGAGGAAGCCAATGAGCGGCGCCATGAAGATCTTGCCGAACCACTCCACGCCCAGCCACGTCAGACCGATGGCCGCAAGGGGCGTCATCAGACCAGCGGGGGGCACCACCTTCTCCACGTAGTTGCCCACCAGCGCCACACACATGGATATCACGCCTCCTAGAATGTTCCTGCACAAAACACAGGCCAGGGGCACAAAGAGGCAGCAAGGGAGACAGAATGCACGAGCTCCTAGTAGGGGCACTGACTCACGCACCCGAGCACTGCGATTTTCCATGCCTCCTCGACCACTTTGTTGACGCTGGCGTACTTGACGGTGCTCTCTCCCTTGCCGGCAATGAAAGCCATGCCCTCCCCCATGATGGGCGCCATGATGCTGAAGATGAAGGCGAACCCCGCCGGAGACGAAATGCCGAACGGCATTGCACAGACGTCTCTGCGCCCCTCCCGCTTCATGAGCCAAGCGCCCAGCCACGCGTAGAACATGTTGCTGAAGAGAAGGCCGACCCCTGCAGCTGGCAGCACTCGGCCGAGGATGATTTTGTCGCAGAGCGGCTCCAGTGTGTCGTTTGCCTGCAGGACGTTGCGCATGGCAACCATGAGAGCGAGGGCGGTGCATGTGTTGTCCATGAGCAGCTGGAAGAAGGCGTTGAGCTCGGCAGCCCAGTTGGTCTTGTCGTCTTTGCCGCTCATGGTGGATCAAGTCTGTCGGAGGCTTCCTTCTCTTAGTCAGAGCAACTCAATGTAGGGCTGCCTTGGGGATGACGACCAGGCGTGGACATCACCGGGGGAAGAAGAAGGCTGCTCGTGCGTCGCATGCGTCTGGGGGCTGCGGATTGAGACACCAGCCAACGGTCACAACGGCCGTCTCTTCCGGATAGCACCGCTTCGTTGAAACTTTTGATGTTTCCATGTCGATGTCTTGGTTTCGTTCCCACCCATGGATCCCACCCAGCTAGCTAGCACAGTTCCCCTCCCTCCTCCCTCTCCCCGGCTCGACCAGACCTATAGTCAGACCACTCCTATCTATACTCATCCATCCATACATCCATCCACGCAGCCAAACAGGCGGCCAGTCAGCCACGCAATGCATTGCAATGTCATGATGCAGCAAATACAACAGACGCGCACGCGCACAATCGCACCAATGCGGCGTGAGGCATGTGTGCGTAGCGCGTAGGACTGACAAACGATCCTCCCATTCATCCTCTCTCTCTCCTCGCCCGCGTCCACTCCACCCACGTGTGTGTGTGTATGAATGAATGAATGAATGATGGATGGCTTCTTTAGCCAGCCATGCGCCTCGCCTCACTCCCACCCATCCGTCTCGACTCGACCCCTCCCTCCTCAGACAGACAGGACAGACCCAAGAAGCCCCTCATCGTCAGTCAGGATTATATATGTATATCGATCGGCCACACGAGGCGGACACTCTCAGAGGTGAGCACGGTGTGAGTCATTGAATTGAAAGATGATCATGCAATCGATGTGCCCCAGTGCTCTGACTCCCATCTGACTGGTGGGTGCAGGACTCACTCACTCACTCAGTCACTGTGACGGCGCAAACGAGCCCGATAAAGCATCACGCCGGCTACCTGCTGGGCCAGCGATGATCAAAATACTTGAGCGGGCTACCGAGAGATAGGATGATAATAGAGATGACGCGTGCGGCTTATCTTCCTCGGTGGGTGGTGGGTGTCGGCCTCCCTCAGCAAGGCCACACCCACACAAGGGAGCCAAAAAGCCGACAAGTGTCTGTCATCACTCGGTTCAGCTTCGCTCAGCTCGTCTGACCGACCGTGACAAGAGTGAGGGAACCAGTGGGCACCACGTAATGGAGGGCAACCAAACACTTGAGCACTTAGGGGTCATTGTGTGTACTGGGTGTGTGTGAGAGTGTGGGTGTGGGTGTGGTGTGTGGACAGCTGGCTGAATTGCCTGTGCCTCAATCGCTTCGTTACGCAAACCATCAAGGAAGGACCAAGACAAACAGACAGACAGACAGACAAACAGACAGGCAGAGAGACCGAAAAATCCATTAAAGGCAGAGAGGGGAAAAGTACGCTGAGGGGAGGCGACGGAGGGATGGAGGGATGGGTGGATGGATGGATGGAGGGGTGGGGGAGAGAGGGCGAGAAGCGAAGGAAAGCAGTGGGTGGGGCAGGGGAGGAGAGGGGAGGGGAGGGGAGGGGGAGGAGGGGGCAGTAAGAACCAACCACTCAGACACACTCCCACACCCACACAGAGAAATACACGGACCAACTAGACGTAGACGGCCAGGCTATACACACGGTATACGATCAAGGCAGGGAGGGAGGCAGATAGCTAGCTATACAGAGACACCACTCTCTCCCATACACACACACATGGACATCCATCCACACAGATGAACACCGGTACATGTCTGTACGCAGAGAGAGAGCACAGCACAGTAGCAAGTCAGTCAGTCAGTAAAGGGGAAAAACGAACGAACGAACCAGACAGGCAGAGAGAGCCAAAGCCAGACAGACCATCAGCACGCCACCACACCACCACATCGCGGCACACCACACCACACCAAATCAGCGTCAACAGAGCAAAGCAAAGGAAGACCGCAGAAACAAAGTGGAGAGGGAGGGGAAAAAGCAAAACTGAATCGAGCCCAGGCGTGGTGACGTGAGCAGGCCGCGTCATGTGCCGTGCTTGTGTTGGTGGTGGCCGAGAAAATCAAGAAACCCATGGCTACCCTGCACACACACACACGCACCCACACACACACAGTCCTTCCTCGCCCCTCTGTCCCCCCTGCGTGTGTGGCTACTTACCTTCTTGCCATGTGCCGCCGTGTGTGGGTGTTGCTCGACGGGCACCTTCTCCTCCTTTGAGCTCATACGCCGTGAGAGTATGCCGCCCGGAGAGTGGCTTGCGTGGGAGGCCTCCCGGCTGTGCACGTGCCGCCCGTGGTGGTGGGGGTGGCCGTGTGGCGCCTTCTTGTCGACGAAGCTGTCCTTGAGCAGCGCAACGAAACGCAGAGACGCCAGCCACCCCCACTGGCTCAACATCCTGATCGACGGACAGCACACAAATGGCTGGTTTGTCCGTCCGTCATTGCAATCGTGAGAGCACAGGAATTGACGTATCGTACCAGTGTGGGATCGACCCGCATAGGTCGACCTGCGTGATGCAGGATATCTCGACGCCAGCCGTGCCGTCGTGCAGGTGGGTGGGCCGCAGTCTGAAGCTCATGGTGTGCATGTGGCACCGGATGGCGGGCGTGTGCCGGTAGTGCGGGTTGCGATTGTCAAACGAGTCCATCGCCATCTATATGTCGAACAACACATGACACACCACGTGCCACATGTCGGGGTGTTTCTGGCGCTCAGGGTTAGGGTACCTTACCTTCTCGGTGTCGTCTGATGTGTAGTGGACGTATGTAGTGAGGACGCCGTCCTCCTCGACGACCTCGTGGCGCTCGTACATCCACACCAACGACTCACTGCGGGACCGACCAGCACACGACACAATATATGGGCACCTGAACGATTGGTTTCTCCTTCTGGGTGTGGTTTGCGTGCGTCTGTCTGTGAGTACCGCGGTGCGAGCATGCGGAATGCGAATCGTGTGTGCAGCAGCGACACGCTGTCCTCGCCCTGCAGCCGCTCGCAGTCACTGCAGGAGGGAATCCACTCGTACCACTTGCAGGCAGTCAGCCGCTCAGCCACCGCCTTGACATTCAACCCACCAATACGCACCAGACTCTACAGGCACCAATACACAACACCACCATGAGAGAAATTGGACACCCCTCCCTCCACGGCTCTCTCGACGCACCTTAAACAGCGGCAGGTCATGGCCCGGGACGTGTTTCTTGTACACGTATGTGTGCTCCTTGGGGCGCACCCGCACAGCGTGCCAGCTCCCGTCATCGCGATGCATCTCACGCGTGGCGTCCAGCACCCGCTTCGCCTCGAGGCAACGCGCAGAGGGCGCGGGAACGGGCTTGCTCTCAGCCATGGAAGAAGTGTTGCTGTCATTGTAGGCCGCGACGGGGACCGTGGCAATCGATTGCGCGGACTCACTGGGTTTGGGGGGAGGGAGGGGGAGGGGGTCGAGGTCGGGACTGGCGGCATGCTTGGCGGTCTTCTGCAGCTCGGGGGAGGGGGGGTAGGCGGATGAGGCGTATGTGGTGCTGAGGGCGGGGGAGGAGGGGTCGTGGACCGACGAGGGGGGGATGATGGTCGTCTGGCTCTGGCTCGTCTCATTGGCACTCTCGACACTCACCCCATTCCAGTTCTTCTCATTGTTGATCAATGGACTCGACGTGCCTTCCGTCTTGCTCTTGATGTAGTACTGGAGGTCGTCGTACGTCAACTCGTCCAAAAAGGCACCCAGATTCTCCTCCGCCGGCATGACGCGGAGGCCCTTCTCCCGTGGGTCAATACAGAGGTCGCAGCTGGCCACGGAGGTGGGACAGCCCACACAGGACTGTTGCTGGCCCATCTGACTGTCTGCTACAGCCGATGATAGCCAGAGCAAATTGTAGCAGAGTCGTTGAACTCGTTGTGTGCTCAGTCCCCCCAGTACGTCGAAACGCTGTGTTGTAGCTGAGGGAAGTTGAAACGATGGTTGGAGCTGATCAGAAGATGCTGGTGAAGACGTCAGACCGAGATGGTAGCGTCGTCGAACTCGGTGTTTGCCCAGTCGAACTCGTTGAACAAGCTTTCAACTCGTTAGCTGAGGGCAGGTGAGGGGAAGAAGAGGGGCGAAGGAGGGGGAAGGACTGATGTGTGGCAAATACAAACCCTTCACCTCACAAACCCTGTGGCGGGTTAAGGGTTCGGAAGATCCAAGGAGGAGAAGGGATCGAACGCCTCGCTCCTGTCTACGCTCACAAAGATGGGACAGCCCTCGTTGTCGGCCTTCCGGCAATAATGGTCGAGCTATTCGTGTGTGTCATGGATGGGCTGATCTCTTTGGTTTGGCTGCTCACCTGCTGCTTTCGGCGGCGCAAGTAGGCTGCTGAGTGTGCCCTCGCATCGTGCCGTGCTTCCCTCCCTCCCTCCACCGCCTCGCGCTATCCTTCGGCACAGTCTAATTCCCGGCGGCAGTCAACTCGACAATGGCCACCCCTCGCGCTTTGCTGATGGCACTGATGGTCGTCGTCAGGGCATCAGCAGCACCGAGAGGTACAGTACGTGCACACCGATATGGCCATCCGCTCATGTGCACTGACTAACGTCACGTTTGTTCTCCGTGGACACAGGCGCTCAGGCGAGATACGAGGACCCCTCTGCTGTGGGTGAGCCGTTGCGAAAGCTTCAGGACGTGTGTGACTTCCACAGTGCTAATTGCGACCCCTCCGACTTTTCCGACATCTGCTCTTCTGGCCACTCCCAGAGAGAATACCGAGGATGCTACAGCGGATATGAGGTATTAAATGTGACACACTGAGAGAGAACGGAAAGTAGTCTGGACTCCTCCCTGTTGTCCGAGTATTACTTGCATGCAGGTGTATGACTTCATCTGCTCAAGAAGTCCGGGGCTTTATTGGGACATCGAGGGGTCGATGTGCTGCGGCTCCTGCGGGTGGGCTGGAATATGTACATAGTGCATTAAATTGTGGAGAACAATTCGACATTTTGCCATTGTATGGCATGGAACTTTCAGGCCTCACAGCCCCCATGAGGAGCCGGCCCGGAGCAACGACAGCCCCCCTGGCAGGCCCCCTGAGGAGCCGGGCAACGGCAGCAGGGCGCGCCATAAGGACGGCGAATCGCCCGCCTTTCCTGGCAGTGAGAAAGGCGAGTACGAGGGCAACGATTTGCCATCCAGCGATGCCTGCGACCTGTGGAAATGCTCGGAGGAATTTCGGGCGTCGGTCGTCGCGATTGTCGTGGTGGCCGTAGCGATTGTGACATTCATCGTCGTATACCGCCGCTGCTCACGCTGCCGCAGCAAACGACTCACCGCGTGTGTCGACAAGTGCCTCCCCATCCGGGTGCGTTGTCCGTGCACTGAGCTAGGATGAAAAACAGAACAAACAGTAAAACACGTTCAATCTGTGTGTGTGTGCAGTGGAGGTCTCGCCAGCGCCAGTCGTCGGTGCCGACCACAGCGCCGCCACCGAAGGGCAGCCCCGAGCCCGTCCCCTGCCCCCCGCCCCTGGCAAGCCTCAGCTCCCTCCCTCCCCCCAGCGCCCCTCCACCCTATGATGCCATGCATCCCATGGCCGGCTACCTCTCGGCCAGCCCACCGCCGTCGTCTCCACCCCCGTACGACGACTAGCACACGTGCCAGGCGCCCCCGCTCTCCGTCGACTTCCCGTCCTGTTGTCCTCCCCCTCAGACGCGCCACACCTCCGAGGCCCGAGGGCGCTGCGACGGCGAGGCCCGAGGGCTCGAGCCGAGAAACCGGTCGAGCGGCCATCCACCAAATGCGGAGGGCACCGATCTCGCTCGAAACACCGCAGGGGAGGCAGACGATCGACCAGCCTGGAAATCCTGGAGTCAGTCGCTGGTGGCGACTCGTGGTCTTGTGTCTGTGAGTGAACAAACTCGTGTATGTATTGAATTTGTCTTGGTTGGCCTGCCCTGGTGGTGGTATTCATCAATCAACAGAGAGATGGAGAGAGAAGTCTGGTTGAGTTGGGATGGAGGACAGATACGTACGTGTTGTGTGTATGTGTGTATGCATGACTCACGCGGTCTGGCTGGTGAAATGGGCCAGCCAGCGCTTTTTGCATTTGTTGGGTTGGCGCCGTGCCGTGCCGTGCCGTGCGCTGGTTTTTGCTCGCTCATTGCCAAATGTATGTGCGTGTGTCTGTGTGCATGTAGTCCATGCCATGTAAGGGCGCTGCCAGGTAGACGGGACGGGACCGCATGTGTGCATGACATGAGAAGGCAAGAAACTCTGTACGTCTGCATTCATTCCACGTGCAATGACTGTCAATGTGGTGTGCTGAGAACATCAAGAGGCCATCTGTCTGTCTGTCTGTCTGTCTGTCTGTCATCTGGCGACTGACCATTGCTGGCATGTCCTCAATCGTGGGCGGTTGACAGAGACGGGGAATCAGCTGCAATGTTTCTCGTCTGCAAGCTTGGCCGGGCGGCGCTGTGTGTGCGGCTCGTGAGAGAGCTACAGCTTCCTCTGCATGCATCCATCTGCGTGTCTGAGGCTGATGGCCCTCGGCTGGCACTGCCCAGGCACTGCGCAGTGATGACTCTGTCAGTCATTCTGAGTCACTATTGAGGCAGCGTGTTGTCATGAACCGGATATCGTTTGCAGCGATATTAGTTGTGCAAACACACGAGAGACCCTTGGACGCACCTCATTTTGCATTCATTGTCTCCATCGGCCAAGTGTTTCGGCATCCATCGCACAGACGCATACACCCACAGTGTCTGTCTGTCGCCCAGCCCTCATGCAATCTATACACACGACTTATCTATCATACAGCCAGCGGCCTTGATTGGACAAGACACACGTGGGGGCAAAAACACAGCCGTCACACTCACCATATGCACGACACGCACACCGGACCATCTGATCCACGATCCACACAAATTGCGAGCTACAGCAAGATGTCAACGACGGCAAAAAGTGCCTCCTCATGACCGACACGAAGCGAGCACTAGACGTACCGACCGACAATTAAAAACCGTTGGAGGCACCAGCCTGCCAACCAACGAAGACTGCCCCGCCCCCCCGCTAGTGTACGGATGTGCAAAAAGCTCTTTGCTATCCATGCACACACAGAGAGAGAGACACACAGAGACGCAGACAGACACACAGGGAGGGAGCACAGTGCACTCGGCTACTGACAAAGTAAGGCCCGTCACCGATCTGCTAGTAGCCGAGAAATGACCCGACGACCTAATGTCTCATGCATGACTTGCAGCATCAACTCTTTCGTCAATTTATTGGTTTATTTCCGGCCTCTCTTGCCCAGGTTGAAGTAGGCGCGCATGGGCGCATCCACCATGTAGTAGAAGAAAACCGAAAACACGGCCAGCGCCGCGGTGAAGGTGAGATTTCTAACCAAAGGGTCGCCCTCCATCCAAGAGCCGGCGAACCGCTCACCCGCCTATACCACACACACACACACACATAAAAACAACCAAAGATGTGTTCCCTATGCGCGCATTTTGTGTGTGTGTGTGTGTGTGTGTCGTACTTTAAAGACGGGGTTCTGGAGGATATAGATGGGCCAAGCCAGGTTCTCGGTCCACACGAGGGCGGGGTGGGTCATGACTTGCGCCAGTGGGTCGATCCCGACGGCGAGCGAGTAGATCAGGTACGTCCACAGGGGGTACACGAAGTACCACACCAGCATGTAGCCCGTTTGGGAGCTGTTCTCGATGGTGAAATAAAGAATGAACACCACCGCATAGCTCACCATGACGCCGACTTTGAAGACAATCGACACCTGTCCACACACACACACACACACAGAGAGAGAGAGAGAGAGAGAGAGTCGTGGGGAATGGAATGACACACACATCGATCCCGACGGCTCACTCACTTTGCTGGGGTCGATTTCGAGTTTCCTAGTGTGTGGGTTGTAGAAGTTCTCTACGAATATGCGCGCCACGCACATGCCGAGGATGCACATAGGGACAAACATTAGGGGATAGAGCTTTAAGAATCTGACCCCCAACCACCCCGACGTGATGTCACAGCAGCCTGACGTCACCATCATTCCATCCAACCAACACAAACAACCCACACACAGTTCACCAGAGGCTGCCCGCCTCCCCTCCCCTCCCTCTCGTCCATCGTACCTGGCCACAGAGTGCAGACCACCATGATTGCGTACAGCCCCCATCGGTTGACCCTGGTAATCCCGGCATAGAGTGGCTTGAAAAGCAGGTAGAAGGCAAGCAGCACGGAGAGGAACCATGAGGGGCCGTTGAATGGAAGGTCCTCCAAGTTGATGTCCCATCGCCACACGTGCACCAGGAAGATCGTGAGTGGCAGATGCTCCAGGTCCGACCAGGAGGGCGCGGGGAGGTTCCACACGCACAGCAGGATGGCGACCAGATGCAAAGGATAGATGCCCTTCAAACGGTGGTAAATGAACATAAAGTAGCCCTCCTGAGAACATAAACGTGCAGACGAGATGGGCGATGACCTGCTGTCAGCTAGCTCCGTTGTGTACCTGTTTGTTTTTCTGGGGGTCTTTGGCGGTGAGTCGTGTGTAGGTGATGACAAAGCCCGACAGCATGTAGAAGAAGTACACCCAAGTATACCCCCACCGTGACGGGTACTGGCTCTCCCACGTCGAATTACGCCATATTGGGAAATGCTGGAAGCCATAGAAATGATACCTGTGGTGCACACGCAATACCCAGGAAGACAAAGAGCTGTAAGACACTCAGACGCAGAGTCTGACGTGCTGGCACTGACCACACGATGGTCCACGAAGCGATAAATCTCGGGAAGCCGAAAGCAGTGAGATAGGTGCTGCGGCTGAATTGGGATGGAGCGGGATCTTGAGCGGCATCGGTAGGGGGTGCTTCGATGTCCTTGTCCTGCTGCAGGCCGATGCTGTCGTCCACCACGCCCATCTCAATGCCGCTGTCCTTGCTGCCCCGACCCATCACGATAACAGTCTCCGACGAGATCTACGAGCTCTCTCACAGTGTCCTCTCTCTCGAGTGCAGCAAACACAGAGTGCAGCGCTGCGGGCGGATGCGACACAGACGGCCAAGCCACGAGATGAGACAACCTGGGTGGGTAGGAGGCGACAGCGCCGACACGTAGACAGATCTATGTTCATTCCGCGGGTCCGCTCCCCTCCCCTCCCCCTCTTCCCCTCTTCCCCTCCCCTACTCTACGCTCGCATCGCTCGATCCGAAGAGAGGAGATCTTTTCCAGCGAGAACGCACGATAAGACAGCATGAGCCTTTCCGCGTTACCGACTGCCACATGAGGGGTCAAAAAGCGGAAACAATTCATTGCCCCCTCAGGCCTCCTTTGCCGCCGTGTTATTCCCTCGACAGTCCATCCTGTCAGTGCAACACCAATGGCCCCTCGCACTTCGGTGGTCTCTCTGATGGCCTTCATCGCCCTCGCCATCGCATCAGCAGCACCATTCGCCATGAGAGGTACACACACACACACGCACACACACACGCACACGATGGTATAAGCGCCCGTCGGTGGCTGCAGGTGTGCAGGAGAGAGAGGCCCACAGGCAGCTGCAGGGCGAAGAGGCACTGTGCCTGGAGATCTGCAAGACTTTCTGCGACTCTTACTGCTTGGGCCAAGGGGACGACTGCACGGCCGAGTGCAGCAGTTGCCCGCCGGGCTGCTCTGAGGGATTGCGTGGCCGCCGGCTCCAGCAGCAGCGACTCCGGCGGCAGCGACTCCGGCGGCAGCGACTCCGGCGGCAGCGACTCCGGCAGCAGCGACTCCGGCGGCAGCGACTCCGGCGCCAGCGACTCCGGCGCCAGCGACTCCGGCAGCAGCGACTCCGACAGCAGGGACTACGAAGAGGACTCCTCTACTGCCGGCAGCGACTACCGGGAGCTTCAGGAGTGCAAACACACCTGCCACGACGTCGACATTTGTGATGACTGCCGGTTGGGCCAGTGGAACGAATACGCGGCGGCTACCAGGTACGTCAGGAGAGAGAGGGGCTTACAGACAGACAGACAGACGGTAGGAGACGAGCACACGCACGCAGCATCCATCCATCCATCCATCCATTCACCCATTCCTGTCTGGCTGGGGCTACTTGTGTGTGTGCAGGTCTATACGGTAGGGCGCAATGGGTCATGCGGTGCTGTCTGGGCACGTCTTCGGACGACTGTTCTCTACCCCGGGTTCTTCATTGTGGACAGCGGTGCTGCGGCACATGCGACGAAGAGAGCAGCAATACGACGGCAGAGGGAGGGGCGCTGCGGCAGCTTCAGGAGGGGTGCACACGTGTGTGCATCAACGGCGTGTGCAGGACGCTCTGCGAGATGGGAAATGCTGTCAACCGCACTGTGGTCGTACACTCTGCGGCACACGCTGCAGAGAGCCCGTCTGTGAGTTTGTTTGTCGGTCTCTTGGCCTTGATGCTGTGCATCAATCATGTTTTCCATACGCTAACTCACGGAAGGGAGAGGGGAGGGGAGAGGAGGGGGCAGCGCAGCTTTTAGCTTTTTTCGGCGAGACGGGCCAGCAGATTTTCCACTCTTTTTGGCTGTGACGCTCTGCGCTGGTTTTTGCTGTTTGTTGTGTGGGAGGGAGGTGAGTCTGTCTGTCTGTCAACGTATGTTCAACACGAAGGCCCTGGATGGATAAGTGGGTGAGCCGTGGTTAGCTCTTCTACGGTAGAATGCATAGAGATCAGCACACAGTAAGTACCAAACAAACGCTGCGACCGTAGAGAGTGACAAATTCAAACAAAGCTGCCTGCCACCCCATGCCATGCCATGCACCGGCTCACAAATACACAAACACATACATACATAAACACATGCGACGTATGATTGGATTGGTGCAGACAGACATACCTAAGCTCCTGTCTGTCATTGGTAGGAGCACAAGGACAGACACAGCCATCTCCCTCCACTCGCAAATACATACATACTCATCTCACCATCAGCCCCGCCCGCGACTCACACACATGGCCCGGCGTGTTTGACTGAAAGGGCCTCACCCACCACCCCACCCGTCCCCGCCCGCACACAATTGGCGTTCCACAGATGGCATGCGTTCATGAAGGTCTGCCCGCTGGTCGCACACACGGGCTGATGTACACCCCAACACGGCCTCGTGCACCCGTCGCCCTCCCTCTTTTCGGCGGCCCCCCGGCATTTCCGCCGTCTCTCGAGCAGGTCGATCATTCTCTGCACGTGCTGCGAGTTGGGGCTGGGTGCGAAGCACCTGATCCAGTCGACTTGGAAGGTGTTGCTGTCCTCGTTGGCTTCCCGGTGTGTGGTGGCGATGGAGCTGAGGACGGTGTGCTGGGGGAGTGGCTGAATGCCCTCAAACAGCTGCAGCTGAGACAGCTCGGAATCCTCATGCAAGATGCCCTGGGGCAACACACACACACACACACACAGGGAGAGGGGAAACTGATCGCCGGTGTGGCTAGCGCACAGCCACCGTGCACACGTAGCCCACCTGTATGTGTGGATTGTCGCTCTCGCCTTCGTTGGGCACGTGAAGGTCCCCTCCTTCCTGTACCCCCACACACGCAAGCAAGCCGTCACGTGAGTGCCCCACCACTGTGTGCGCGCGCGTACGTAGAAAGCGACGTAAAAGTCGTTGAATTCCATGGAGAACACCCTGTCCGTCATGGTCAGATTCCGAAACTTGGGTAAGTTTGTCCAGGCGATGGAATCCTTTTCTCTGAGAGGCTGGTTTCTCGTCTGTGAGCCCACGATCCTAGCCGTCTCCTCGACACACAGATCGGCTGCCGTCTGGTTGTCGTTGACGCTGGCCCTGATGGCGTCGCCGAATGCCCTCTCGATTGCTTGTGACGCGTTGGCCAGCTGATAGTCGACCACTTCTCTGGGCTTGAACATATACGCCCCTTGGTAGGTCATGAGAGTGCCATCGAGGTTGGGTGGGTGGACTGTCATCTAGAGAGGGAAACCCGACATGCATCGACAGTGACCCACAGGTACGTACGCAAAATACCTGTTCGAACATGTCCATCTCAAGATAGAAAAAATCGTCTGTCTCTAGTGCAGAATCAGATCCCGCCGGTTTTCCCCGTGTCCACACCTGGATAAAATCGGGTCCACAGAGAAACGGACATAGAAGGAGCCTTCATCTCTTTCCATTCATCCCTTCTTACGGTCTCATGGTACCCGTAATTGCCCTCAACCCTGCACAATACCCGCACACACAACACACACACAAACAGACATCGGTCGAAATGCTCATTCGCTCTGCTCACGTGACTTTCACGGTGCAAAAGAGATTGGTCGTCGAGACCGATTTTGCAGAAACAACGCCACCAGAGTGATAGATTGGATCGCCGGCACAATGCTGCCGCTCCCGACTCGCCATCGGGGGCGGTGGCTGAGGCCCATCCGATGGACACACGAGCTCCGGCTCCTTGGTGGGGCAGTTGACATCGTCTGGCCAAAAGTCGCTGGTCTTGTTGCCCACAATCACGAGGTGGCCGTCGCGCACTGACACCTGCTCCGGGAGGCACTTACTCGCTCGGCACTCGCCCTCATCACGATACTGCCACTTCTGGGTGTCCAGGGCATCGCCCTCAAACTCGTCCGAGAGCTCTGCACGCACCCATCAAAAGACAAACAAGGTGAAGAGAATGAGCTCGGTCTGGTCCTTTCCTGGCATAAATAGATAGCCCTCAGGTGCTGCGTCGGTAAAGGGGTGGTCATCCAGGAAGATGGTCGCCGTCGGCTTGGGAGGGGCTCTGGCTGCGATCTCCTGCCTCTGTTCTAGCGACATGTCCGCGAGACAAGGGAATGGAATGCCTCGGGCCATGTCACTCTTAGGGCAGCATGGGACGTCGTTGGCCCCGTAGTCTGACCACTCGGCCACGGTCGATATGCAGCAGCCGGCATCCAGATCATCAACATCAGCATCAGCATCGCAGCCTGGCCCGAGGGTGCCATCTTCGCGGCACTGGCAGGTATTTTGGCCATCGTAGTGGGTAGTGCAGCCGACGGGGCACTGACGGCCTGCATGAGAAAGAGACAGAAAGTCTGGAGTGTGTGCATCATGATGTGTGCGTGTGAGTGTTGGTGTATTGCTCACCGACAGGCTTGCAGCAGAGAGGGACCGTCAGAACTCCCCCTTCGCTCTGCTGGTCCGGCACGAACGACAGGAAGGCGCTCTCATTCCCGAGCGGAACTTCACCTGGCGGCAGCTCAGGCAAGGCGCCGCCCATCAACAGAACATCAGAAGCTGACATCCGAAGGCAGCCATCGCCGCAGTCCTCATCGTCCACCAACCGGTGCGAAGCATCGATATCGACCTGCAGGAGCAGAGGGGCTCTGCTTGGCACGAGCCGCCTGAGGTCCTCGCAGCTGTCCGCCTCTCTGATCCGCAAGTCTTTGACTGCCACGCATCCTGTGCGGTCGTGTGCGGCATGTGGCCGGCCACCAGAGGGCCACATGGACAGCCAGAAAGGGCAGAGAAGTCGCCAAAGCATCGCACCGATTGAGTTTACAACTTTACAGCCGTTGGTGAGATTGCAACGGCTCGTGCCGCGCTTTCATATTGCGTATCTCGAGGCCCCTGCTTCTTCCGAAGTGACCACCCGAGATCAGCTGGGCCATCCATCCCCGCGAGACCACGATGCACCTTCTGTCGACGATATCGGATGCTGACTTCTCGGCCCTTCTCGGGAGCGTGCTGTGTCTGGCGGCCCGGCCTTCCCCCTCGGAGGCCTCGTGCGTCCTCAAGCACCTCAAGACACACGCCATACTCACCGACAAGGACCCCCGATTCAGACAAGGTATGTACCCACACACGTAGAGAGAGAGGATACACACTCACACACAAACACACATATCTCTGTGTCCTTTCTGTCGTTGGCATGTAGAGTGTGAGCACGCGTACGCCCGTCTGCACCTGATGAATCCCCACCCGCCCAACGTGAGCCCGCCCTCCCCGCCCCCCTCCTTCATCTACCCCCCCTCCCTCTCCGCCACCGGCAGGGCGACCTACGGCGGGCTCGGCGGCTATGGCTTCGACGACGAGGCCATTCTGCCACACATGCTGGTGCCCCGAGCCTCTCTCAGCGTCAACGACATCATGGGCGTGAGGGCAGGGGTGACGCGGACTATGTCCTTCTCGTCAACGAGCTCGTGCTCCCTCACCACCACCACGGCAGCGAGCTACTAGGCCGGCAGGGAGGAAGGGAGAGGGAGGGAGAGGGAGGGAGAGGGAGGCGGAGTGTTGTGCTTTTCTGTCAGTGAGCCACACGTGAGAAGACCATCGTGTGAGTGCGTGTCGTGGGGAGACGGGTGGCGGACGGGCAAGTGGGTGAAGAATCCACGCGCGCGTCACCACAAGAACGACAGATTTAGCCAGCGGAGACCAACTAACTGCACGATGGCATTTGCGCGTAGTAGCCTCTATGTCTGTCTGTCTGTCTGTGCCTGTGTGGTTTGAGGTGAGTGGGTCCGTGCGGGTCGGGTGCATGGCGAATTAATTAAGGGCACAGCGGGCAGAGGGGTGGTGCGGTCCGGTGGGGGAGAGGGGGCGGGGCGAACAGGGGAATTTTAGATGTCGCAACGCAACGCAACGGATCTGTGTGTGTGTGTGTGTACTATGCTAAGAGAGAGAACAGAGAGAAAGAGAAACACGTCAAGTGAGGAGGGGCCAATATATGTAACAACAACTATCTATGTGTGTCACATGTGTGTTGTGGTGCAGTGCAACACCACAGATGGGATGGAGGCCCGGCCAAAAAGTATATATATTATATGTGCAAGACGGAAAGCGTCTCTTCTACTTGCAGAGAGAGACAATAAATGGGTCGGTCGGCCGGTGGGGGGCGGTTGGATGGATGGATGAAGGACAGACACCTAAGCAATTATGTGATGTGATGTGACTCGGTGGTTCTAACATGACATGCAGCCAATGAGCGAGCACTCTTTTCTTTTGCCCGCCCCACACATGAGCTGACTCATATATAATGGAACCTGTGGAAATGGAATTGATGGAAGCAAAAGTCTCGACATCAAGCGGAAGTCAGCTCGGCTTCGTCATCTCAGCTGGTAGCTAAAAAGTTCCCTGACGCACCGGCACACTCACAGACCGGCACACCCACGCGGCCGCACACGCACGGACCTACCTACCTACCTACTGTACTCACTGTACATCCCTCCATCCATCCATCCCTCCATCCATCCAAAGAGACCAGACCAGATCAGATCAGATCACATCGCACACACCAGACAGAAAAGCAGGCGACGCGACGCGCGACACGCGACGGCAGCCTCGTCTCGTCTCACCTCATCTCATCTCATCTCACCTCATTCGTGCCCAAAAAAACCACGCCATACGTTTGTTTATCGATCCATCCATCCATCCATTCCATGCATGCCGGCAAAAAAGAGGGAGGGTCAAAAGCCAGCTAGCTGCCTTCCTTACACTAGCTAGAGAGCCAAGCAAGCAGAAGCTCCTCTGTGTATGTGGTGAGTGAGTGTCATTGGGGTGCTTGTGGTGGTGGTGCGGTGGGCATGGGTACGACCTGCTGGGGGTAGGCCTGCCCGTACTCGGGGTTGATGGCTGCTGGCGGCTGGAACGACGGCTGATGTCGATGACACACACACACACACACACAGTCGGTGGTATGTGTGTGCTGGCTGGGGCGTGCGTGTGTGCCTGCTCAAAGCACTCACCCCATAGAGCAGCGGCCGCCGCCTCTCTGCTGCAATCCTCATCAGAGACCTGATACACACCACCAACACACACACACACACTCACTCTCACTCTCTCCCTGTGTGTGTGTGTGTGTGGATGTGTGTGTGGTTGTCCCCCCACGCACCAGACAAGGTAAGTAAAGTAGAAGGAGAGCAGAATCCACAGAGTGTCCATCGCGTAGCTCTTCCTGTGGATGCGCTCGTGCTCCTCTCGCAGCCCTGCTTGCAGACACTGCACACCACAGCACAGCACACGGAGGGAGGAGGGCAAAGGCATCGATCGCATCAGTCAGTGTGCTGATTCTTGGTTGCAATCGTTGGGTTTGCGGGTGAGGTGAGTGATTTGAGTGGCTGGCTGGCTGACCACTTTGACGACCGACACCACGACAGAGAGGATGCAGTAGAGGTAAAAAGATAACAGCTGCTTCTCCTGTCAGAGTTGACACAGACAGACACACACAGACACACCCCGACGGCATCTGTTGCGTGCCCATCCGTCCATCCATCCGTCCATCCATCTCACAATGAGGAAGGTGGCCCCGCTGTAGCCAGCACTACCGGCAAGGAACCCAAGAATGCCTACACAACACACCACACCATACGCACACACCGCAACACACACAGATCCAACCGTGTGTTTGTCATCCTCTCTCCCATCCACTCCACTCCCTCCCTCCCTCACCCATGACAGAGCTGAGGACCTCGACAACGGTGTTGTACCCGGTGAGGAAGCGGAAGATGGCGATGAACAGGCCGGCTATCGTCAGCGCGCCATACACCATCACCACAAAGGCCACGATCTTCACAGCTGCGGGGCACGGTGGGTGAAGAAGGAACACAGACAGACAGACAGACAGAGAGCTGCATGATACGATTGATGCATGTGTTGTGCGCTCTATGGTCTCCAGATGAGATAGATCTGTGTGTGTGTGCGCATGGACGTACTGCACATACCTGACTGAAGCGCACAGCATCCGCAGCATGTTTCCGCCGGCTTGACGTTGAAGCAGTACAAGAAATGGCGATGCAGATCTCGCTGAGTGCCTGCTATGCTCTCCATTGGAGGGACGCTCTTGGCGTCTGTTCGCCAAGCTTCGGAGCAGCAGCGGTTTCAGGGAGCACCCTAAGCTTCTGCAGCTGCGAGCCAGTCCCGAGATCTAAGGGGTTTTTCTCCCTTGTGAGGCCTGCGGATACCATCAGCAGCCTCCCATCTGCCTCTCCTTCAGTGGCGCGCCTTCATTTTCGACAAGTTTTGTCCGGGGCTAGTCTCACCAGCAGCTCACCAGCCGGCTCAGGTGGGTGACGCAGAGAGAAGCACAAAGATGCCGGCTTGTATGGAGGCTGCCGGTGCCCTGGCGTTCACCCTCGACGGGCAGAAAGTGGTTGTGAAGGCCGCCGATGTCGATCCGTCGCTCCCGCTCGCGTCGTTCCTCCGCTCACATCTCGGCTGCCACAACGTCAAAGTGGCCTGTGGAGAGGGAGGTGAGCACGCGACATCGCAATGCAATGCACTGTGTGCTGGTGCCGGGTGTGTGTGTGTGTGTGGTTGAACAGGGTGCGGCGCGTGCACTGTGCTGCTGGAGCGGCAGGACCCTTCGACCAAGGCCATTGAGCGCCACACCGCCCTGTCGTGCATCAAGCCACTGCCCTCTGTCCACGGCTGGAACGTCACGACGGCCAAGGGGCTCAAGGACCGCAGCGGCGCCCTGCACAAGAGGATGGAAACACTCAACGCGGCACAGTGCGGGTGGGTGAGCCGGCCGGGCAGGATCAGGCGGACAATGAAAGGCGTGTGTCGCTGTCTGTGTCTGTGTGTCTGTTTGTCTAGGTACTGCACACCTGGTTTCGTTGTCAGCCTTTATGACACGCTGACGTCGGCGGGTGGCGACCTGACGACCGACCGGCTCAAGGGAGAGCTGGACGGAAACCTGTGCAGATGTACAGGTGGGTCTACTGGATGGGTGGGGAAATGAAATGGTCACACACCACATACCGCTCCGCTCCCTCTTTCAGGCTACCGGTCCATCCTCGACGTATGCAAGAGCTTCTGCACCGACGCACCGGCCCACCTGAGGCCGACCACACCCGACATCGAAGACGCCATCCCCCCTTGCAAATGGCCCACACCCGTCCCGCAGCCCCTCCCATCCACCCCTCCCCCCCTCCTCAAGAACGCCTCCCTCACCTGGCACACCCCCAGCAGCCTCGCCGAGCTGCACAGCATTTTTCGCTCGCTGCGGCAGGACGGCAAGGTGCGCCTGGTGGGCCACAACACGTCCGTGTGCTGGCAGGAGAAGGCGAAAGAGGAGGAGTGCGTCATTTCCCTGGAGAGGGTGGAAGAGCTGGCAGGGATTCACGTGACCGAGAGGGCGATCCGCGTGGGCGGACAGGCGACCATCAGCGAGCTGATATCGGTCATCGACAAGGAGGCGACCAAGACGGCGACGTACGCCGCGCTGTCCGCCCACCTGAGGCACACCGGCAGCAAGCAGCTCAGGAACGAGGGCACAGTCGCGGGCAATCTGATGCTCGTCAAGACGATGGCCTTCCCATCGGATATCGCTCCCCTCCTGCTGGCCTGGGGCTGCCGCATTGAGTACATCGACCTCGACGCACCAACACCGTCGGCAGCACAGACACAAATGGTGGATCTGGAGGCATTTCTCGTCGCCGATGCGCCCAAGATGGCTCTCATCGTCGCCATCGTGCTGGACAAGCAGAATGAGGGCGCCTTCTTCCGCTCGTATCGCACTGCAATGCGCAAGCACTACGCACACGCGACAGGTGGGAAATGGCGAAATGACAACACGAAGACAGCCAGAGGTCCATCCAACGAGCACATGCGTCTTGTGTTGTCTTGTGTGCAGCCAATGCTGCATTCTGGTGTGAGTTTTCTCCCTCGTCTTCCGGCGTGGTGTCTGCGGTGCGGCTGGTGGCTGGGGCGGTGAGCGACCGGCCGCAGCGGGCACGCCAGACCGAGGCCTTCCTGCTCGAACAGGGCCTCACCAACAAGACGGTGACGAGGGCCATCGAGATGCTCACGGAAGAGGTACACACACACACACACAGAGAGAGAGAGAGAGAGAGAGACATTAGTGCGTCGTGTGTGGATGGATGGATGGATGTGTCCACTCACTCACTCAGGTCACCATCGGAGCATCGTCCCATGACAGCGAGTCCTATCGCAAGTCGCTGCTGGCCGGCTACCTCTACCGCTTCCTTCTCGAGTGCATCAACCGACATGACAACACCCGCACCAGCACCCCCTCCCCCAGCAGCACCAGCACCCACTCAACAACAACAGCCGACACCGGTCACCTCAACGGCACCACACACACAGACACAGACACGGACCCTGACACTGACATCGACAGAGAGGGAGGAGGTGCCCGGATATGGCAGCCACTGGCCAAGCCAGACAACGAGAGGCTTGTCACGGGAGACGCCAAGTACACTGGTGATGTGGCGATGGACAAGAGGGCGCTGTATGGTGCGTACGTGACGAGCGAGCATGCAAAGGCGACTCTGCTGAGGGTGGATGGGAGCGAGGCCATGAGGGTCGATGGCGTGGTGGACATCGTGACCAGTGAGGACTTCACCCTCAACCGCATGATCAACACAGGTCGGTGGCTGGGGCAGTGAGTCAGTCGTCCTTGACCCACACAAAGTGTGGTGGTTGTGGTGGTTTCACGTGAAATTGGTCAGTGACCGCGTGGGACACGAATCTGCTCGAGAGTGTGGTGCCGATTGGGGGTCAGTCTCGCTTCGTCGGCCAGCCTGTCGCCCTGGTGCTCGCCGCCACCGAAGACACCGCACGCAAAGCCGCACACGTCGTCAAAGTACATACCCTCCCGGCACCGAGAGAGAAGGAGGGAGGGAGGGAGGGATCTCACAAGCCCACACACTCTCTCCTTCCCCACTTGTGTGTGGCTGTGCAGGTGGAGTGGGCTGACATCCAGACACCAGTAGTGACGATCGCGCAAGCCATGGCCGCCAAGAGGGAGTACAAGAAAATGTTTGAGGGCAGGAAAGGCGACATCGCACCGTTCGAGGCCGTCTTCAGCAGCAGAGGCACAGCCGACCTGCAAGTCGTCAAAGGCAAAGTGGACTGCGGCAGCCAGGTAGGAGCATCCAGAAGGGATACCACAGACGGGGAGAGGGTTTCCTTACTGTCGTCGCGTGTGTTGTGTTGTTATGTGTCGATCAGTTGCATTTCTACCTGGAGCCGCAGGTGGCTGTGGCATGTCCCGACGAGGACGGCCGCATGACGGTGCACACCGCCACACAGGGGCCGCAGTACGTCCACGAGGTCAGCCCATTAATGCATCGAAAACACGGCCATGGCCATTCTGCGCCCGCATGTCTGTCTGTCTGTATCCTGGACACTCAGAATGTCGCGCTGGCACTGGGCCTCCCCCAGCACAAAGTCGACGTCCGACTCAGGTGCGGCAGATGGGCACGCAAACAATTAGCGGTGGGCATCCGTGTCTGTCTGTGTCTGTATAGGCGTCTGGGTGGCGGTTTCGGGGGCAAGTCGACTGGCTCGGTGCCAGTGGCCATCATGGCGGCCGTTGCGGCGAGAAAGGCAGGCCGTCCGGTCCACGTCAGCCCCACTCGCCATCAAGACGCAGCCATGACCGGCGGCAGGTCAGTCAGTCAGTCAGTCAGACACACTGGGCCACAAACAGGCAGACACAAGCGTGCATGTGCCTGCCATTCACTGTGTGTTGTGTGTTGGTTCAGAGAGGAGATCGAGTTGGACTACGAGGCGGCCTTCGACCGTTCCGGCCGCATTCACGCCATCAGGGCCTCGGTGCACGTCAACTGCGGCTGTGCCGGCAATCTCGCATACATGTGCGGCAAATACGTAAGCACACCCGGTCCGGACTGTGCTGTGGTGTGGTACATGACTGACATGATCAACCAGCGCGTTCCATTCAGATTGCGGAGTTCCTCGAGCAGGCCTACGAGCTGCAGAACTTCTACCTGCTCTCCAAGCTGTGGATAACGGACCTCCCCATGCGGATGCCCGTGAGAGCACCAGGCGGCCTCCCCGCCGCCCTCGCCATCGAGACCATCCTCGACCACATTGCCTCATCCCTCTCACTCGACCAGGCGGACGTCAGGCGCGCCAACCACCTCACGGAAACGAGCTTGACGTCGGCCATGTACGTCAACGGCGAGATGGCAGCCGCGCCCCGGCAGCTGACGGTGCCGGTGCAGATTGCGAGGATCCACGACGAGGTGTGCGCTTCGAGTGAGTGGGGGCGGCGTGTGGCCGAGGTGGCGGCGTTCAACAAGGCTCATCGGTGGCGCAAGAGGGGTCTGGGATTGATGGGGCTGCGGTTCCCGCGCCCCCTGTTCGCGAGCAACGCCGTCATCAACGTGCACGTCGATGGGACGGTGCTGCTCCACCATGAGGGTGTCGAGATGGGTCAGGGCCTGCATGTCAAGGTCATCCAGGTACTGACTGCAGTAGCTGAGCTCGTAATGCCACAGCATAGATAGACATAGACGTGTGTGCAAGTATTCTCCGTCTGTGACTTATGGATCGGCCATAGGTTGCCTGCGACACCCTCGGTACGCGGCTGTTCGGTTACCCTCTCCCGGCGTCGCTCGTCCGGTCCGCCGACTTCGCCACTGAGTTCATGTATGTGAGCAACCAAGACGTCTGTTTGTTGGACCTTCATGTCATTCGCTGGCTGCACCATGATGTGTCCTGTCCGTCCGTCCGTCTGTCTGTGTGTATTGTGTCCTGCCTGCCTGCCTGCTGCAGGCCGAACCCGTGGCTGACGGCCGCGTCAAGCACCTCCGAGCGCATGTGCTTCGCCATGCAGGACGCAGCAAACAGGATGGCAGAAAAGCTAATGCCCTTCGTCAACCAGGTCAGCTCCACACACACATACTGGTACCCCCACACCCACCCCACTTTCAGCACACGACATCAGTCAGTGTGTTGTGGCTGCATGCTGTGGTGTGTGTGTTCAGGAGAGCGCCGATGGACAAGTGGCGGAGCGGTGGAAGGAGGTGATCTTGGCGGCAAATGGTGCGAAGGTGAATCTCCAGCAGCAGGGTGAGTGGCGGCCGTCCAGCGGCAATGTCATCGACTTCTATGACACGTATGGCGGCACCGTGGCAGAGGTGAGATACATAACTTACATGATTGCATATGGAGAGGGAGAGGGGAGAGGAGAGATCGATTGCTGTGTCATACGGTTGGCTCTATATGCGGTGTGTGTAGGTCGAGATCGATGTGTTGACGGGGGAGCACTCCGTCCGCGCTTTTCATATGTCTTACGACTGCGGAAAGTGAGCTCCTGGACACACACATACACACACACGCACACGCTGTCTCGACCGGTCTGTCTGTTGTGTGTGCAGGTCTATCAACCCATTGGTCGACATTGGCCAAGCAGAAGGAGCGGCAATCATGGTGAGCTGACTGAGCCCCCAACCACACCACACGCATTGACAGAGAATGCATCCCACCCCACCCCACCCATGTGTGTCTGTCTGTCTGTCTCTGTGTGGATCTCCGTCCGTCCATCTCTTGATCCATCCATCCATCCACAAGGGTCAGGGCTTCTGCACGAGTGAGCAGGTCACATGGGACGCCACCGGGCGACTCATCAACGACGGCACCTGGATGTACAAACCACCACTCGCCCCAGACATGCCCACGTACACAACACAACACAACACACCACACCACACACCCCAACACACATCTACTGATTCCTCTCTGTGCATATGTGTGTGTGAGTGCACTGCAGTGACTTCCGCGTCCATCTGCTGGACAACAGTGCCTTCCCCGGCGGCTTCGCCAGCAGCAAAGCGACGGGCGAGCCGCCACTTCTCGGCAGCGTGTCGATCTTCCTGGCCATCCAGCAGGCCATCCGCAGCGCGAGATCTGACGCCGGTGAGGAAGGGTTCTTCACGCTGTCCACCCCCGCCACGTGTGCCAAGATACAGCAGTCGTGCGGCACCAAGATTGAGGATATGACCGTCGAGGCGGCCAAGAGAGGGGAGTGATCGATCAGCTGGACGGGCAGCGAGTTGCGAACTTTATTCGTTCGTGCAGCGTGCAGCGCGGTGAGGTGCACGGACACGTGTGTGTGTGTGTGTGTGTGTGTCCCTGCGCTCGATCTGAGTTGCCCCCGAATATGGGTCGGGTGACTGGAGGATCCATAGGATACATTACATGGTCAGTCACAGACGGCCGCTTTGTGGCACGCATGCAGCACAACACAGCGTCTCCATGTAATGTCATCAGCTACACACAGACACAGACAGAAAAAAGATCGTCGGCCAGGGATCGCACAACCACTGGCATCCGTGTGCATGAGATGAGTGTTTGGGTGTGTCCACGCGCTGCTGCACACGCGCATTCATCAATTTCGCAAACCCTACGCACAACTAGGGTTTAACTGAGCACCTCAGCCGCCGCCCCGCCCCCCTGCAATGGGGAAAAAGCCTCGCAGCGCAGCGACAAGGAGCCAATTGGAAACCCACAAACCCACACGCACTGACTTCTGCTTCGCCCCACACCACACACACCACGCTCCCTCCCTCCCTCCGTCTGTCTTTATGTGGCGGCATCATAGCGCCACTGTCTGAGCTCTCTGTACATCTTGAGGACAAACTGGCCCGCCGGTGTGGCCCGGCGGCTGAGCACCTGCTGCCTGTATGCCGGAGGCAGAAGCGGGTTGCCCAGGGAGACCCAGTGGTGCGACATCTCTGCAGTTAGTTGATATTATGGCACACCACACAAGAGACACAGACACAGAGGCACACGCACCCCTCTGTGGGTCATCATGTCTCGGGTGTATGTCTGACCCGCAACGCACCTGGCGGCAGAACCAGGGGAAACGCCGCGGGTGCGAAGGCGATGTCTGCGCGCACACACACACACACACACACATCATCCACACCCACACAAACAATATTGTAAGGCAGACCAGCAGCCGACGGGCAGGTGGTCAGCGAGAAACTGCCGGCCGTCAGCGAGCAGCGCCTCCACCTTGGCGAAGGCCTCGTCGACCGCCGCTCGATGTGGGACCTCCTTGGCCTTCAAGCTGCGGCACAGCTGACCTAGGATGCCGTAGCTTGCTTGATGAACGGATGCACACAGACAGACAGACAGACAAACAGAGAGACACAGAGAGAGGGGT